TTATAAATCAGTTGTGCATATTCAGTCGACAATTCTGTAATATTGCAAAAAATGAGACTTAGTACTTGAAACATTATTACTGAAGTGTCGACTGATATTGCACACCCTTTTTATCTCGAAAATATATATAACTAGTCAGATTTCTCCGTAAATTTAAAATACAGCGTTTACCACAAAAAGGCCGCGGAGTGGTGTGATGACACTAATTACCTTAATCCTCTGTGGTCAAGCGATCGAAAAGACTTGATGATCACCAATTTTTGGTAACAAGGCATATCTACCGCTTGATATTACATAGTGTCGTACCTGAAAGTTGCTCGATATCTTGTCGAGTGTATTTTTCATTTATCATTTTGCACATTATGGGATCGGTAAATGCATCGATGAACTCGACAGAATGCATGTACCTAATTTGATCTTTAGTGACCCACAATTTTGTGACAATGTCTCTAATTGAGTGTATCCTCGTCAAGTACACTTTCGTTCAGGTGGGAGCCGCTGAGAATCAACCCTTTATCAGAGAATACAGCCCTGACCGATTAGGAAAAAATTCGTTTGCGACCACAACGACAAAGAATTGCAGAAATGTTTGTGTTGCAGATCTTAAACCAACTTTCTCGGGATTGTGCTTCGAGATACAAGTATATCCCAAATGATATTCTGTTAAATAAAATCAGATTTAGCTATTTAGAAACTAGTTTTTGCCTGTTATTAACCAGGATATTCAATACTCTATTATATTGTGAGGGCATGTACCAGCAGGAAAAGTGGGGGGTATTAGGGCTACTCAAGATGTGGTTGCGCAACACAGCGATGTACTCAATGATCGATGATGCTGTCGGTTCAGGATTTCATGTTGCCGCTTTCAAGCACGCGCTCTTTCAAATTATGTATTTTAACACGTTGCCGCTTTCAAGCACGCGCTCTTTCAAATTATGTATTTTAACACGTAAAAGTGCATCTACAACCCGTGCTCAACAGGATTCAGCCATTGAGATTTTACGCATCCCGATTATATACACAGTCAACAACAGCTTTTTCATTAATAATATGATAAATTTAATACTGCGCCTTCATGATCCAGACTGCAGCACAAATTGGTTAAATAGGATCGTTGAAGATTTGAAATATGTAAATACCAAGACATTCATAAAGTGTGCACCTGTTGACCGATTATCCAGCATCTTTGCTGTCCGATACTGCCAATTTATGTATGCAAGTCTAGTTGAAATTAGTATTGGCCAAACGTCATTTATATAACAATTCGAGAAATCCACAATGAGATCATCATACAGAGAGCAATGTGATCTTAATACATATTATATTGCTCATTGTTATTTTGCTTCAAGAAATGTGTTCGACTAGGCGCACTACTTTTTTCTCTGCAAGTTCTGTAACAAGCACTATTTATCGTGAAAGAGTTACTTTGCGTATTTAAGCATGAGATCGACAATCTTCGACCAGTGCAGTCGCGAGCCGTGTCACATAGCTTGTATGAGAATTTACTGATGACGTAAGACGTTGATGCGTCAAAAGTAAAATGTTCGTGTAGCCTGAATCGATGAGAATACGGACCAAAAATTTCATTCGAACCTAAACTTCGATTATGTAGGGTACAAGTCGTAGGAGTCGTATGTGTCGGGCATAATTGTGCACATCACACTTACCCTGCTTAAGTTCAGGAGCTCTGATCGAGCCCTGAACTCAGCGCTTGGCGGTCCAAGCTTTTTTCTGAGCCGATTCTTGAAAACCTCCAACGACTTAACCACATATGGTCCAAGCAACTTGAGCTCTAACGCCCGAGTTTTGGCACGTCCAGCCACATCGATTTTGCAAATGCGACTTGTATTTGCTAATCGACGATGTGACGAGCCCTTTTTATGGCTTCGTCCAACTCGACGAACTCGTTCAAGAGGGAGTCTTCTTCGACTCCTCTGTACTTGAAGATTTCTATTTTCAAAGTATTGGGGCGAAGCGCGTGCGTCGCCCCGGTAACAGCAGCATGTGCTTGCTGTTGTCTCAACAGTTCGAACTGTTGAACACCCTGTTCTCTCAACAGATCTGCCTGTTGAGAAAATTGCTGGTGAAGCAATGTTACTTTCCGCGTTATTTGTCAAGTTCATATTGTATGAATTTGTTGAAAGCGGCACGCTGCCCATCGCTGTCCAGTGCTGACTACATGGTAGAAACGGCACGTTCATCCACGGTTGAACCCGTTCGCTCGACCGCACTCCATTCGATGTTGCTTCAATTGGAGTAGCTTTCACGCCACGCGTGAACGCTGTCACTAGCATCATCAAATTGTTCATGTCGCATGTAGGGGTCGCGGTCCTAGTATGGACTACAAAGTGCTATCAGGTGTTACGGGGCACTGTCCAGTAGTACTGCTTCATTACTAGTTCATTTACACTGACAATAATGTAGGTAGTGCCGAGCGTCACTATACGGACACCGTACGCGCACAGAAAGGCTGGCTAGTGATTGGAGCGTTCAATAGGAGTAGAAAGAAAAACTGTATTAGAAAAGATTAAGTCCTAATTAAATTACATGTACCTATGTTAATTTCTAACTCGATTGTGGTTATCGACAAACTTGTAAGCTCAAGTCTTGCTCACCACTGATTGCGCGCGTCCATCATTGATTGGACCGCTTCAACTAGCTGAAATGATGACCCACATCAGCCAGTCAGTGAGTGTTTCTAAATATTATCCCTTATGGTAATATTCACGAACATTATCGACCTTTATGGTAATATTCTGATTAACAAGTATCATAGAAAGTGCATGTAAAGACCACCACATTACATCACCCCTTACACGATAATCTCTCAATCACTCTCATGTTGATGTTGTAACGGGGTAGCCCGTCACATGATATTGACACCAAACGATGTCGACAGGGATATTGTCTAGCACGACTATTCGAAATGGATAGTATTGAAGGAATTTTATTCTCTTTTAGGATGGTATTCATGCGCTGCTCATAGACTGGTTGACAAAAGACTCATTGATTACCACCAATCGCTGCTAGACGCGCGCAATGAGCAGATTGTCCTCATACGACAATGTCAATTACTATCGTTAGATAAAGACTGAAGTTATATTGATAGCTTAACTATATTAAATAATATTCTCTTTTTACCCCTTACTCAACATAGCTGTTGAGTAGATTAGCTTCCTCTGCACGTACGAGTGTACATAAAATTTTGTGGCACCCCATACAAAAGGTGACCCGTTACAGATGTGGTCACATTTAGACCATATTAGGGACAGGGAGCTTTTTGTTTTGGTCGGATCCATTCATTTGTGGATCTTCATCGCAAATTGACCAAATCCTTACGATGCGCGGCGAGATCTGCTATGAAGGCAGCTGCACTTGTTAACGCTGCAATGGGATGAGCCTGTTACATGTAATAAAGCCTTGATACTTGTTAATTAGAATATTACCATAAAGGTCGATAATGTTCGTGAATATTACCATAAGGGATAATATTTAGAAACACTTACTGATTGGCTGATGTGGGTCATCATATTAGCTAGATGTAGCGGTCCAATCAGCGATGGACGTGCGCAATGAGTGGTGAGCAAGACTTGATATTACAAGTTTGCTAATAATTATATGAAAGTTAGGACTAAAACGTAGGTTAATGATTAGGACTAAATTATTGTTAATACAGTTTTGCTTTTAACAGCAACTAGTCACTTCCTATTTGCTTTCCCTTCCTCCGCGTAGTTTACAGAGGTAGCGAGGCATTACTTACGCTGATGTCGGTGAGAGTAGCTCCGCACTGATTGTCCAGTGTGTTGCTCCGATGCCCCGTTACAGCGTTTTTTTAAGTTAGAATTTTGGGGCAAATACGTGTGGCGGACTGGCTCCTTCTAATCAGTAGTCTTTTATTCGCCAGTCGTGAAAAGCCCGCACTCAATAGTTAATTCTTTTATATGTAATATTTGCATCTTCACTTATCTGTGTTAGCACAAACTCCAACGCCAAAATCGAGCATGGTAACATACCATTTCGATGCTGACGTGAATCTCCGTCCCGTCTCAAACCTTTCATCACCCGCGCTGTAACGCCGTCCAAGTCGCGAATCGTGACTGTCATGTTTATCGACTTGCTATGGTTTCTTCGTTCCTATATGAATATTAACACTCCATAGAGTTGTCTGCATTCTCCATTTCACCATTGCAAGACCTTGTGCGACCGATAAACAAACAGCCAGCACAACATCTCGCGATAATCTACAAAAGGTCCTGCTTGTAGCCCATCCGAGGTAGTTCATGTGCAAAGCCTTCGATCAGCTATGCCCTCTCCACTTGGGCGCCAACTGAGCTCTCTACGATGAAAAACTACATCACAACAGTAGGACAATGACACATCGAAAGTCGCAGCTTGCTTTTCGAATCACATGAACGTTCTTGCGCAAAGTGCTCGTCACCGTAGCTATACTTCATCGAACGGAGCTTTATATCATCAAGGCGCAAAACGGTTCACGAGCCACGACCGGAAGTTTTTCGATGAACCTGACCCTTTCTACCCACGACCGGATGTATGCATACTCGAGAGCTGTCCATGTTGCTGACCACCGTTGTGTGACGTAATGCAACTACCTGGAGCGAGCACAGTCGAAAGTGTACATCCAGACCCCTGTATGACACAACAGCAAACCATCGAAACGCACGTGCGTGGCAAAGCTAGGACGACCGTCACGTTGAGACTCGACTGGCCTCGAATAAACGGGGCTCTGGTCGACGTTCTCTTTCTCCGATACGAGCTCCATGCACAAAACGCAGACTAACAGACGCGGCGTTCCCGTCCGTCCAGAGCTCATCCGTGCAAAGGCTGTCAGTGCCAAATACCTCGTTCGGGCCCACCCTGCCCTTTCCGCTTGCGTTCCCTTGCTCGGTCCTTCGTAAAGCTGAAGTGACGAGCGAGTTTACGTGGAACTTCCATAGCATCATTCGGGAAGCCTTTGAAGCTTGACAGTAGCCAACGACTTGATGGAGACTGAGCCGCGGAAGCACGTGGTCCATCCCTCGTCCTTCTTCCCCGTGGATGAAACTCGGCTCCCTCGATTGAACATCTCCCCCGCCCAGCACGAAGAGCTCCGTGACTATGCCTTCCAAGCAGCTCAAGACACGATTCGGGATGGACCAACGTGGGGACGCTCGAACATTGAGAGCGCCGTCGCAAGTGGCTGGAAAGTGCTCACAGCGCGGCCGACGGCGTGTTTTATGACGAAAAAACAGAGCAAGAAGAAGCAGAGGAAGAGGACCAAGAAGACTGCTGCTCGAGGGGAAGTGGAGCGTCAACGTCAGCAGGAGCAGCAGAGAGACGATAAACGGGCAGTGCCACCCACTCCCCGTGTCACGAGTCTCGGGAGCTTCCGTGGTATGGACATTGTCCGGAATGTCTTACCCTCTCAACCGTCGGCGGTGTCCGTGCCATTGGAAGCTGCGAGTGGACAGCACTTTATGGCACACGCCGTCCTTCCGAACTCGTTAGAGGACGTCATGAATGCCCTGTACTGCGAAGAGACGAGCGAAATGCGGGCGTTGAAGCAGAAGGCGTACGGGGAAGCTGCGCTGGATTGCTGTGTCTTGCAGACTTTAGAAAGCGCGACGCTCGAGGATCCGTTCTGGTACTTGGGTCTCAAATGGCTGGCACTGCGATCGCCGATTCAAGCGTTGATGGCAAGCCGTGAGTTCGTCTACCTTGAACATTTAGGAACTCATGTCGAAGCGGAAACTGGACGTCGGATGCTGTATCGAGTGATCCAGTCGGTCCACATTCGAGGATATGGAGGTCAGGACTCGTACTTTGGCCTCACGCGAGGAAACGTCGAAGCTGCTTTCGTGTACTGGATGGACGACGAAGACGAAGTGAGGAACCCGTTGCTGCATGTGTGTGCAAAGGGTCGGATCCACGTAAAGGGGAGTATGCCGGATACTCTTGTGTACAGGTATCTCAAGTCGTTTTGGCGCTCGGAACGCTCGCTTTTCCCTGCTAACAGGATGGCTGAGTCATCGCTTGGCATGAGCGTCATCAATGACAGCGCCGAGCAAACTCCTGTGAAGATGTCGAAAAAGAAAAAGTCAAGACGACGCAGAGTTCCGAGCGGGCAACCACTCGAGATGGCACATGAGTGGGTGGCGGACGAGCTCCGTTCAAGCTGTTCCGTGTGCAACAAGAAATTCCGTCTCGTAAAGCGCTTCAAGCACCATTGCCGCGCCTGCGGTGAAGTCATGTGCCATGAGTGCACATTCCAGCACCGAGTCAATGTTCGCGCAGTTCAAAGCTTTCGCAGTTTGAAAGGCACTGTCGTTCCAGGAGCAGCGTCCGCGGACCGGACCGCGGACGCGGCAGCTGTAAAGCACAAAGAATTGTCGACTGACTTTGAAGAGACCATGAGCTGCAGTTTTGACAACCAGGTGGTGGGGAACGACTCGAAAGGCGGATCGTTTGATGCTAGTTTGAGTCTTGTGAATGCCAGGAAAGCCGTGAACGGTTCAGTGGAGACGGCTGTACTTGGTGGTGATTCGGTAGTCTGCGTGGTCATGGCTAAGGTGTGTCTTTGGTGCCTACAGAGCGCTCCGCTCGCCAACAAGACCAAAAGTAAAGCTACCTTGCGACGAAGACATAGCGAGATGGCGATCAAGAAAGGTGTCCCTGCATTGAATACTGACGGCGGACTCGGAGTAGATGGGGGACTCCCTTTGCGTCCACAATCCTGGACGCCCGACTACATGAGAATAGAGGAGTTCGACGAACGAAATGGCGCCCAGTGCCAAACGTCTGGACGTGAGCTGGACGTTCCGATGCTGGTGTTGGATGATACAGACGCAGAGAGCGATGATGGGTTTGCGGAGACAAAGAAACGCACAGGTTTTTGTGTGTTTGACGAAAGACCTCAGCCATCCGTCCTCGTTGATGCTGGCACGTACGCCCAGGAGTGGTATGGTGAAGATTGTGGTGGAGTGGATCAACACACGAACGATGGGTGTGCAGTTAATCTCCCGTCTCGCATACTTTCGACTTCCTCCTCGAGCTCGTCTTCAAAGATGTGTGAGTTCATGGAAGAAGATGACTACGGCGGTAACAGTTCCGGGCGCTATTCAAGCCAATGCAGCATTGACACCTTCGACGATAACAACTCGATCCAGTTTTACCCGACACAGACTGATCAAGTACAAGACGATGAAGAGTTGAAGCCAGCAGCAACGCTTGGTCGAAGATCTGACTCGAACATTTCGTTTGAGCATGCCGAAAGCGAACTTTTTGCTGCGAAAGCTGCTGCAGCCCAAGCCACCGTCAGCGCGACTGAGAAAGGGTTACGTGCAAAGCATGACCCACAGGAAGGGACCATGTACCGGAACCGACGAACGCCACCATCAACTGCATCGAGCACTTCGATTCGTAGTATGGAGAATGTAGACAAGTGCAACGACTTCGACGGTCCGATACAAGACCTATACGAGGCAGTTGCAGTGGTGAAGAGCTCGATTGCAGGTCAAGCTCGTATCCTCGACACCATCAAGCAAGAACGCAAAAATGAAGCCCCTGCAATGGCGACCATACCGCTGTGCAGCTGGAGCTTTGTCTAAAGCATAGCAGAACAGCATTAACAAATAAGGACCCGAGGGTAAAATGACCGTAAACCAGCATGTTGATTGAGACTGCATTTATTGTGGATCAAGCGTACACTAGAATTGGTCACGTTACGTTACGACAGACATTTCAAGGGTCTTCACGTTTCAAGGTATTTCTCGGCATTTCTTCTATTTGCCACCAACGTCATGCTGTGTATGCCACATTGGCCCCTCTTGGCTCTAATCTAGGAAGAGCTCAATGAGAGCGGAGTAATGAAAACGCCGCATCTCGGTGTAGGCGCAGTTTGTGTCGAGCCGGGGTATTGCAAAGAAGATCGAGCTTCTGACGAGACTTCGCCCACCGTCGTTGCTGCTGTCTTTGCAACCGTGTCATTCTCCGGCGAGCGAGTCATCTTACTTCGCTGCTCTGCAATGCATCGGATCAGCGCTTCTTGCTGTGCAATCGATCGCTCGACCTGTTCCAATTGGTCCGGGATCGACAAAGACCGAAGTTTATAGCTGCTCTCCGACTGGCGAGCCGCAGTGGACGGCCGACGAGACACCGATGATGGAACTGCATCGCTTTGGTTGGTGGAGCTCATCACCCGGCCACGCATGCTCAGCCTGACACTGCCATCGTTCTCTTCACGCTTCGGCGTCGGCAGCAGAAAATCATCGAAATTGAACGTGCTGTCGCTGCCAGTGAACAAGTGGCTTGGCCTCGCGGGTGGAGACTCTTCTCCGTTCTTCAAGTCGTCTTTGTCGTACAGAAGAATGCTACGCCGGAGGTTCTTCTTCTTCTCCCGTGCCATGTGAATCTGTCGCATTCGCTCAATGCGAAGCGAGTATTCTTCGTCCGTTTCGTTGATGTCGTCCTCGTCATTGCTACCAGCGAGCTCATCATCAGCTGCATAGCGACCACCCGGGAAAAAGCCACGCATCGGTCCAGGTCGCAAACATGCGTTATCAGCCAGCGATCCCTGCAACACAAGAGGAAATTGCTTGATCATGGTGGGTGCAGCGTAAAAGTTCGAGGCACCCTTCATCGTGCCCTTGCGTTCCTGGCGGATGGTAAACATACACTTCTTGCACAGCTTCACATCATTCACGGCCGGGTATCCATTCGAGCGCGTCTCCTCCAGACTCTTCTTGGCGGGCTGTTTCAGCAACACGCTCGAAGCACACGTTTCGGGCTGGTTTCCATTTCGCTGGGAATGACGAGGATGGGTGGCATCTCCAACTTCATCATCGTCCACCACGTGCGGAGCTGAAACAGGTGGCGCAACAAGCGGCAGAGTGATCATGCAGCGAGAGCACATGACCTCACCGCACATACGGCAGTGATGCCGATGACGCCGGACGATGCCAAAGCTTTTGAAGCACACGAAGCACACTTTGCGCTGGTGATCTGGCACCCAACTTGGTTGAGGACAAATTGACATTCGACTCGAATCACGCGTCAACGCCATTCCAGTCATAAGGAATCCGTGCTGCGATGACGAAAGCGGCATTGCTGAGGGACCATGTGCTGTAACCTCGGAGCCACTCATGGTGCTCTGACTTTTGACAGCGCTCTGTGCCGACTGCGAGCGGCTAAGCGCTGCAGGTGGGTGCGGAAAGATCATGCCGTGCTTCATGATGTACTTGATGTCCGCGCAGTACTCAATCCGCGCGACTGTAGGCGCTAGTTGCGAAAGGAACGCACTGCCCAGCCACGAGCTAGCTCGACCACCTGGATCCAACGATCCTTCAGCAAACACTTTGACAGCGTTCGTCGTCTCGTCAAAAGTGTACATCGAGATCATCGACAGGTGGCCACGAACAAAGCGCAACTTGGACGGGTCGACGCCGTCGCTCGGTCCGTCGTGGCCAACGATCTGAAGCAGCGGCGGCAAGATGTCGTCTCCCACGGACTGCATCACTTTCACCAGCACTTTCTGTCCCTCTTCCGTCATGACAGTCTTGGCGTACTCGTAGTACGCGTGGTCTCGAGGCGAGAAGAACCTCGCCGGTCCACTAGGGGACGCAAAAGCCTTCCACTTTATTCCAAAAAAGCGGAACGGGTCGTCTTCTGTCTGCGTCTCCAGCACCTGCAGCACTGCAGCATCGAGAAAGTAGTCACGGAACAAATACGCGCTCACCGAGCGTTCATCGAGCGTCGTGTCGCTATACTTGCCATACTCCACGTCCTGCAAAGTGAGGTTCGGGATGCGGCCAGTAGCGATAAACTGGTGCGTCGTAGCCACCCCCCGATGCGGGTCCTTGCGTCTGTACACGGCAAGACACGGCTTGGCACTGTGGAGTTTCCACTGCCGTGGGTCGTCAAAAATCTGCTTCCTGCCGCTCCAGGCCGCGCGGGACTTGTGCAAACACGCTTGAATGAGTTCTTCAGCTTGTTCCCGCATCGCCGTCTGCTGTTCGTCCGTGACCTCCACGCGCGGAATCACTTCGTCCATCCGTGGCAACTTGGCCACCTGTTTGTGCTTCGACCGGCCCGGGAGCTTCAGTTTTCGGCGCATGGACGACCGCAGCTGAGGGGATTCGTGTCTCGACGCCGCAATTGGAGCGGCGGGGCCCACGGGCTTGAACAGTTGCTGGACGTAGGACCGAGAGAGCGGGGCAGCCGACGGACTCGAGGCCTCGCTCTCGGCCATCACGGGCTCGGACGCGCGGTAGTTCAAGACGGCGCGGCAGTCGCGGTTCATCTTGTTGCTTCAGCTTGGGGCTTTTCGTCGAATGTGTTTAACGACGACAGTCGAAACCCCGACGTTGCGCGTGACAAGCGTCGCTTGGGGTCAGAAAGACGACGACGACGACAACGACGACGCCGACAACAGGTCCGACTTGTTGCTGCCGTGCGTGCAATGGGGACGCGGAGACGGACCGACCGAGCGTTTCGTGTCGGCGGTTCGAAAAGCGACTTTGGACCGAGTGTCAATTGTAAAGTGCGACGTCAGAAACGAGTGACGCAGGAGGAGGACGGCGACGACGACGACGAGATGCGTGGGTGGAGAGAGGCAGACGGGCGATCGAGCAGCTTTCGACGTCGCGACGTGAACGCACGACAAAACGGTTTGGCGCTACTCGTAGTAGCTTCTGGCTCGCTGTCCGCGTCGTCTCTTGCAAGTAGACAGTTCACGAGACTTGGCGTTTGTATGTGGAAGATCGATTCGACAAAGAGCGTCTAGTCGCGGAAATTTTACAAAAAGTCGAACATTACGACGCAGGACGTGAAAAAGCGCGCGACAAGAGCTCGCGCCCATCGCAGCTGAGAAGTAATGGGATTTCGGGCAAGTTAAATCAGTAGTCCTGACCGCGCGACTGAACAGCTGGCGTCTACCACTTGATTGCACGATTGGATGGTGGTCGTCGTACTTAACCCGTTCAATGCGTCTCCCTCTCATCAAGTGGTACAGTACCTAACGACAGTGTCCAGCGCAGCGACCACGACCTTGAAATAGTGACAAGTACGTCTCATGTCACTCGCTGGGGTATTTTTGCGATTCGGGCGATGCAGGCAGATTCGACCGGAAGAAGAAGAAGAAGCAGCAGCTTCGAGCATGACGGTGCCGTGCGGGAGACAGCGGCGGACGCATCGCTTTGCAAACTCTCTGCTAGTCAACTAGGCTACTACGTTGATCCATTCGTGCAGTTCTTCGTCCCGACTCCGTCGCGTCGCATGCCGATTATCAACCGCGGCTACTACGCTCGAGTTGCAGCTGTCGAGTCGCTCGTGCGCAAATTCTTGCGCGCTGGAGAGAGCAGTCGTCAAGAGACTAAGAAACAAGTGGTGATTTTAGGTGCAGGGCTGGACACGATGTTCTTCCGACTACAAAGCAGCAACGTGCTTAGAAATTGCGAGTACTTTGAGCTCGACTTTCCAGACGTGACCATGCAGAAAGTGAGCACGATCAAGCGCCGCAAACCTCTACAAAAACTGCTTGGGCTTAGCACTGCAGAAGGTTTTATGGCTGCCTTGTCATCGGGGTATACGGAGCTCAATGTGCCGGGTTATCATCTACTTCCTTGTGATTTGAGAGACTTGGACGGCACGACGACGAAATTAGAAGTAGCAGGCATCAATCGCAACGTACCGACGCTGTTTGTGTCGGAGTGTGTGTTGATTTACATGGAGGCAAAGTACTCTACGCAGCTTGTTGCGTGGGCTGCATCGTACTTTGATGATGTGAGTTTTGTACTCTACGAACAGATCTTGCCTGACGACGCTTTCGGAAGAGTAATGATGGCGAATATTAAGGCGCGTGGGTGCGACTTATTGAGTATTCACGACTTTCCGACCGTGGAAGCGCAGATCGCACGATTTATCGACCACGGCTACGAGGTAGCGCAGTGCTGGGATATGAACAAGATCTACTATCACTTCTTGGATCCAGCTGAACGTGCCATGTACGTGATATTTGCTCAGCACTGGTGAAGGAACGGAGCTTACGGTAGTGGTGCTTTGTTTTGGCAGGCGCGAACGACTGGAAATCTTTGATGAGCTAGAGGAGTTCCATTTGCTGCAGGCGCACTATTGTGTCGTTGTTGCTACCAAGCTGGCCTCGTCGCCAGCAGCCCGTGCAATCGCGTTTAGTGACTCAGATGCATGATGCTGACTGCAAGTTATCGAACGGATGTACCAAAGGCGCATCGCAAACATCCTGCTACTGTGGAAGAACAAAACGGATTGAATTCACTTGTTACCACTAAGTGGCTACTTGCCCACCTATACCTGGCAACATCCTCTTTTCTGCGTGTGACGTGATGCAAAAATGCACGGATAAAGGTACCCACGTTCTTTGCCATACCAAAATATCGTTTCACTCAACCTTGTCCTTTGCCGTACCAAAATATCGTTTCACTAAACCGTTGGCCTCTATCCATCATACGACATGCTATCTTCCATCCCTTGCAGTCCTGCCAACTGCTTCTTCTACTCTCCACCATGTGACCACCTGAGTATCAGGGAGATGCTAGAGTGACCATTTTTCCGTTGCGACTCAATGCGCCGCCACTTCAGCACCAGATTTACACGAGACTTACTGAGCGACAGCGCACTCGTCCACAATACGCGCAAACTTGTGAATGTGGTTGATAAAAAACTCGCCTGTACGCTGGTTACTCGTCTCCTCATCTATAAGAACGAGATTGTTGTTCAAAAAGACGTGCACATCCGACTTGAGACGAGAGCCGCTAACCTTCAAGGCCATAAGTTCGGCGCGTGCAAGCTCGACGTCGACACGACGAAACGCCGCCAGCTTTTCCAGATCAATGGAACGGTAGAGTTTAATATACGAACGTACAGCTGGTACATGCTGCTGACGGACGACCATATCGTTAAAAGCCTTTAGTTGCCGCTGCGAAGCCTCGGCGCTACAATGAACAACGGCTTCACCCTCGACGGCCACAGCAGGCACGATAAACTTGGGGCAAGAAAAGCTGAATAGTTCGCTGAGAGCAGACACGTCACCTTTTTGTAACTTGCTTTGGTTGTCACCATATTTCTCACGAATGAGCGAATGGATCTGATCGTTAACACGCTGGCCCGGACATAGGAACAGAACAATCGCGAGCAGCGCTATCGCCTTTTCCGTCAGCTTATGCAGCTGCTCGTAATCGGCAAAACGCGAGTAGTAGTTCCGATTACGGTTCACTTGCAAGATGATGGTCGAAAAGGACCGGATCGCCGCGGAAAAGTCCTCGAGCATGAGCTGCGCAAAGCCCATGTGGTAGAACACCGAGACGTGGCAGCCCGGCGACTTTTCATGGATCTGTGCCGTTGTCTTGGCCTCGCCGCGTGCACTCTTGTTGAACAGATCAATAGGTTCCAGCAGCTTGAGTGACGTATAGTAGTCTCCAAACAGCACGTGGGCACGGGCCAGCGTAATAAGGCTAAAGTACCCCAGCTCCTTGACAACAGTCGAAGGCCCTTGCACGTCTGGCTCGTCCTTTAACATCTCCACAATCTTTGAGTGACGTACGAGAGCATGCAAGTAACCAAGCACTTTGCTCGTGTCCCAGATGAAGAGATTCTCCTGGTACGAAGCGATCTCGGCCTCGCCCTTTGTGGCAACTTTAGCTCGGAATTGGCTGTACGACTGATATTGATAGACAAACTCGCCCACAATGTCAAATATCCACTGGGAGGGAAGTGCTTTGAGCTCCAAGGAGCCGTCCAGGATGCCATCGAAAATGGCCACGTACGTCTCCCAAGACGCCACTTTCATGTCCATCCCTGGCTGCAGGCGAGAAAAGAGATGGCGGAAGTAAATTTGCTTGTACAGCAGCAGAAACGTCGGATCTTCGTGCACGAGCAGCTTGATCGCGCTCGCCTCTGGCCAAGACGCTTGCTTAAAGTAGTTGTTCGTCAGGTTGGGGAACTCGCGGTCGTACAGACGCGCCATCTCCGCCACGTTGCCGCCCATCAAGTGTGTGTGCATGTGGGAGAACCAGCTCTTGACGGTCTCGGGGAGCAGAAAGTCCGCGGGTTTGTCGTCGCGACGGTCCGCCATAGTTGCGGCGGCTTTGACGTGTCGCTCGACTCGATGCAGCGTCGAAAATGACTGGTTTGTGCTCGGATGCGGCAGCGTAGGCCTTAGGCATGCGATCCCTTCTGTCAGTACACTATGTTTGTATGAGGCAGCAGATGACATCGGTACGTTTTGTACTCGGCTTAGGTCTTTGCTGCGACTGGTTGGGATCTTTATTTTTCAGCTTCATTGCTTACGCTTGGGAGCAGTATTGCGTGTGCCACATCACGCGATCAGGAATGATGGTCCATCGCGTTTCCCTTGACCTTCTCTATTTGGACATGGATCGAAAACACTTTAACATCGAATTTGCGCGCTGCGTGAGAGCAACGTCTTGCAAAAAGCAAAGCGAAGGTTGGTACACAGTTGGCCACACTTCGGAGCGTTATAATGGTTCGAGCTGCTTGAGAACGCGTAAAGCGAAAATGTCTTTGTATCGGAAATAGCTAATGTGGGCAACTCAGGTGATGTCTGTCGATTTGCCTTGCCTTGTCGATCGCAGCTTCTAATCGTCAAGTTATAGAGAGCTGTTATAAAAAGAATTTGAACAAAAAGAAGAAACGGTCGTGTACAATTCACGACCGCGAGGATAAGTGACGCAGCAGCCGATGAACAGGAAATTCGACCAACTCTGCTGTTCCAGTGCTACCATCAGAAGTAGTCGTTGAAGAGGCGCTTGATGTGTATCATGGCAGACTTGGGCAGACTAAATTACAGTGTGTTCGGTCAAACGATGTCCCTAGACGGTCATTCCATGTTCTCATGCTGCGAGATGGATGGGTAAAGGCAAGGACGGGATTCGATACTACGATCTTGCGGTCATTGCAATACGATACAGATTTAAGCCGTCTGAGAAAAATATGAGATTGCTCGACTACCGAGGTGGTTGATACCAGTTCAATGGCGCTGTATTTCAGTACATGAATAATGGTTGACTTGACTGTGATGCATGCAAAGACGATGCGCACGCATAGAATTACGCGAGCTCACGAGCTGAAACCATACAAGGCGAAAGCGGCATCAATATACGCTTTACGTAGTGTAAGTCCTAGACCTCCTTCGAATTCGCCACTAACCAAAGATTAAGCATACGGAATCTGGTTTGACGTACAAGTATCTTGTGTATGTTCATTTCGATGCGGGTTGCGACATTGGCATGACAACGAATTTTGCAGCTCATTCTGCGGGTGTGAAGAGAAACACATGACAAATCAAATGCTGGGAGACTGGTGAAACGGGGCACCCTTTGCTTAGGGTGCCACGAAACTTCACGTACACTAGCACGAGCAGAGGAAGCTAATCTGCTCAAGCAGCTAGTTTGAGTGAAGGGTAAAAAGAGAACTGTATTAAATACAGTTGAGCTATCAACATAACTTTAATCTTTATCCAACTATTTTAATCTGCATTGTCGTATGACGACAACCTGCTCACCACTCATTGCGCGTGTCTAGCAGCGATTGGTGGCAAGCTATGGTCGATATGTCTTCTATTAACCAATGTTCAAGCAGCGCATGAATATTTTTAAAGGAGGATAACATTCCTTTAGTATTACCTATCTCGGGTGACATTGTCAGGAGATTGTCACGCTAGACAATCTTCCTATTGACACTGTTTGGTGTCAATATCATGTAACGGGCTACCCCGTTACAAGTGGAGAACCTTAATATTAGCGGCCTTTTCGATACGTTGAAGAAGTCGTGGAAGCAGAATACAGAAGCTCTACAACGATTTGCAGAAAATGAGAAATCGGTTACGTGATCCGCTTTCTCACCTTTGACAAGTTGACATGGAGCTCTCGGGCATCTAAATTTACCCTATAGCGACGTACACATCGTTTCATAACAATTCCAGCAAGGCGGAATGTAGCCCTACGCATTATACAAAAGCTGGATTGTCGACAGTTTTTGAATCGGGGTTACACGGCGGTTATTGAATCGGTAATGTTGTGTGCCACACCAAGTAAAGATCAATAAATCGTAGTGGTACACTGTTGGTACCACGTACTTACGGGCATACCGCACCTTATCGGGTAGGGATAAGACTTCTGTCACAGAATCGCAATTTAAAGTTAGTCTGACAAGGTTTTACGTTTTTATTACCGTGGATCGAGACTAAATATAGTTCAGTCTCCCTTTTAAATCGTTGGACACAAGTGCCTAGCCACGACCTAGTGTGTTGTCAGATCAGTAGCCTTGTTAAGGCGTTTACTCTTGTTTAACTAGTAGTATCTATTAAGTGTGTGATTCTGTGAGTCGTAATTCCTTGGAACCGGGATTGAAAAGCTTGTACGCTTGAACCACTGTACTTCGTTGTCAATTTCTAATAACTAAGAGACCCTTTTAGTTTAAGACTTCCTCTGTTAAGGAGCGCTAAGTAGCTCCGCTACGTTTCGTATACCCAAACCATCTCTTTTATAAATGGTCAAAAATCTTAGTGAAAGATATCTCGTTCGTGGTCAGTTCTGCGGTCCCACCGCAAGTTGCCTAAAATGAGCACAATGCGTAATTACGCGTTGTAAAGGCAGAAATGTTTTTTTGCAACTTATTTGTGTATCCGAATTTTAAAACTTTGATGATTTTTTACAATTTGTTTAGTCCAGACTGACTGTGGGCGGTACGGAGGAAAACTGGACGGACAAATCAGAAGATCGAGAATTCATGACAGTTTTTGTCATAGGATTGTTCTACTGTTATGGTGCAGAAAAAAATCAAAACTGTGGAAGAATTTTGTACTATATACTATTAATTTTAAACTATATGTTGATGACCACAACGTTGACATTATTCTATCTGTTTTCATAATCACTCCTTCCAGTATTACACGAATAGGCAAACATACACCCCTGACAGTGTACAATAGCTTCATACACAAGATTTATCGTAAGACGCCCTAGAAAAAGCCTTCCTATCAAACGAAACATATTATAGGAGAAGGATGTGTAATAAAGTACGAATATAACAAAGAACATCTTCTGATTGATTTACGTGAGAAAAAATAGGGGGAAAGCGATGAAATACTGGTATGGCATAAGGGTGAGAATATCAGGTTTGGAAAGAAAGGTGTGAATATTGGGGTTGGCAAATGGTGTGGATTTAAAGAAAATGGTGTGATTATATCAACTTTCTGAACAGATTGTCCCAAAAATTTGGAAAATAAAATCATGCCCCATGTCCTGGTGTACTCAAGCTAACTTTGCACAAGTAAGAGCCCACATGTTTGGTTATTTCATCAACAACTTTACGGCCGTGCTCAACCCCCGCCCTGAATGGGAAGCAGCGGGGGAGGTTCTGCCACAGGTACGCTGTGCCCGTGGCCACCAGTTGCGGGCGAAGACGTCAAATGGAAGGCTTAAACGCGTCCTCATATCGTAGGCCGAAATTTTCGCATGGACGTCGGTTCTAATATTGTCTATGAAATTATTTTGAATCGTATTTTAGTTTTCTAGCGATAAATAGTATAATTACTATTATTATTTTAGTTGTTGTTGTCATGATCGAAGTGTTTTGCTGTATCAATTGCTCCTGTTTTGTTGCTGGTGTCTTTGTGGCTTGTATCACTGATGCTACTGTTGTTGTTATCGCTACTGCTCTTGTTGTTGTTGATACTGGTGTAGCGGTTGCTTTGCTGTTGATGTTGCTCTTATTTGAGCTTCTACTGCCGTTTCACTAATGTCAGTGTTCTTGATATCGCTATTTTTACTGTTGATGCTGGCGCAGTAGTGCTGCTGTTTTAGTTGTATTAGTTGTAGGATCGAAATTCTCTCTGGCTTTTTTAACGTAGTTGCTTTAAGCATATTTTCACAAGGTAGTACACTATCATGAATCCACTCGATCTATTTATCTCAGATTTTTTATTCCAACGCTATCAGACTATTTCGACTGCAGTTGCAAGCAGGGGCGGGCAATAATGCCTCAACAATAGTCGATTAAAGTTGTTTGTCAGTCATTGTACGAAAACGTTGTTTTTTCGGTTTTGTCCAAAGTTTTTGGACTGACATCGTAATAGCGTGAAGCTGACATGTCAATCACTCTCATCTAGAGAATAAAGTCCCGTCTTAATTAGGCGTGTGCGCAAGACTGTGCCCGGTACGAAGGTACGATACAAAGCAAAAATATGAAACCCTTATCAGGACTGTTGTGCATTTAAGTGCTATTGCAGGAATTCGCCGTTGCTATCAATGACTATAAACTCCAAGAACATCACGATGGGCGTGGAGATTCTACAAGTAGTAACACTGGATTGAGACATGTGATTGGTAATATTATAACTCACTCCACCATATTTGATTTTTCCCTTTGCAGATGTGTATCGAAAAAAAAATAGCTTTGATATGCGAGCATCGTCTAAGCTCACTGAATATTCGCGTCACCGTATACAAGAAATCGTCAGTTTTAGTAATTCAGACGTATCAGCATTTTTCTTTTGAATGGTATAAATAATAGGATTAAGCTCTCTATCGAAGCACAATGTCGGTAAATGTGTGCCATGTTAACTTGGGTATATCAGGACGCGAGATGTTGTTCAGGCCACGACTATAGGGACACACTGTCTTTTTGCTATGGGAGCACCCGCCTATCTAGAATAATAACAACAACTAGTAATAACTTCAAGGGTTATTGAAGGGCTCAAAAATATATACAGAAACATTTACAAGCACTATCAGCAATTTTATTTGTCTCCAGTTCGATCTCCATCATCGTGATGTCCGACGTCCCCAAGTCAACCACCTCTGATCGCGCTAGACTGAGAGTTTAACCTCAGAGGTGTCTGAAACAAGTATTTATCCGGTACAGGTGATAAAACATGACATGGATTCGGAAGTTGAAACCCAGAAGGAGGAGCAAGAGCAATTGGAGCTATGGGGAACTGTGCAGACGAAATGCTTAAGACGAGAGTTCCTTGTGGTGTTCCGTCGGTTGGTCCTCGAAGCGCGGGTGCAAGCTTAGAAGACGTGCTTTGAGCTGTACAGTTCTTCGATGTTTTGTGGTGACCGACGCCCCCGCAAGTGCTGCACGTTCTACTTCTCTACGCTTCTGCTGTTGTTTCACATACTCGAACTCAGACAGATTTCTTTTCTTCGAGGTGCTTGGGCGCGGGCCCCTTTGTCCTCACAACTCCCGATTTTTGATCGGACAGGGAAGCTGCTGCAGTAGATTGTGGAGCTGCTAAAAAGTTGCCCTCTGTTGGTGAAGCTGCTAAAGTGCCACTTTGTTGACTACTTTCCAAGACAAAACAGGAAAATGAGATTTTGGTCTCATTATAGCTCCAGGAAAAGAGATATACGTTCCACACGTGCCAATGAAGATGGAAATCGTTTAAATTCGATAGCGCATCCTGGCTGAGCAACTCTCTGAGCCGGTGCTGGCATTGCATACCTCATACTGTCGCGGAGGCATAGGAGAATGGCTTTTCATTAGCTTGGACGATTCAGTACGTCAAAATGTCAGCGGCACACAAAACTGAATACAAAAAAGAGATATTTAATTTTGCCGACTTCATCATATCTTGACTTGCCTTCTCGTTGACTTTGCTCAAAAAATTTTAGTCTGCTTTTTGAGACGTTTTGAAAGATATATGTCTTTAGGGAAGGGTAGACAAACGGAGGGGGCTGTGTCTAATCGCTAATACGTTCCGCAAATTAATGCGTCAGAAAACCTTCGATCGACACCGCATTTCTCTTTCAGCATTGCAACAGATCAAGCATGGTCGTGCCCAGGTACGTTTCGGCCGGTTGTGGGCACTTTGACCACGTGAGGTAACGGTATAACCAAAGCGGGTGACGTTGTTGGTCCATGCCGCAACAAAGTTTTTCTTGTGGGGAGAGATCCACGTGGCCTATTGGTTGATAGGCGTTTCATGATACGTTTGGTAGTGCGTCTGAAAGCTGGACCAGAGTTTCATAAAAAGATCTTTTTCCCTGAACGTACGGTCTAAGAAAGTGAATAAATCTCACGTAGATAGCTCATTGGTTTTGTGTACGCTGCAAAAAAAAGAAGAGCTCCTTACCGCTTCTTAGTTTTGCCTAAACTGCGCATGATTGCTGCCAAGTATTCCCTTGCAATTCTTGGTAACGTTCTTCTCAATATGTCACACACAACAAAATCAAAGGCTCAACAAACTGATTTTGGAACACCGAGATCAGGGAATGGTCTTAATCAACGGCTAAGACTTTCGGAAGATCATGATGTGGAAGATCTTGTGCAGGAAAATAAAAGCAGTCCTGTTCGACTCTTCATTCTCGTTCTTTATAACGACAAAGGCCGAGGAGAACGAGGTGTAATCGCTGAAGCGTATGAGAAGCAGACGGTACTTGTTGTTCTTCTATGTATAACCAAAGCCTAACACGTCGGGATTGAGTCTCATTAACTCTACCCATTACCGGGTTTGCAAAAAAGCAATGGGTGACACGTCCATCATCGCCCAAAACCAGTTTTATTCCTTAGGCCTCATCCCTGAAAAGTTTGACCTTAACCTATATCGGGCTCTTACCGTCCGACACTGTAAGGGGTATACTTTGCTTAGGGTGCCACGAAACTTCACGTACTAGTGTACGTGAAGTTGAGGAACTAATCTGCTCAAGCAGCTAGTTTGAGTAAAGGGTAAAAAGAGAACTGTATTAAATAGAGTTGAGCTATCAACATAACTTTAATCTTTATCCAACTATTTTAATCTACATTGTCGTATGACGACAACTGTAACGGGGTTACACGAAATTATGGTACTTTGCACCAGAGGTGTTACACACCTGAGGGTACCATTTTGTGAAGGTGATATAGAATATCTTATCGGTTTGTAGGGGCTGACGAGTGTCAGCCATTAGGTACGAAAGATCTTTGAGTAGGATTAAGATATTCTATAGGCGTTAACCAAAAATAAAATCAGTTCCCATTTTGATCTGAAAGACACGTGGCTTGCGAGCCGTCTTGATCGTTGATCTCTGATCACTAAGAGTTAGCAACACCTCCTTGAGTTAGCTAATCTTGAGTACTAAGTGCTGTCGATTCACTGAATCGTTAGGTCCCCTGGAACAGGAATCTGAAGCTGTAAAGCTTGTTGACTCGTAAAGTCGTTAATTCTTTAGAACTGAGTTGCTCGTAGAGCGTTTAGTCTTCCTCTGACTTAAGGGGCTGTGTAGCTCCGCTACACTTGGTAGCACTCGTAGTCAATCTACGCCTGAGTCTTTAAGACTGATCCTCTGTGAGGATGGAAAACCTCACTCCCCTATCTGAGGCCCAAAAGGTCGCGCTTGATAAGCTGACCGCATCTTTGGGTCCAGAGTACGTGGAGTTCCTTGTTTCTCAAGGTCCTGAAGTGCTTAATGCACGTGTTGAAAGCTTCATGCAGTATGAAGCAACCCTTTTAGGGCAGGTCCAAGACCAAATAGCGTCGGCTATGCCTACACGCTACGTTTCTGTACCGGACGAAGAGGCTAGGCCTCGTCCACTTAGAGTGGAAGTGAAAAACTACTCCGGTAAAGAGGGTGAGAACCTCATCCCATGGATCCGTGAGATTGAGATGGCCATGAGATCAGGCCTGACCACGCTTGACCATCAACAGGTCTTGCTCGCTATCTCGAAGCTCGATGGTAGAGCTAGAGAATGGCCTTGACGTGTAGCACGTCGGTGGACATAGCGTTTCCCACATAGGAGTCGCTCAAGTCACAATTGGTACAGGTGTTATCTCCACCCAACCAAGCTTACCGCGTGCGTTCACGCTTTCTTTCTACCCGCCAGGGTAAGAATGAATTATCGGACTATGTCCAAGAGCTGCGAACGCTCATGGCTGCAATGCAGTCTGACCCTCTGCCTGAAGCAGTCCATGTGACTATCTTTATGGAAGGTCTACGTACTGGCATTGCCAGAACCGAGGGTTTTCGGGTTCACCCCTCTACGTTTGAAGAGGCTGTAAGAATTGCTCTTAATGCTGAGCATAACTTCAAGTCGGCCAGACTTGGTTGGGATGGCTACAATCCTCGCTCTGGGAGAGCAAACTTTTCGGGCACTACTGCCTATAATAGGCCGGAAGCGATGGATCTCAGCTATGCTGAAGACGAAGGTGAAGCTGAGCTTCAAGCTGTTGAGCAGCAACACGTCGTGCGGCGATGTTTTACGTGTGGAATTACTAAACACTTGCTGCCTGGTTGCCCTTTGCGTAAGCAACGTCAGGCTACAAGCCAACACTCGACCCCGAGTCGGAAGTCTGGCATGGCACGGGGAAATGCCGACACCCAGTTGGCGCGGGGCGCCCTACTGGGGAAGAACTAGGTTCTGTTACACCTTTAGAAGGTGAAGGAATGCAGGGCTTAGCCCCAAAGAGTACCATACCTACAGGTATGGTGCGTGGATACAAGTCTGGCTTGTTGTTCGCCGAGGCGGAAATTAAGGGCTTTGAGAAGCCTTGGTCGATATTGATCGATTCTGGAGCGTCTTGCAATTATGCTCGACGCCGTTCCTTTGAGGGAAGTCAGCAATATGCTGAGGCGCTTACAGCGCATGAGGGTGATTCTATCACGGTTCGTTTAGCGGCTGGAAGTCGCGTAACTGTGCCTAAAGTTCCATTGAACTTAGGTATAAAGTTTTTAGACTTTGACAGTTTTGAGCGCTGTCTTGTCCTAGATTTGGACTCGAGATATGATATCATCCTAGGTATGGCTTGGCTTGAGCGCCATGAGCCATGGATTGATTGGAGGTCTGAGACCTTAGGCGCCACGCGCAATGTTCCTAGCGAAGCTTTGGAGAGTCATGAACCCACCTTCGCTAGGCAACAGAAGCGCTATTGGCGAGAGCCTTTGACAGAAGATGTCAATGTGCTGGATATTGGAATGTCTGAGTTATCTAATTCCAATGTTACAAACATAAGTTTCGAGCCTAGCTCGTCTAAAACTAGTGAAACGGCACGTACTCCGTTGAGTGGTACTCGTTGGGATAACGAGTCACTGCATGCTGAAAGCATGGTTGGCCTAGGGCCGAGTGATCAAGGATGTGATTCCTTTGATGTGTGTATGGTGGCACGTGAAACTACACCGAGTGCGGTCGGCCGTGAGAGCACCGCACTGAATGTCAATAATGACATTTTTGGACATATGCCATTTAGTGTGGGCGGCCGTGAAGGCACCACGCTTAACGTCGGTCATGGCGTTGTTGGCGATTCGCCATATAGTGTGGGCGGCCGTGAGGGCACCACACCTAATGTCAATAATGATATTGTTGGCGATACGCCGTATAGTGTGGACGGCCGTGAGGGCACCACTCTTAACGCCGGTAATGGCGTTGTTGGCGATACGCCGTATAGTGTGGGCAGCCGTGAGGGCAACACACCTAATGTCAGTAATGATACTGTTGGCGATGTCGATAATGACATTGATGGCGAGATGCCGTTAAATGTAGGGCTAGGCCCGCATAATGCACGTGAAGTGGTAGGTTTAAATCCACTGGGTGAAGCGTTCGAGTTACGTGACACTTCACCAGATGTCGGTCAAGACATAAGCTCTCGTATAGAGCGTACTATGGTTGGTAGTAACCATGGGGACAATATTGTCCCGACCCTAAGGGGTGTAAGGTCTCGAAGAGACAATCTAGACGCCGAGTCGCAGCTGTAAAGCGCCAGGCGTCCTCACAGTCACATAGTGATAATAGTAATACACTATATACACTTGTTAATGGAGTGACCGGTGATGTTGATGGCAATGTGAGCCTCGAAACCCTTCCATCTGTGGACGCTCTTTGTGAGCTAGACGAAATGTCTGATATCGAGTTTAGCCAGGCCTTAAAGGCAGGAGAGTTATCCGAGTTAGTGGTCATTAGACCTGATACTGAGTTGAACTCTTCCTCGTTAATGGATGTGTCTGTCCTAGAGGATACAAAGGTGGCACTTAGTGCACGAAGTGGATCTTCGATCCTTAAATATCCTTTGGATCCGTTCTATCCTTTAGTTAAGGAATTTCAAGATGTGGTGTGTCACAACCCACCTTCTGCCTTACCTCTCGATAGAGGTGTACGTCATGAGATTGACTTAGTTCCTGGAACTAAATACTGTGTAACACGGCAGTGGCCTTTGCCTAAAGAACAGTGTGACGTCATTGACGAATTCTTTCGTGCTAAGCACGCGGCTGGAATGGTTCGTGAGAGCAAGTCTCCCCATTCAACACCGACATTTTGTGTCAAAAAGCCAAATGGCTAGTGGCGTATTGTGCATGCTTATAATAAGCTTAATGCAGCCACTATACCGGCGCAGACGCCTATTCCTAGAAAGGATGTGCTTCAGAAAAATATGGCAGGATGTACATTGTACAGGGCACTCGACTTAGTCGATGGTTATTTCCAACTGCTTATGCGAGCAAGCGATATTCCGCTAACAGCGGTGAGTACTCCGAGCGGTATGCTCTGGGAGTGGCTTGTTATGCCACAAGGCCTATCTAATGCCCCGGCTAAGTTTAACCGGCTGGTAACGCAACTATTTAGACCTCATCGAGGCTATGCACAAACGTACTTTGATGACATTTTTATGTCCATAGTCGTGCAATGAATGGGCGATCAGGTGTGGATAACCACATTGATCATTTACGAGCGGTGCTCGAGTGCATGCGAACGAATAAGTTGTATGCTAGCGCATCGAAGTGCATCTTTGGTGCAGAAGAGATTCCCTTTTTGGAATGCTTCATTGGGAAGCGAGGAATTCGGGCAGACCCTGTTAAGGTCAAAGCCATAGTGGATTGGCCAGTTCCGAAGAACCAAAAGGACCTCCGTAAGTGGTTGGGTTTGGCAATTACTTTCATAAGTACAGTGCGAATTACGCAGATATGGCTAGGCCATTGTCCAATCTCCTTAAAAAAGATGTGGAATGGTGTTGGAACACCGAACCTTACGAGGCTTTTGAAGCCATTAAGGAGAGTCTCCTTCAGGCGCCAATTCTGGCTTTGCCTGATCCTGATCGCCCTTTTAGCGTCGTGTGTGACGCTTCGGACTTTGCCATTGGCAGTGCTCTCTTACAAGCTGACGTTGACGGTCGAGAACGCGTCATCGCGTTTGAGTCTCGCCAGATGAAAGCTGCAGAGAAGAACTATCCAGTTCATGACAAAGAGTTACTTGCGATGAAGTATGCCCTTGTTAAATTCAGGGTACACCTGTTGGGCTCCAAGCCGTTTGTGATCTATACAGATCATGCGTCATTACGCACAGCGACACAGTCGCCTCATCTCTCGCAGAGAATGGCTCGTTGGCTCTCCTTTTTCGCGGAGTATAACTTCGAGGTGAAGTACAAGCCAGGTAAGCGAAATGCTTTGGCTGATGCGCTATCGCGTCGACCTGACTATGAGCTTGCTCATGTTACGACTCTGTCTTCGTCAGTCCCTGACTTAAGCCGTGCGACATATGCCAAGGATGATCAGTGTGTAGCTTTGCTACGTGCTCTTGGGAGCGATGAGTTTAAAGACTCGGACATCGAGTTGTCGGCACGTTTACGTGCGAGGCTACATCGATATTCCATCGATAATGGCCTGTTGTGCTATCGCACGGATATTGAGGATAACCCTCGTATCGCTGTACCTCATGATGAGGAATTAAAGTATCGAATCCTCTATGAGGCACATGATACTGCTATAAGTGGTCATCTCGGTCGTGAGAAGACTCATAGCTCGGTGAGCCAAAGTTATTGGTGGCCCAAACTTTATAAGTGGGTGAGCACCTATGTGCGTACGTGCGATCGTGTCAACGGGTTAAACCATCGGCACATGCGGCGGCGCCGCTGTCTAGTTTGCCAGTACCCACTGGTTGTTGGGAGTCCATGAGCATGGATTTTGTGTTTGGCCTACCGCGTGATGCGGCAGGCAACACTGGGATTGTGGTCTTTGTTGACCAACTGAGCAAGATGGCTCACTTAGCGGCAGTGCCGGACTCCATTGATGCAGAAGGAACATCAAAGCTGTTCATGGATCGTGTGTTTAGACAACATGGATTGCCTGTGGCAATCGTCTCTGATAGAGACCCCCGTTTTACGGGTAAGTTTTGGACGTCAGTCTTTAAAGTGCTTGGCACTCGGTTAGACATGTCCACAGCGGATCATCCGCAGACCGACGGTCAATCTGAGCGTGTTAATCGCGTCATCAGTGACATTTTGCGCAGCGTTTGTGCTGATACGCCTAGGCGTTGTAGCTCCATGCTCCCGGTTGTTGAGTTTGCGTTATACAACGCTGTTCATGCCTCAACAGGCTTTACTCCGTTCTATATAAACGGTCTCACTCACCCTCGCTATCACTACGTGATTCAGGGCTTGGTGGGGGAGAGGTTGCCGATAGGCTTGCTGATATCAGCCCTGCTACCGTTCAAAAACAGGTAGGCGAGTTTCTCGCAACGCGATTAAATGTCCTAAGACATGTGCGTGGCGCAATGGCTGACAGCCAAGATAAACAAAAACAACAAGCTGATTCCAAAGGCAGAAATTGTATTGAACATTATGAGGTCGGAGACCAAGTTTTACTCAATGCTAAAAATCTACCTACAAATGTAGTGTCGGCTGTCTTTAAGACAAAGTTGCGTCCACGCTTTATTGGACCGTTCACGGTCACGGCCAAGAAGGGACTTGCGTATACGCTAAACCTTCCGCGCAAATTGTGCACACATCCAGTGTTCTACGTAGGCTTACTTAAGCCGTACCGGGATCCTTCCAATGTGAACTTGGAGGCGCTTGCGCCGACGACAAGGGCACCGCCCCGGATTGCTATAGGCAATCAGCAAGTCCAACTGATCCTCGCTCCGAGTTTGAGCTTGCTCCATCGCCTGAAGGCGGCTCTGCATCGCATCCAGCATGCAATGGGACTTACCCAAGGCCTTTTGAAGACCCTTCACTTCGAGAACCAATTTCTCGTGGGCCTCCGCCGGTACACCAGCCGCCACCGACTTTGCTCAATGAGCATGGGTGTCGTCAATTTCATGTCGAGAGACTACTGAAACGACGTCGTCGTCAGGGCCAATACCAGTATCTGGTAAAGTGGCGTGGGTACCCTGAGTCTGAAAACTCATGGGAATTTGAGGTACCCCTTCGGCAAGACTGCCCTTATGCTTTGGATGCTTTTGAGCATCGTGGCTATGGTCATCTTGAGGCCTAGGCCGTTCCCCACCACTAGTGGTGCGGGCTGGCGGGTTGTTGGCCACCGACTGACCAGCGCTCGCGGCTACCTTTGTAGCCGATGCATAGCGCGTGTGCTTGCGCAATTGGCCTCTGGCCTTAAGCTTGGCATAATCATACCGAAGCTTGCGTTCAAGACGCACGTCAGCCACACTGGCACTAGCCCTTAGAGCACACATATTGCTGAGGCGACGCACATAGTGCACCCAGTGAGCGAAGGCATCGTCTTCCTCACTCGCTGTTTCGCCTGCGAGCAAGAGAATGGGTATACCCTTGATCGGTGGAACCGGTGCACCACGTGCTTGCATGTCAAGGCGTGCCTTGTATTGACTTTGAGTCGTTAGTGCGGCTCCAGGTACCTCTTACGAAGTGCCTGGCAGCTCACCACCTTCTTAGGAGTCTTGGGCCGATGGCCAATGACCCACGTTGCCAACGTTTGGCCGGCCGCTTGACGTAGACGTTCCTCCACACTGGGTGGGGTGAACACATAGTCACGCTGGCGTTCAAGCGTTACAACCATTCGTGCATGACGCTGAGCGTTTTCTTCTTGCTGAACAAGCAAATGTCGTTGCTCATCGAGCGGGTTTGTGATGATACTTTCATCAGACCCAGATGCTGCATGCTGCGCTGGTTGTGCGCTCGCATCTCCACGTTCAGCGAACGGATTGGGGGCGTTCAAAGTTTGTGCCTCAGGCATCAGTGAGTCGGACATTGTCCCTGTATCACTGCGGACACTGGTATCGCTACCATAGTCCACCTCCTCCTCTATTCCGAGGTAGTCACACAGAGCCTTTGACTCATTCGGTGACGAGGACATCGTGCTAGAGCGTACGTTACCGTGAGGTTCACCGTACGCGCACTGTTCTCGCTGAAGAACACAAGATTCGATTGACGTTTTGACAAACATCAGTCTGGTGGGGGAGGGTGTAACGGGGTTACACGAAATTATGGTACTTTGCACCAGAGGTGTTACACACCTGAGGGTACCATTTTGTGAAGGTGATATAGAATATCTTATCGGTTTGTAGGGGCTGACGAGTGTCATCCATTAGATACGAAAGATCTTTGAGTAGGATTAAGATATTCTATAGGCGTTAACCAAAAATAAAATCAGTTCCCATTTTGATCTGAAAGACACGTGGCTTGCGAGCCGTCTTGATCGTTGATCTCTGATCACTAAGAGTTAGCAACACCTCCTTGAGGTAGCTACTCTTGAGCACTAAGTGCTGTCGATTCACTGAATCGTTAGGTCCCCTGGAACAGGAATCTGAAGCTGTAAAGCTTGTTGACTCGTAAAGTCGTTAGTTCTTTAGAACTGAGTTGCTCGTAGAGCGTTAAGTCTTCCTCTGACTTAAGGAGCTGTGTAGCTCCGCTACAACAACCTGCTCACCACTCATTGCGCGCGTCTAGCAGCGATTGGTGGCAAGCTATGGTTGATATGTCCTATATCAACCAATCTTCAAGCAGCGCATGAATATTATCAAAGGAGGATAACATTCCTTCAATACTATCTATCTCGGGTGACATTGGTAGGATATCGTCATGCTAGACAATATCCCCATTGACACCGTTTGGTGTCAATATCATGTAACGGGCTACTCCGTTACAGAGCCCTCCTTTATCAGCTGCTAAACGATGTTGTACGACTTCTTTATGGGAACCTTCGCGACATGTGTCATTTCCAACTGGTTTTGAAAGCTCGTGGAGGTACCGCTGCGTCTATAATGATTGCGTGTTATTATTAGACGGGTGGGTGTGCCCGTAGCAAAAGTGGACTGTGCCTCTAGTCGTGGCCTTTTCTATTTTCCGATTATCTGGGTCATTTATTTTTGTGATAGAGATGGAGCATTTTATTGCCGTGACTAAAATATGGTGCGTAATATGTTTCCTTACATGCTAAAAATGAGCCGATCGAAACGTTACATTGCACGCATCCCGTATTTCTGCTTCTTCCACCGATAACGATTTACCTGTGTAATGCTCGTGTCATCCCATTGTCGCGGGTACAACTGAAACTAGACAAAGTATCTGCAAATGTTTCGCATCCGTGGGTGAGCTACCGATACTGTGTAGAACACGTGCGCTTATAATCGAGTCGATAATTCAACGGACGTGTTCGTGCTAGGAGATTCATTCGTAACTCACGCGTTTTCAAAACCAAGCAGCTGACGTCCTAGTAGCACCGTGTGATGATCAAATTTGGCCCCTGTAGTCGGTGAACACTCGTTTCGAATAGCTTGATAACAAGCTCGCGAGATACAATTTTTTGCTGCTATTGGCTCGTAGTTGTCGAAGCGGAGGGTTGTGAGATTGATGAGCTGACGGCTCATTTTTTTGTAGCATTTCGACAATGAATGCTAATTGAAGATGTGGTCCTTTGACAAGGGCGTCACATAGTGAAGAAATACCCGAACAGCGCGCACGGATTAGCTCACGCCTACTTCCGTTGGCCACAATAACGCTCGAGCCCGGTCTCTCATCCTGTGCATATTGACGCCCTTGCTCATGCTAACAACGCAGTTATGGCAACCATTCTTGCCTGGCCTTTCAGTCATTGTAGCGGTGCGTGCTACAACTATCAACCGATAGATGTTGCATATCAAACACTGGGCAGATTCTGACTGCATAAGCTCAGAAAACGACTGCCCAAAACACGAAGTCTAATGGTGCACCAGGTGTAGAGTCTCACTCACGACTCGAGACCAAGTAGGGATGGACCATGTTAACTTTTACCCACAGGGAGCACCCACCAGTAGGCACACGCAAGAGCAGCAGACGTACCCAACGACCGACCTGGTCCGTCCAGTCCACGCGACCTAGGCTTTCTTGGCCGTGAGCACAAGGGGTCCGACATTGTCCCCCGTCTCTTTGTTGTGCTTCACGTGGGAGCCGTCGCACAAAGGGAACTTCTTGGACTTCCAGCAGCGACAGACCGTGCACTTGCCCTTGGCCTTGATCACGTCCTCGACGTCCGGCACCGACATAAAGTCCACGACCTTCTCCTTGTCCAGCTGCACCTTCCGGTTCACCCGCCCAGGCTTCGAGCTCCCCTTGCCGGTGAACAGCGTCAGCGCCAGCACCGTCACCGTGATGAGCAGCGGCGCCAGGTACATCCAGTCAGCCTGCTTGAGCTTCAGGAAGCCCGAAAACGTGCGGGGTAGGGGCAGCCCCTTGAGGTAGCGCGGCAGATCCGTCTATAAATGCGAGTAACGAATTAGTAGAGGATCGGGGCGTGTCCGTAATAGGCACTTGGACGACGGGACGCACCTTTAGATACTTGCGGATGACGTCCATTTCGAAGGACTTGAGCGGCTCGTCGACTTTTTAAATGATTTGTACAAGATTTCGTATCGACCACAGAAACAGGAGCTGCAGTAAAAAGCACTTTATTTTGACGGGATTATAAAAGGTGCTCATGTTGCCACGAGTTTCTGCTAGAAACGTTTGCAAACTTGGACGACGACTCATTGCTTTTAGAAACGATTGTAAACTTGGACGACTGGTACTTCCTCTTAGAAACGATCGCGGACTTGGACAACCGCTACTTTTTCTTTGAAACCTTCGTGTACTTGGACGATCGCTTTTCCGTGGTGATGGTCGTTGAGCTGTACGATGACGACGCCGCCAGCAACTTGGACTTCTCCGGAATAAGCTCGCCCAAAAGCTTCTTCTCCGCGTATTCTAGTTCCCACTCATGGTTGTGCAGGCGGAGGCTCACACGTTCCTGTTTGTACGCTTTGGGCGCATCAAAAGCCATATTAGGACCCGCGTTCATTCCCATCTGCATCTGCATGGCCTTGGCATCGTCGCTTGCTACACAGTGCGAGCAAGAAATCAGCACATCAGTCCCTTGTTGCTCTAAGTTCACCGATTAAACGCGCAAAACGTACCGCTCATTTCACCAAGTACAAGCGAGAGAAACCCGCGCATGCCGAAGCTTACGAGGAAGTACCAGGACACCGACGACACGTACGACACGTCCAGCGTGCTATCGCCGTAACAACAACAACAACAGCAGCAGCTAATAGTAAGAACCATACAATCAAATCGCATGCAATAAAACCACAATGGACGCCTCCTTACTTGAGCTCAATGCCGCGTTGCAACATCATTTTAAATTTCTGCGTCAGCGAGAATGGTACCTTTGCTGCAGTCAAAGAAAGAGAAAAACAAACCACAATAAACTCTGTGTAAAAAACCGAATGACGTCTAATACCTCCACAGCTAACGCACCCAACACGAAGCCGCCAAAAAAGTAGCTCATGAGTCCCATCATGACAAAGTTGGACACCATAAAGGTCATGTTGCCCTTCATCATCTCCAGCATGCTATTCGGGTTCATCATCTGGTTCATCGCCTCGCTCTTGACCTTCTCGCGCAGTGCACCCTTTCTGCCGTCCTTCTTCTGAGACGCTGTAAAATAATGCTGCAACAGTGCACGACCAACAAAAGGCGAGCGTTACTCTTCTTTCAACAGCATTCACCACGGTCCCCATCATTTCAATGCCTCGATCTGCTCCGCACCTTGCGCACTGCAAAGGCATCGGGAGCAATGAACTTGGAATTCACACGTGTAATCTGCGCGCGTTTGACCGTGTTCCTGTCACGAAAAGATTGCACCGTTCCATTGTGAGGTCACTTTCCAGTTTATCGATCAAACCTGCTGTACCACTAAGTACGATCGAACGCAAAGCTTCCTACATGGGCAGGAGCTGCTCGACACTCGCCATCTTCTCATTCTTCAGCAGCAGCGTGACATAGTGTCGCACCATGGCAGAGCACCCAAAGATGATGATCATGGGCAGCACGACCCAGTCACGGATGCTCGGGTCCAGGATGATCTCGACCATCCTGCTGCGGGTTATCCTGTGAGGTGGCAGGTCGATGGCAAGAAGGCGGGTCGTTCATTGGTCAAAACGACATCATCATCATACTCGATAGTCATTGGTCAAGACTACATCCTCATGATGCTCGATACGTATTGGCCGAAACGACATCATCATGATGCTCGAATTTCCACCACTCACAGCACACTTGTTTTTAACAGCAAACGCTTTGCTCACCCACTTCAAAATGAACCGTAACCGGGATACGCTGGCGGACGAGAACAAGACGCGGGGGCCGCAGTTCTCACTGAAGAAGCGCGCGGCGATTGCTGTGTGTCTCTCTCTATGTAGCATAGCGATGTTTGTCTTGTTGGCGACGCCAGAGCTGCCGTACAAGACGCTGGAGACGAGGCGCGTCGTCACTATCCGCGACAGACTGAGTCCATTGGCTACTGAGGGAAGTGGATTCAGGCTCACAACGTACCCCCAGTTACTTGAAGATGGCGAAGAACTGGTTGTGTCTTGGAAGGGTGAAGAAGCTGTGGAGCTGACGAGTCAAGACTATGTGACGTTGAGCTGTGGTCCGACGACGGGGGACGAAGATTACTTGATGAAAAGGCGCCCGAGTGAGAGCAACGAGACCGACCACTCCGTCCGGTTCTCGGGGCTCTATATGCTTCGCTGCAACTACACGGCTATTTATTACAATTATGACGAGAAGAACGACTCGTTTTGGGCCCTTGCAAAGGTGGAGGTTGGGATGGCAGAGCCATTTGAGACACCAAAGCACGGCCACTTGAGTCTTACGGATGATGAGACGGCAATGGCGATTTTGTTCAACTCTGGGACTTCGGACACGCCCATGGTCAAGTATGGAGAGGAATTGCAGGATCTTGTGTTCGATGCAACGGGGACGTCGACGACCTACAGCGCTGACGACATGTGAGTGCTGATATTGATGGGGAGGGATGATATCATGGTACTAACGTAGATGCTGAAGGTGTCACGCCCCTGCGAACACGACTGGACAACTTGCTTTTCGTGACCCTGGCTACATGCACACGGTGATCATGACAAATTTGAAGCCGGATACGTACTACTACTATCAGTACGGCCACGAGAAGCACAGCTTGAGTCGTGTGAAGCAATTCAAGTCGCGGCCTCGGAGAGACTCGAAGTATGCTAAGTTTATCGCGTACGCAGACATGGGTGCGTATTCTGCGCCTGGTTCAGCGTCAACTGCTAGCAGAGTTTACGAGGATGTGGTGGGAAGAGGATATGATTCGTTTTTGCTGCACTTTGGCGATATCAGGTACGGTCACGCGAATGTCAGGTGATGTTGCTAGTGACTCATTCGTACGATAACGTGACTTGCTTTCAGTTATGCTCGATCGGTTGGCTACATTTGGGATCAATTCTTCCATATGATCGAGCCCTACGCAACCAGAGTGTACGTGTCTTAGCTGGCTGCAACGTCAATGTTTTGGGATGATTGCAAACGGTGTGTCGTTGTTTTTCTGTGTGCATGGATGCTCGTGGTAGGCCATACATGGTGGGCATTGGAAACCGTACGTGTCCATGAGTCCACGTACTGCGTACGGTATAGCCTCATTTATTCCACTATTTCTACCCGCCTTTGCAGATGAATATGACTACGTTACAGGCGGAGAGCGAGACCTGAGCGGAGGCATGCTGCCGTATGGAGGTAGCTTTAACCCGTCGTGGGGAAACTTTGGTGTCGATTCGGCAGGCGAGTGTGGGGTCCCAATGCACCATCGGTGGCACGGTAATATTTTAGCGCTCTTGCTTTTTGCTTATGGTGGGGGAGGGAGTATGCTAATGTTGTGTATGTACTGGAAGCTCCGAAGACGGGTAACTGGATTTATTGGTACAGCTTCAATTATGGAGGTATTCATGTGATCCAAATGTCGACCGAGCACAACTGGACTCGAGGATCAGAGCAATATGAATGGCTCCAGCACGACCTGGAGCTTGTGGATCGTAGTGTCACCCCATGGGTAGTGCTAACAGCGCATCGTATGATGGTATGACAACTTGATCGTACTTCACTAGATGCTGTCGGTCGACTCACCTTTATTGTTGTTTCTGCCGTCTAGTACACAACGCAGACGGACATTGAGTCCGATATGAATGTATCCTATGCATTTCAAGATGAAGTTGAAGACCTGATCTACAAGCACGGTGTTAACCTGATGATGGTGAGTTGTTTGTTGTCGGTACTTTGACCGTAAAGAGCTTGAGCTAAGCTTCTCCGACAGGTTGGCCATGAACATTCCTACGAGCGTAGTTGCCCTCTGTATCGCAAAAAGTGTGTGGATGACGGAAAAGGCACGATACACGTCGTCATAGGCAATGCGGGATTCCCCTTGGGACAGGAAGGTTTTTCCTCGAAGTATGGGAATTGGAGTCTTCGTCACGTAAATGCGTATGGGTATCTTCGCATCTCTTCGAGCCCGAGCAACATGCATGCTCAGTTTGTGCTAAACGAGAACGGCAACGTATACGATGAGTTTATTGTCGCGCCATGGGGTGGATCGCAGGAGATCGATACTTGAAGTCCATTGCAGCAAGTCTGTCCTTTGGATTGTGTAGGAAGCCGAACGATTGGCCATGAGCTGAATATACTGGAAAGGATTTCTTCACGCTTGATAAAGCACAAGCACTCGGGTGATCTAACGATCTGTTGTTGTGGATAGATGGAAAGAGTCATTGCAAACGGCCCAACGTATTATCGGTGGCATCGAGCGTAGCACCGGCAAAAGCAGTCGCTCCTGGTCTTCATTGTTGCGTCAATGAGTCACACCTGTGTCTCGATAAGCAAATAATTTGCTCAGTAGGGATCGCATTAGCGTCAAGAAACCACGAAGCGATCAACACGACCGCGCAACGCGTTTGCTCAGAAACGGATTTTGAAGACAGTTGACATCAGCAGAAACGTTCAGAAAGGTGCCGGAGGTTGACCTTGGTGAGTGTCAAGCCACGTTATGGCGCAACGTCGAGCACACCGAAGTACGTCCCCGTTGCAAGCTGTCCGAGGGCTAAAATATGACGAAGCCACGACATGAGCGGGATATCTTCTCAGCCAACCTGTCGTGAATACGTCATGATCAAGCGTGACAGCAGCAGCTAGCTACCTGATGAGTCTATCGGACTGAGTAGCACACGACGTCAGCACCTGTGAGAGTGTCGACAAAGGGAACCCTGAGTTTCTGAAGTTGAAGCCGATTCGCCTCGCAACAAATCCGAGACTTGCGTGAGGATGCGCTTCTGTCTTTCTAGCGAGCAACATTGCAGTGCTGTTGCTTACAAGTGCCTCGATGCACCACTACCGTTGAATTGCGAACGAGAAGGCGAGCATGAATGGACACAATGCTCACTGCGGACCTCAAAAGCTCAGCGTCGAGCCATACCATGGGAGATACCGACCGTAACAATCACCACAGTCGCCGATGTCCGATTCCATCTCGACAAGCAAATCAGTGCAGTACGCGACGTACTAACATGCGAAATTGTCAGCAACGAGGGTTCCTGGACGCATCCTTAGGGTCCTAGAGAGCATTCTTGTGTACAACAAGCCGTATTCAACCCTCGCATCGAAGTCGCACGTGCCAGCACCGACTGAGTCTGCGCACCCGAATACCGCTTAAGACGACGTGAAAGTAGGCTTCAGCTGACCGTGACGATCGGCTGTGTTTCATTCGGCGGAAGCAACAGTCTTCATCTCGACTGACGATCCCACATACACACAATACACATGTGCCCACGTAGCGCAGTAGACCCGATTGGCAGGTAAAGCGATAGAGAATGACGCGACAACTAACTCTCGGAAAGAGGGCACAGCAGCCATTTGGTGATCATCGCGAGCGAAGCGCAATACGGGCAAGTCGGAGGCGACCTTCATGTAGTTGCCAAACAGCGTGAGTGACTTCTAAGGCGATCGCAGGGGAATGGACGCAGAACGGTAAATGTGACACTAATGAGAGCTTGTGACAATGATGACGAGACCGACACTGCTCTAGTAGGAACATGGCTGGAGGAGGGCAGTCGCGTAGCGCTACAAGACCAACGACACAGATGTAGTATCACTAAACGCTTCCGTGAGCTCTAAAGTGGACGAGCTCAACACTCTAACCAAGACCGTGTCACACTTGATGGATGAAGTGCTTACCAGATTAAAGGAGGACGTGGCAAAGTCGACTCGCACCGAGTGACACGTGCTGAAGCGGAGTAACACAGGAACGAGCACAAGGAGCTCACGCCCCAATAGAAGCGACAATTTGCATTCAGTAGTCGAACAGCGTCATAGCTGCAAACGAGACGGACTACAAGACCATCGCGAAGCTGTCTTGGATCCTGACGTCCCCTTGTTCGAGTCGGCTCTTAGTCCCTGTGGTCGACGTTGCTCGGTTCCTGCTGCTGCTGCTGTGTGGCTGCGTGCGCCGCCCGTCTGTCGACGTTGCGCTTGACCAGCACACCGAAGCCACGCGTCACGTCGGCGAGTGTAACGACCGTGATCAGCACGAGACCGCCCGTCACCGTCTTGTGCAGGATGTCGGCCACCTTGTTCGAACCTGGCATGGTGTCGATTACTTGGCAGTCTGGCAAAAGTGTTTGTGGCGACTTGTTGTTGGTTTTGGCTGTTACCGGATTGTGTTCATTTTGACGCGTTATTTGGGGGTAGAACATGTCGTAAATAGGAGAAGTCGAGGTTTGAGAGAACCCTGGTATACTTGATACACAAAAAGATGGTCGAAGGTGGGATATGATGATGATACCTGGCCACTTCAACGTTAGCCACTTTTTTTCCAACCGCTTCTTGAAGAGAAGCAAAGACAACGAAAGCATGATGTACCTGAGTAAGAACTACTTGCGACGCACGAATCGTCGTGCACTGAGTGTATTCGCCCAAAACTCGCCCTCGAATCTCAAGACAGTGGTCGAGAAGCCAACGAAGATCAAGTATTTTAAAATCTACCGCTGGAATCCCGAGACCAAGGAAAAGCCGCACGAGAACACGTATCCAGTCGATCTGAACGAGTGTGGTCCTATGGTACTCGACGCGATTTTCAAGATCAAGAATGAGCAGGACCCGACTCTGGCCTTCCGACGCTCGTGCCGCGAAGCCATTTGTGGCTCGTGTGCGATGAACATTGACGGAGGAAACGCGCTTGCGTGCGTGAGTCCGATCAAGAAGAACAAGGACGTGGTCAAGATCTACCCATTGCCACACCTGTTTGTTGTGCGTGATCTCGTGACGGACATGAGCAATTTCTTTGACCAGTACGCATCGATCAAGCCATGGCTCCACTCTGTCAAGCCGAAAGGAACCGGAGTGGAGCATCTGCAGTCAATCGAGGACCGCAAGAAGCTGGATGGTCTCCACGAATGTATCCTCTGCGCATGCTGCAGTACCGCGTGCCCGAGCTACTGGTGGAGCCAGGACAAGTACCTCGGCCCAGCAGCTCTTTTACAGGCGTTCCGCTGGATCGAAGATTCACGCGATGACCGCACAACCGAGCGACTGCATGCGATCGACGATGCGTTTAAGCTCTATCGCTGCCATACTATCATGAGCTGCACGCACACGTGTCCAAAGGGACTGAACCCGGCTCAAGCTATTCGCAAGATCATGGGCAGACTGTAGGTAGGTACACGCCACCGCCGCTCGATGTTAGTTTCAGACGCCCAATGTTCGGTTGATCACAAAAGACGGTAGGGAATAAAACCGCCGGCCCATTGTTCGCGGTTTTTACTGACGAGCAAAAAAAGCCTCTACAATCTTATCGAGCATCACGCATCGTTTCTCACAGGGTTCAGTGGCACACCACTCAGTGCACCAAGTTCCCCGGAGCCACCGAACAATTTCACCGATGAACTCGGCCGCGAAATTCTTCAATCGCGTCGCCGGCATTAGCGCTACCGTCGGCATCGGCAGCTTCTGCCTGCAAGAGTGTATCTACGATGGTGCGTCTCGATCTTCCCTGCATGTCGCACTATTTCTTGCACTCCTTTGGTGTCTTGTGAGCTCGCTATTTGCAGTACTACGAGATCAGGGGAGGGAATCCAGTCGTACTTGGTCTTTGTGGTTTTTTTTTCTGACAGTTGATATCCCGTGATAATTGATACAGTCGACGGGGGCCATCGCGCCGTGATCTTTGACCGGAAAGACGGTATTCTGGACAAGTCCGTGGGCGAAGGCACGCACTTTAAGATCCCATTTTTCCAGTACCCGACGATCTTGGACGTGCGCTCGAACTACCGGCTCATTAGTTCGCGCACGGGCACGAAAGACCTGCAGAACGTCAACATCTCGCTGCGTTGCTTGTACCGACCGAATGCCGAGAAGCTCTCGCACATTTACGCCGAGTACGGCGCGGACTATGCGGACCGGATCTTGCCGTCGGTGGGAAACGAGGTGCTCAAGTCGATCGTAGCGCAGTATGATGCTGTGGAGCTCTTGGCTCGCCGTGACCAAGTGTCGCAGCAGATTGCGAAGGAGATGAACGACCGTTGCCGCAACTTTTACCTGCTGCTGGACGACGTGTCGCTCACGCACCTTGAGTACGGCCCAGAGTTCACTCGTGCCGTCGAGTCGAAGCAAGTTGCGCAGCAGGATGCGGAGCGCCAAAAGTTTGTGGTCATGCGCTCGGAGCAGGAGCGAAAGGCCACGGTCATTAAGGCCGAGGGTGAGTCAGAGGCCGCTCGTTTGGTCTCGGACGCTGTTGCCAAGAGCGGCACTGGTTTCATTGAGGTGCAGCGTATTGACGCTGCCCGCGAGATTGCGGAGACGCTTGCCAAGTCGCGCAATGTCACGTACCTGCCTAACCAAGACGGTGGCAGTGGCGGTGTGCTGCTTGGCCTGCAGTAGACGCTGCTGATGCGCACGACTCAGGCTTCATATTGGCAGCTCGTTGGTGTTGGGGTAGTCTGATTTGTTTGCTGCTATTCGGTTGGAATCGCTGAGGGTTTTGTAAGTGGAACGGGGAAGCGATAAACGAATGCAGACATTTCAGATACATGGAAATGAAGACTTTGAAGCAGATGCGAGAGCTGAGAGTGTTTTGAGGTTATGCGGGTGGAACAGATGGGCCGATCTCTCAGTGAGGCCTCTCTTTTGATTCGCGTGTTTGACTTGAAAGTGTTTCCTGTCTTTTGCAATACGAACAGTCGTTCAGTAAGCTAACCATAACCTGGTCGCAGTTGTGCAAAGATTTTACATCGACTTCAGAGAGAGCCAAATCGTGGTCGACATGTTGTTTTGGTACCTGTTGCTCAGTGCAAATGCAAGACTTAATGACTTCAATGACGACCGGTTATGTGTGCATTGGTGCATGTTTACAAGCTCAACTCCTTTTTTATAGTGCGCACGGCCGTCAACATGGAAAGGTTGACGCAATAGCGCCAAGTCTTAAGAAACACGACACACTTTTGTAGGCACATGCAGCGACGTAAGCTAGTCAGAAAGCGTAGAGTCTGCATGAGTTCAAACCTCGTGCCACTGTTCAATAACACATCCAATTCCAATGATAATGACCACCCGACGAGGCCCTTACAATGACAGACGCACTGGTGTGTACATGTTTTGGATCGATTCCATGTCAGGGAATAACAACAACACTCAAGAAAGAGCGAATTGCTACTGCCTTACTGTGACTCTGCCTCAACTTTGAGATGGCTACAATGCATGGATACATGCTGAGGGGCCTGGCGTAATAGTACATATGCGATTATTTTTGCTTGTGTGGTGATCTCCCAGCTGGCTCGGAAAAGCAGCAGAAGACCCGCTTCGAAGGAGGACCGTTGAACCGTATCATTACCATGTGCCACATGGTGCCTGTAGCAGTGATGATCTAACAGGCGTAAGATATCGCTCACCTTGCGCTTTTAGACACTCCATCGACTCCGAGAGCGTTTTGCACGGGTTGTCCGTTGTCGCGCAAGATAGTTTGTGGTTGAGGCACCCAGAGACTCGATCTGAAACCGGTACGTTGATGACCAATGCTTGCCAAGTTCATTATTGTTCTGTGTGCCGCATATCCGTTGACGACGGATCAATGAGCGGCGGTCACAGAACCATTATAAGAGGTGTCAGAGATAGATAGATCGGTATCCTTTGCTTCTCCGGTCCATTGCTAGTACAATTGCAGCCGAAAAGACGTCTTAAAAGCACCGCAATTATACTAGAGGAAAAAGCGGACGTCGGTCGGAAAAATTGTTGAGAGCTAGTGGTCGTGGGTGATCAATGTCCACTTCGGGCATGTAGCATCTCTAAATTCCAATGAGACGTCATATTACAGCAGTGACGAAAGCGTTTTCTCCAAAATTACAGACGTTTGCAAACGTATGTTCATCAATCTCTAGCTGGAAAGCTGTGTGTAATCGCAAATTGTCTTGAGCGTTAGCATCTACAAATACAAATGGAGAGATCGAAAACACCTCCAAGCGTGTAATATCTACCTAACGGTATCAGCATTCTGCATCGACCCCATTTCATTTGAAATTGTTGAGTGACGCGCCTTATAGCAGATCTCATCAGAAGGCAGTACATTCTAATGACATTGATTGAAAGGCGGAGTACCAGGCGGCCCCTGAAATGTCTCTGTCTTTGCGTCAGCATTAGGCTGAATTTGCCAGAACTCACGATAAGGTCCGTGTCAGTCAACCTGGTTCGTCGACACCATGCTTACAGCTATGTGGTATTATCTCGCGATTCCACATCGTGTTCTCGCTGAATGAGGAAAGGTTCAACGTGGTAAAAGCACTAGACTTTTTCCACGTTGCTGTCCTCTTTACGGCTGTCCGAGCCCTTCTGTTTTTGTTTGTGTTGACATGTCGATGTCAACCTACGAAGGTGAACACACAACTGTAGCGTGCTGGCCAAACGTGTGTCAAGTGGACACCTTTCTTCATGAAGTACGTACTGGTACTTTGAAATACGAAAAAACAGCGTGTCAAGTGAAGCCGGATGTGTCAGGCGAGTAAGCTATTCTAGTACTCGATCGAAAGAAAGTCGATGCAGCTGGAATATATTCCAGATACTATATTCGGTCAGCGAGGTATTGTACGTGCTTCCCAGGACATTGCCGCATCAACAGCTCAAGAAGATGCCACCATCCTTTTCGCTAATCATACCGCTTAATCCGCGCAGACGATGTTGCGCCACCGTCTTATCTGCCTGCCAAGCGTGAAAATCAATAGCACGCTATTTCGTAGCTCATCCTCAGCTAATTCCAGGTCGTAAAGACTATGCACGTCGTCACCTCTTATTCAAACAGAGCCGCACCGAGCACATAACAAAATCAAAAGGTCCCTATGATCCATCCAGCTCTTTATTCTTATACTCCTGCTTCACACTCGAGCAACCTCTCGTCAACCCCGCGCTTCAACTGCATTCCGCACTCTCCCTTTCGTCTTCTAAGCGACACCTCATGGCAACTCGCGACGCGGCGTGGCGCCAGTTCTCTGCGCTGTGCAACGACCTGCGCGACGCCAAGACCGCCAAGACCGCTTCAGTCGCCATCGCCAACCTGCAAGTGTTCCTGAGCGATGCCCACCACCGCCAGCTCGTGCATCGCTGGCGGAGCTGGGGGTACCTTCTCCACCGTCTCTTGCACGTCATCAGGACAGAAATGCGCGCGTGTCTGGACGTGACCAGCAAACGCAAGCGCAAGACCAGCGCAAGTTCAATGACGGCACCGCTCCAGTACTGGCACTATCTACGCACGGAGCTGGAGACGGCGCACGTGGCAGCAGACGGACCGATGCTGCACTTGGACGCGAACGGGCGCGACTGTATTCGACAGTTGTTCACGTTCTCAGTGGCAGTGATCAAGTGTCAGAAGCCCGTGGCATTTGGACGGAACTTGGAGGTGCTCGTGGAGAAAGAAGCTTGGGTGACAGTGGAAGTGCTGGTGCAGTATCGAGTGTATTGCGTCGTGCTGGACTACGAGGAGTGGAGAAGCATGCTGGAGCGGACGTTGAGAAGTTTCTCGCCAGATATGGACAGTGGACGACTGACGGGAGACGTGCAGACGGCCACGACGCGTGGGCGGGTCCTTGGACTTTTGCTGAAAAACAGTCCATTTGACTTGAGTTCTGTGACTACGAGCGTGATTTTGCAGGTTACAGCGTGGTTTGAAGCGGTGAATGTGGAGCACAAAGCAGATTTGCTGCTTTCTATTTCGTCAACGCTAATGGAGATACTAACGGACATGATGCGGACGAACTCTGGAGCGATTGCGCCGTTATTGCTTCGGCGAGGAGTGGTAGTGCTGGAGTTTATCTGTAAGTCGAATAGAGATAGGAAGAACGGACTACGGGGCACCCCTGCAGAGTTTGTGATGCAATTCCTCGATCTCTATCGGCATAATGTGACTGCTAAGCCAGACAAGTGCTCTTTGTCTCCTAATGAGCTATTATGTGAGATGAAGAAGCTGGTCCATGTTGCTATGGGTCCAGGAGAAATCAGTCTCGTGATGACGCAGCTCAACTCGGCTCGAGAACGAAGGCTAGGGAACGCATTGGGGATCGACGACCAAGAGATCCGACGCTTAGCTTGTACTGCCGATATTATCTTCCACCATGACCACTTGGTGTCGGAGCAGATACAGAGCGCCACCGGCGATCCGACAAAATATGGTACTTTGCCCGAACAATTTATTGCTGGGAGCAAACACCCGATATTTACCACAGCCGACCTAGCGTGGGAAGTTGTCACCGAGCATATTTTTGAGAGCCCACGAACAGAAACACAGTACGTATCAGCAAGCTCAGTTTCACCTGCGTCACAGCGGCAAACGCAACCAGTTGCGTATTTGTCAAGCAGTTCTCGTGCATCTCAGTCCAGACGAATCGACGCAAAACAAACTAATGATTCAGGTTCATGGTTATTGCTGCTTCTAGCCATTTTACGGCGTCACGGCGATTACTACATGTCCAACCGCATCGGCGACTTAATAATGGTAATGCAGAAGCTGGGAGACATGTTGGTCGTCAAAGAAATGGGAAAGCTGCAAGCACTGACGCTACATGTTCTGATCCAAATGGCCTCGCTTTCGGCACGCTTTCGTGACGAGTTCAATGACCACCTGAGTGAACACTGGGCCAATGTGTGGCAAAACTTGCTCCGACCGGATCTCCCCTACACCCGCATTACGGAGAGACTAGGTCTGACAAGAGGCCAAGCAGGCGATGCAGTGTTGGTGCTATTGAACTGCTGTATATCATTTGAACTTGTCTCGATGCGATTTATTGCAGCAAGCAGCATGCATTTGTGGAATCTACCGGCTTTTCGGGAATCAACGCCTGATGGCCCAGTTTCTCGAGGAGACGCCATGAGGCCTTACGCCAGAACATCGATGGCATCCATTTGTTTCTTACTGTCACTACTTCGTTCTGTTCAACTGCCAGTAGAAGCTGGCAAACCCACAGCAGTATCACAAACGCATCGTGCTTTTGGCACTGATGATAATGCTCTCGACAACCAGCATGAATCGCTGCAGATAAGATTACTTCGATCAGTATTTGACCATCTCCGCGTGCAAGTATTTCAAAGGAATAGTACGGTTGCTACGGGAAGCTCAGCAAATTCTGTCACAAGAATTGACCGGCAGACCGAAGTGTCGCCGATAGTATATGCGTCTGTCATACGGTCATTCTTTGGTCAGACATCTTCAAAGATGGATACTCAAGAAACCATCTTTACTCCCGAACTGCTCCGCAAGTTTTCAGCAAGAAGCGAAAAAGAATGCGAAGGTTGGATTGCGGGTGAGGAGATGAATGGCTTTGGTGTGGCGTTTTGCATGCATGAAAATGGACTGGAATGCCTCTCCATGACTTTTCCACTATCCACCGGAGTTGTGTCATCTGCATTTTCGCCATCTCATCGAGCAGCAATGGATAATATCGTCGATCCGGGTGAGTCGTGTTGGTTCGACGGGGCAAGCTCGTATGAAAGAAATCTTGACGACCGATTCGAGAGGCTTGCTGTTCCGCCTGGTCTGTTGGGGCATCTGCCTCCTCATCCAAATATATTTATGAGCAATAGTTTTTGTTCGAAACCCCATTTTGTCTGTGCTCAATCCCTTTCGAAGAGCAAAGAGCAAGCCTTGGGAAAGGAAGTAGTCAACTTGTTTTCTGATTTGCTGTCGCAAATATGGAGCAGTCTCCCGTCCGATGGATGCAGTCCAAGTAAAGGATTGCAAGTGCTGGCAAATTCGCTGGACGTAAGGTTTTCTTACAAGAGCACACATGGTCGGCTGCATATTTACTTGGTTGTTCTTGCAATGTTGACGATACGTTTGTGTTTTTCCGATCGACTGACAGGTGGGCCTGATTCTTGCAGCACTTTATGCTGATGAAGCTGCAAATTGCTCAGCTGGCATGGCCAGGAGCCGTGTTCGTGTGCTTCCGTTGTTAAAGCAATACTTCGATATCGTCGCAGACTATTTGAGGCCAAGCGTGATCAAGCAAGCACAGCATAGTCAAGCTATGTCAGAGAACATTCTACACATACTGCGCAGATTCCACACAATTATCATAGCTACGCAAGGCCAGAACACACTTGCTAGGTGTCATCATTTATCAGCAGACCCGATTGATATACGCACCCCGTCAGAAGTTGACTCAGCGATCGCGACTATTGTCAACGCACTAGAAGTCTCGCTGGCTTGTTCTAGTGGCACGTCAACGGAAGCCATGGTACAATTGTCGCCTCGGCCGCGCACCCGTTTCCGTTCAGTCCAGAGTAAATCTAGCTTGACATCAAGTTTGAGCCATGCGTCACAACCACAGCTTCAAAGTCAGCCTACACAAAAGGAGTACGATGCTATGGATGATGGGTGAGTCTGCTCGGCAACTGCATTTACGATATCATGTTAACGATGTGTGTTGTGCATACGGCATGAATGCATTCAGTGACGAAAAGGATACCCCTCGCGATCGTCCTGCGAGTCGTGTTTCGCAAGAATGTGTCAGTTTGTGGTGTATTCGTTTAATCTTGCTGCTCAAGAAAGATAGCGGTCTTTCCGCCGTGAAGAACTCTTTGGAAGATCTCCAACTTGACCCCGATTTTGTGCTGGCAGTCGCTGTTCTCCTTTGTGGTGTCACGAGTCACGACGGCCTGGAGGTGTTTGTCAAACTCATCGATCACGCCGCAGAGGAAGGTACGTGTGAACATCGCAACTTGTCGGCTGCCCGCGGTGGGAGTTGTCAAGCGTCAATCTTTCTTTCCCAAGTGCTATCTGCCCTTGCAATCGCAGGTTTTGTGTATGAGAAACGCAAGTGTGAGCACGGTGAATCACCTCCCATGCTTTTAGTGGAATGTGCGAAGAAACATTTGAACGCCATGGCTGGCGCTGGATCCAAAACGAATTTGCGCATGGTACGAAGAGCCGAACTGCAGTGCCTTGAGGTCTTTTTCCGTCTCGACACGCACGAATTTAATGCGTTCGAAGAAGCATGTATGACTGGGCTCACAGACTGCGACGCGAGTGTGCGTGTCATAGCGTCTCGCAGTCTTCAGTCCGTTTACTATATGTACCCTGAAGGCGGCGAAAGCATTTTCCGGCACTTTTATACAGAAATGAGAGCTCTGCTCGATGTACCGCTCGAGAAAGTTAGTGCCAATGTGGAGCAAACGCCTGACAAATTGGAAGTATTGCTTCAGTCGACAGGGCAAGAAGTTGTGAATTCTCGGTTGTCCATGGACCTGTGCTTATCTGTGCTGCTGAGTTTGTATGTGAGCGCTTGCTCATCTCAGATGGTACTTCCCGTAGCTCTTAACGCATGCGTTGAACTGGCATCAATGGACGCGTCACTGTATGCTGCTGGGACTCCTTCATTAACTTCGACCTGTCTACATGCGATAGCAGTGTTCTATGGATACGCAGACATTTCGGATTTGCTGGACGATCATTTTTGTAGTCTCTGGCACGAATTTATTGTTACAAGCTGTCGACCGGCTCGGGCTGATGACGAGGACAGTACAGCGTGGATGAAGAGCAACCCGGTAGACCCTCTTCCCGATGGAAAGTTGTTGTTGCAGCAGTTTCCACTGTCAGCACTTCTTAAAGAGAAGGTTGATTTAGACACCCGGAGATTGAACTTTGCAACAAAGGTAGACATGATTCTATCAGTTGGCGTGCTTCATAGTTTTGTTTATGGAAAACATTCTGCAGTAAAAACGAGTCGTTTTGGCTTTGTTAATGATCTGGCAACCTATCTTTTCGACAAACAAGGCAACGAGCAGGAGCATGACATCTTTGTTGGAGAGATGGGTGAGCAACTAACGACGGACCTGTTCGCATTTTCATTTATCTTGTTGGTGTACCCTGATCCAATGCTGAATGAGCTCGGTAGCCGCATGCTCGAGAAAGCAGAGCAACAGGCACAAGTGCGCGTTCTCACGTTATCGCATCTCGGACACATCGTAAGCAAAATGACCCGATTTATAGTGTGGGGTATTGTTGGCGGGATGAACGACAACCGATGTACTCCAGGGGAGTTATGGACGAATGCTCTAAAAGCAATGAAAGAGAAGTACTCCGAGTTAGACTGGAGATTGATGAATGTGGCTGATCTGCTCAGCGACTTTAACGTCCTTTTGCTAAGGGCAGAATTGTTTTCTCCGAGAGCTGTGTATGCAGTGGAGTGCTTCAACGCTTTCGCTGTCGAGATTTGTGACACAGTGGCTGAAAGCTTTATATTGCAACGTTTGTTGCTCTCAATATGCTTCCAGGCGATCAAGCATTTAGCAACCAAAAATGAGCGACGAATTGGTAGTACGTTGTCGCGTCTTTCCCGCGAATTATGTGAGCGTTTTCTCAAAAAGGCAGACACGTTTGGACAATATGTTGGGTTTGTGGTGCAAGAAATTAGTGGCATCTTGTTAGACTCTAGCGAGAAGCCGCAGGTTTTTTCTGACGTCACTCCCCTTGGCATTGAATCGCAGAAGAGGCTAAGTATGAATGCAGATGATCGGGTGCAACTGGAGTGGGTGATTTCTGCTGCATGCATTGACTTCGGGGGCGGGCTAGGAAAGTATACTCAAGACATCGGGTTGGTACCAAATGGTATATCAGGGAGTCTCGACAAGCTCAACAGCTTAATTACAGGAGCTCAGCAGACAGTTTTGTCGGAAGCAAGCGAAACTAATGACAGCGCCACAGGCGGACAGAATCAAGCGAAAAACCAGATTGAAGCTTTTATCCGAAGGATGCGCGCCCGTGGTATGAAGTTTTATGACCCACTGTTTCCGAGCAGTTCGCTGAGTAAGAACTCTACTGAAGATAGACGGCACGTCCAGGTTCATGCACAAGCTTCAATGGGGTCGTCCATAGATATCCAGTTGTCAGCTCTAACCACTAGCATCCGAACTCTGCGAGATTCTACCTTCTCTACAAGGGGACTGTACGAAAAGCTGACTCACACATTATTATATCTGAGTTCTGCGGGCACATTCGGTAAGAACGCAAACACTCGAGACAGGGATACAGCCAGTCTAGCAAATGCTTTGGGTGAGATAGGCGCTCTAGACGCAAGCGAGTATGAACTGAGCCCGTCCGAGCAAGAAGGAGAATTGTCTCGCTTGCACCGACTACATTTTCATCGAGGGGCGTTGCAAGAGACGAAGACAGCTTTCTCTCTTGCGATGTACGAGAGCTTACTGGTATATCTGAGCTCTATCGTTTTTGAGGAAAGAATGGCTGGAAAGGGTCCGTCGTCAATGCTGCAGCAAGCGCTACGGACGTTGAAGAGTGTTCTTAATCTCGATGAAGGTATTGCTGCCTTAACTCGGTGCAAGGACGGCGAGCTCAAATCGTTTCTATCTCCTTTTGAAGCATCATCGCCGTCTAATTGGTCTTCTACTTCACTGCTCACTACCAGACGAAAGCCAAAGACCGCGCTGCGACGCTGTACAGAGCTATGGACTTCCGCAAGAAAGATTGGCTTTGAGGCCTGGGTTTGCTCGTTGGCTTCATTTTTGACTGACGAGTGCCCAAATCCGGTGCTGAAGGTATGCTCTGCGTTGGCTTCTTTGCGAGTCGACATGGCTGTTTTCCTCTTACCGTACGCACTTGAAAGCATCTTGAGTAAAGCTGAATGGAAAGGAAAGATTGATAATGGGTCAAGCGCAATGGAGCTTGATAGCATCGACTACTTTACGCGGCTTTCGGAAGCAATCAATCAAGGTATCAGATTCGTCTTAACAGGAGTTGAAAGCGGCAAGTCAAGTGTCCAAGGTGGAAATAGGGTCGAACAGTATCGAAGCCAGAATACGAATCCGTTCCAACTACCCCAAGTTGTACAGCTTATTGTTCATAGCATAAATTTTCTGCGTGAGACAAGGAAGGCTCAATTCGTAGGACGTAGCGGCAAAGGTGAGCAACAACTACCGACTAGAAAAGGACCGAGGCGATCGTCGGGAACGGAACCGTCGATATCAAAAAGGTCTCATGGCAATGAGTTGGCGTACGGATGCATGGTTGATGTGGACCTTCTTGTCATTGCCAAGGCTGCCATTCGCGTCAAAATGCCATATTCAGCCATGCAGTATGTGGAGATGTGGTTGGAAAAAGAGAACGGTGGGAAGATTACCCTCTTGTCTTCACTAACTAACGATGAAGTAGCAAACGCTCTTCGCGAGATCCTCGTCGATGCGTACGGCTTTAGTAGCAACGATGACGGGATCTACGGAGTCAACGATGGACGGACGTTGCAATCCCAGTTGGTGAAGTTTAATCGTGAGTGTCAGTACGCAAAGACTCTTCCGCTGTACGACGTATCGCTTCAATTCTCGAACGCAAACATGTACGACGGGAGCATGATTGATTGTGACCCGCCTCGAGTTTTGGAGGGAATGCTGGCGTCGCTCCGATCGCTGGGATACAATAACTTACTGGAGGGTTATTTGCAATCCATACAGCCGGATAGACGATCTATGTATTCGGATCCTGGCTCGTCTTCTTTGCAAGCTTTACAGCATAAGTTCGAGCTTGCCTGGAAAAATATGCAGTGGGAAGCGGTTCTTCCAGGTCTTTCGACTATAGATAACGATCGCTCTCGCATAAAGGGACCGATTGCGAACTGTTTGTCGCACCAGCAGATGATATTTGAAGGCCTGCGAGCAATAGCTCACGAGAATTTTGCACACTTACAAAGCGCGATGGCAACGGCAAAGGACCAGATTATGCATTCAGTCCGGTTAAGCCTACACTCATTTGAAAGCACGAAAGATTCATACTCCGCTTTGGTTCATTTACGGGCAATCCGAGAAATGGAGGAGATAGCAGCTCACAGTGGAAAAACGTGTTGTGTCATAGAAAGTGATATGGTTCCAGTAGGTAACATGACAGAACGAAACGGAGCTGGTTCATCCCGAGTCAACGCAGTTGGTGTAGCGCGGATATCACCGATAGCACAACCTTTGCTCGCACAATGGCAAAAACGACACGACCAGATTAAAAATGATTTTGACAAAGCTGAAAGCTTGTTAGCACTTGAAGAAGTTCTTCTCCAAGTTTCGAAGGCGTCAGACAATAAGCAAGCACTGGTAAAATTACACCTTGACCTTGCATCGGTGGGTCGAAAATCAGGACGGACAGCGGTGGCGTATAGATCATTGCTAAAGCTTGAGCAGCTCAATCAGAGTGGCATGCTGTGCATTTCTGAGAAAATGCAGTGGAAAATACAAAAGGGTAAACTGCTCTGGAAACAACAGGAGTTCCAAAGTGCCATTTGGACCGGGAAGGAAGTATGCTCTGAGCTGTCCACTTACTTACACGACTCGTCGCTATCTGTCGATAAAGCGATACCGTTGCAGTTGCTACTGGTTAATGTACTTACTACGACCGGCAAGTGGATCGCATCGCAGCGTTGTGAAAGCTCCCAAATTGTTCTGGAGCAGTACTTCCAAAAAGCTACCAGAATCGTGACATCGATGGAAGCTGAAGCTGTTTCGGTGAGGGCGCGAGATGCTGCAAAAGCTCACTTTGTGCTCGCCGATTTTATGGCCGCGATGAACCAGCAAGTCAGTTCTCGTGTAACGTCACGTGAGTGGTTAGCGGGGAAGGAGGTGGTGCGAGCACGACACGAAGAGCTTCAAAAACTACAAACGATGGAACAAGGAATGCAAAACGAAAATCGAGCTCATATCTTTGCCCTAAACAAAGAAGTTGCACACGATATGGATGAGCGCTCCAAGGTAGAGGCATCTGTGAATCATTTTCTGATCGGCGCGTTGCACAGTTACGGCAAAGGATTGTGTCTGTCACCCCAGGCTGAGCTTGCCATGGTATTTCGTGTGCTCTCGCTGTGGTTTAACAATCGAGGCAAGGCTGAAATCAATCGAGTCGTTATCGAAGAAATTATTGACGTTGTGCCGTCGTTCAAGTTTATACCACTATCTTACCAAATTATCTCACGCATTAGTAGTAGACCCGCGGATACCGACACATTCGAAACTGCGCTCCGCAAGCTCGTGATGAAATTAAGTGTGGAGCACCCACATCATACACTGGTACAGATTGTCACGCTGAAGAATAGTGGTGAGGTAGAAGGCAAAGGTGCTTTGCAGTTTCGTACAAATGTTGGAGATGCAAAGGCCGAAGGCGCAAAATTGTACCTGGCTGAGCTGATGAAAACAGAACAGCGTAAGCTGCTTGAGTCGCTTGACTTCATAGCAAATGCATACATTCAATTGGCGCTGTTCGACACGAGCGAGTATCATGGACACAAGAAAAAAATACCGCTTTCGAAAGTACCGATAAATGCGATGGCATCGGGCAGATCCGGAGTTATCGCATTCGATCAGTGTCTTCGCGTTCATGCACGACGGGGAGATGCGGCCATGATGCCGGCAGTACTCACGTCCAGTATCCGACCGCAAGTTGATATGGACTACTCAAATGTAGTTCGCATGTACTCGTTTGAGCCTCTGTTCTCGATCACGGATAGTGGCATACATCGCCCGAAGATCATATATTGCTACGGTTCGGATGGCAGACGGTATAAGCAGCTGGTGAAAGGCCAAGACGACACGCGACAAGACCTTGTCATTGAGCAAGTGTTTGAAACAATGAATCAGTTCTTATTAGAGGAGAAAGAGACTCGCAAGCGTAAGTTACGACTGCGCACATACCGAGTAGTCCCGCTCTCACCCATTGCTGGTGTACTAGAATGGGTCGAGAACACGACACCATGGGGATCATATCTTGTTAGCCGAACGTCAAAGATGTTGTCAGCTCATGAGCGGTACCACCCCTTTGAATGGAAGCATGCTGAATGTCGTCAATATCTGAAGAATGCGGCAGAAAAGCTACCGGCCTTTTTGGAAATCCAGGCGAATTTCACTCCAGTATTTCACCATTTCTTCTTGGAAAGGTTTCCTGATGCGGCTGTATGGTACCATCGTCGACTGGCTTACGTACAAAGTGCTGCCGTAACTTCAATCGTTGGCTACATTCTTGGTATCGGTGATCGCCACTCTCAAAATATTCTGATTCACGAGGAGACAGGGGAGCTCGTGCATATTGACTTTGGCGTCGTCTTCGACCAAGGAATGGCTCTGTACACTCCAGAAACTGTTCCTTTTCGACTTACACGAGATATGGTGGATGGGATGGGAATTGCTGGTGTAGACGGGGTCTTCTCTCGATGTTGTGAGGTTACGTTACAACTTCTGCGCAAAAAGAGTGCATCCCTGGTTACAATTCTTGAGGTTTTCGTACACGACCCCCTTTACCGCTGGACACTTTCGCCGCTCAAAGCACTAAAAATACAGGAGGGTGGCGAACGGAACAGCGTGAAATTAGCTACACGAAACTCGAGCCGCCACGCTGCCGTCGCTACTGCCTGTACTTATGAGACTCAACCTGTGACGGAGTTACAAGAAGAACATGGAAGCACGGATGCAGCTGCTCGAGCGCTGATTCGCGTCAAACAAAAGCTGGAGGGTTATGAAGATCCAAATGGTAGCGCCTTGAGCATCGAAGGCCAGATCAAGCAGCTTTTAAGCGCTGCGCAGGATCCACATAATCTGTGCAAACTCTTCCCGGGATGGGCTCCGTGGTTGTAGTTTTCCATGGCACAAAAAGCACCCTGGTCATGCAATGTCATTTCGGGCTCAGAAATCGTCTGAGTCAAGCTGAGTGATATAAGCATAGCAACCGGCAGATACGTGCCGGTGGTGTCCAGCCTGGGGAAATGGACGACAGGTAGTTCAAGAAGATGCCGCTGTATGCAGGGCTGCTTAAATTCGAACGACATGTCGTGCGTTGTGTTGGCTGTATCCAACACAACGAACCACATATCGTAACAGCCGAAGGTTCTGACATTGCCTCCAAGCGCGTCGCCAGTGTATGCCAGCTACCACGATTCCAGCGCTGCGGACTTACAGAAGCTGTTATGTTGTGACAAGTTCAGTCCGCGAGAGCTGACAATTTGTGCAGTACGCAGATGTACCAAAACTTAAATGATGACTGCACGAGCTGCCTGAATCAAAATGGTGTCACGAGGATAGACGGTAAAGCATTGTGACCGATTTCTTCTAGAAACCTGATCAGTCGTGTACTCCCTCCTTCCACATTTGGGTCTTGATGCACACCATAACGCTTATGTTATGCAGTGCGAGATTCAAACAGGATATTACCGGAGTCAATTATCAAGATAGTTTATAATTTTGCTCCGCGTGTTACTAGAAACGTTGCAAACATTCCAGTAGCCCAGCCACCCTGTAGAGAGCATCGCTAATCAGAAACACAAATCGGAGTACTACGGTAAAAATGTTGTGCATGGTACAGACACATGCGCTATTGGCAAACTATTGGTGGGGCAACTGACCCACTAGTACGAAACATGGTAGGGACGCTACTACACAAAACCTAATCGACCGTCGTGACTCTTACCGCGTCAAACTTCAAACGCGAGGTTTCGTTACCAAACGAAATGAAAAGTCGCTTACGTCGTCGCTCAACCCGCAACTATTTGCGCTTATAAGGCGTACATACCATGAATATAGCTAAGCTCTCCGAACGAAAAGCAAGTGAAAATATGGTCCCTCTTGTCAGAATCTGCCATGTCAACAAAAAAAAATAAAAAGATATCTTAATTTTTTTTTAAATAAATTCCATTTTTTTGTATTTAATTTTAATACATTTAAATTCTTATGAATGTTTCTATTATTTTTTCCTTTTTAATTAAAGTTTCTATGTTTAATAAGTCTATATTAATTTTTTTTACTTATTCTACCGGTAATTTCGGTAAAAAAAAGCATAACTAAAATTATAAATCATTTTTTTAACATTTTTATTAATTCTATTTTTTTAATTATATTTTGTGTTCACGCGTGTTGCAGCATTGCAGCGAGACAGGATACCTGGTCATTTCCATTGCAAATGTTGAGCTCAACCGAAATATCTTCTCCGACCAAAATGTCCGCAATACCATATCTGTTTGCATCCTGTTCGGGCCAAACGTGCTGTAGATGTGCAGCTGGAAGGATATGTAACGCGCTGAACTCCGCAGCGATAACATGGTGGCGGCTTCGACGTTGTATTCCTAGTTTGATACGTATGACGCAATTTCGTGAGTATCCTGTCATTTGAATCTGTGAGATTACTTCGCCATCTACGTCGGGATCAGTCGAGTGCAATTGCCTACAAGTCCGAAAGTGTAAATCCAGAGAACAATGGCAAGCCTCACTCATTAACCAAGACGAGTATTACAGACGTGGCACATAATTTACTCGCCTCGCAATTATGATCTTACGTTTACACCTCATACATCATACCGTCCGATCGTATTACAACATGTGTGGTGACGCCAGCTTTACCAGACAAAAACAACTTCGGAATTCATTCGTTGAGGATGCAAATTATGTACTCATGTATTTTGACTATCTGAAGTCGACTGACAAAGACGCTAGTTTGCACTCGGGAAAGAATGGCGCGGTTGTCTAATGGAATCGGTATGAGGGTTAAAGTAACACAAGCACATAGTTTTACGTACAAACACCAGCGATGGGTGGTGCTATATGGTACGCAGGTTAAAGATAGAAACGAGGATACATATGAGCTTAATTAGTCCGATGGGTACTTACTTTCCTACGATACTTTCGTAATGTCCACAGAGCCGTTATCGTCTCTGAAGTGGTATCCAAGCTGTCCTTCGTGTTTCTTTGAGCAGTATGCTGCAATTGCCTCTTCCGTAGGGATGAGCCACTTAAAGCAACAAGAATGTCACAAAACTTCCAATAGTATGCACGCCATCATCAGCAAAAAAACACAAACCTCATTTTACCAGCCATGATACATAGAAACTAGCCACACGCGTAGCAAATTTTACGCAAGCTTTTTCAAAAATTAAATGGTGATGATAAGCCCGCTACCTGCACCATAGTGAGGTCTAAACTGAAGGCATTTGGTCTCAAAGATAGATGAAGGCATTCTGTCTTTATGTTAAAGCATAAACCAACTTGTCGCAAAAGTGTTTCCCTACATATTGAGTAGTCTATTTAATAGAAATCAGTCGGGCGGCGAGGTGATTTTCAAGGGGAAAAGCAACGATTGATTTTCCAGCTCTGCTCCTTCACAAGATTAACGCTATTTAAATACCTCAAAGCGACATTGTATAATCTGCTTCACACAGTACACCCAACTTGGACATGTAGCCGTGGCGTTTTGCATGCTTATAAACTTTGCAATGGTCTGTGATGTCGCGTCGCTGGACAAAATGTTTGATTTAGCTGCGTCAGTTGCACATTAACGAGCTAAATTTGTTGACAGCATGCGCCCGGCTCTCCATATTTGGCGCCGTATGACCATTTCTGCAGTGTCAAAGGACACGTTAGTCGCAGTAATTGAAGATGTTATGTTTAGTATGGTGCGAGACATTCTAGCGTCGGAAACGACGGTAACCAAGTATTTATTTACCTTTCCTGTAATAATGTTAGTTGATGTTGTATTCTTTATTACGTCAGAGTATACAATTTGGCGCATGAGGTGGCAATAACAAGTCTTGCGAACTGAATGCTGCTTGCTGCAACCAAAATCGTAAATGTTGGTGCACTCACCCCTCTCTATAAGGATCTCCTTATAAGAGACGCCCACTATTAAAGAGTCAAAGTATCACCGAACATTTCAAATTGAGTGGGGTTCTGTATACCGTTCGCTTTATCAGCGAGTAAGGTAGAAGACACGAAAAACACTCGCCCATTTAAGCTAAAAACCCTCTTTGCGTGACTCACTAACCCTACTTCTGCTGCTTGAAATAAAAACGTATCGTGTGATGTGACAGTTGATCTAGCTGACGATTCTGCCGAAACCTAAAGCCGTTTCAGCAGCATCATAGGACCTCGAACGTGACGTAGGGAAAGACGTAAAATCCGTCACAATAGGCAGGCTTATGACGAACTCCATTCTGATGAGAATCAATGACGACAAGCACAGCAGACAACATATAATAATGTCGTCCTGCAATAGATAAATCGAAGTGGTATGTAGTTTTTGTAACTACTCCACCACGCCACTGATCCGATACGTCCACCCAGAAAATCTTACCTCTTATCTACATCCAGCCCGCGCAACTATTGAGTTCAACTGAGCGAGTGCCTCGCTCACTAGATCAGAAGAAGAAAACACATTATTTACTGCAAAGAATGCCAGATAAAGCTTTGACGAAGTGCAGACATATGCAAACATTCATTTACAGCACAAAATATGAAACGGTGCATCGGGTCTTTGCCATGAAGGAAACCGACTTTGAGGGCCCAACCTTAATGTGAATACAAATTGACGGGCGAAGCATCCTGCGTTTGAAACGTTACTGCTGATACTTATTCTCGAGCGCATGGGTGACGGGGTATCCGAAGGTCTGGTCCTGAAGAAGCAGAACGACTGCGAATGAGCCACGATATCGATTATCATTATCTTTTGATTTCCAAAGGCTAGCTCCAGAGTTTTATGAAGCGGAACACCAAAAATGCGGTACATTTATTGGCGAGAGCGGGAGCTTATGAACTAAGGAAGTGCAAGCAGCAAAGTCTGTGTTCCGTCTTTGACTTAGTAATGCTCTCCATGTAGTTGATTTATCTTTGATGAAACTATACAAGATTACGACTTGCCACAAAACTAGATCTCATTATAGTTTAAAAATGGCAAGAAGAGCGTAAAGTCACGGATGGCAGTTGCTCTGTGCTGCAACGCAAATGGTTCTAAAAATTTGGAGCCCGTGATCATCGTAAAGTTAAAAACAAAGGTGATTTAAGGGTGTAGAGACCGAAAAGCGTGGCATCGTATGCGCTGCGAGCTATAACGCCTGGATGGCTGAATTTGTCTATAAGTGGCTGCACCAATTTAATCTTTGAATGCATGGTCTCAAAGAGCTTCTTCTTCTCGATAGCGCTTCCAGTCACAAATTCCGACGAGAAACTAAACTACTTTAATGTGGCATTTTCCTGCCTAAAATGACTTCAACCGTCCAGCTGCTCGATGAAGTTGCGCATTAACATCATGATTTAGATGTATGTACCTACACGTATGGTAATAAATATCATCTGATCGTTGAATACTTGCCACAACAAACTTCACATGCAATAGAGCATGGATCTGATTAATTTAAACATGGAACGCAGACTGAATGTCCTGGAAGACATTAATTTTGAGGCTAAGAGGTGGAACAGGTTTATTGGGGTGATCATTTGATGTTTCTGGATCAAGAGTTGTGCGTGCACAAATGATTATCGAAAGTCCGGCCTCGCCCTCCAACAAGACTGCTACGATCTTAATGATGTGTCTAAAATTCAGAAGTAAGCGTAAGGGAGTAAGTTTTGTCGATATCGAGGAACACGAGCAATTTCATGAAGAACAAGATGCTCTTATTAACGCAAATGCGGAGCCCGCGGAAGTCGAAAGCGACGAATATAAAGCACCTGTCAGTGCAACAGCAGCACTAAAGTGCTGTCTGCTCTTTGCGTTTGTACTTCGTACGCTCATATAGAGACACGCGTATCCTTCAGTCAAATCTGGGTTAGGTGTCATCCGTTATTCGCAAAAACTGGCACAGCGAAACAGCTCGACACGCGAGATTTCATTTAGTAAACAAATGTTGCATATCATACATCTAGCGACATGGTCTGCAGCGTAACATGAATGCCCTAATTCTCAATTAAATAGTCGTCATAAGATCATGCATCGTATTTCTTTCATAGTATCTATGAGATACTTCTTATAAGACACGCTGTAAAAACTGGCGCTATAAGTTGTCTATTACGGAGAGGGGTGACTGTATTATTAAGAAGTACACATAGCGAAATAGCTACGAGCTTGCGTCACGTACCGCTACTTGCGGCCATACATTGATATAATTTTAAAGCTTGATTACTTTTATAACGTGCGAGACACATGCGTTTGCTGATATTGTGGAGAAGCCAGCCTCGGATCCCTTTTCTTACTAGAATTGGCGGAGCATTTAGCAGAATCTGGTGGCTGGTTGCTGCAAATGTACGATTGAGCAGCCGAAACATTAGCACAAGAGGAGAAACTGACCATGGTGCTTGCGATGGAAGTGCTGCGTCTTGTCCCACGGTGAGTGTGCGGGAAGTCTATCCGCTGACTTTACTGTCGAAGTGTAAATGTAATCAGAAATATACACCTCAGACGTACATCGATCAATTTCGTATCAGAAGAAAACAATTGGCTGCATAATGCTACCACAGATGGGCTTAATTAAGTATCGCATCATTACCTTATGCCACAACATGTACGACGTTGTCTTAGGGTGACGATGTTTGAACCAACTTTCACTAAGGTTTAACGTTTGCGAAGCAAAATTACCTCATCCGTGTGCAAATTTTGCTTTACAATACATTTAGATACATAGCTGATGGTGCAGGTGAAGCGCTTGGTGCTGTTCAGTGACTACAGAAACAACATCAAAAGCGGCAAAAGTGCACACCGTTTCTCAATGCAGATGATCACTTCGACGTCAGCTACTGATGGTCACGGCATAGAATCAGGACCACCTTTTGCTATGTGGGCGATACGATTCGTCTTCTGATTTACAGCTCAGAACGTGCTTTGTGTATGAGCGGGGCGTCATGTCAAAACCTGATTACCCGAGGAACGTGCCTAGAATTCCAGTCTTTTGTGCCTACGCAACCGAAATGGCTGGTGAAGGCCCGGTATTTTGTCCATCATTGGCGCTTAACGGTGATCACCCTTACCAGAGATATCTAGTGAATGCCAAAGTCAAGGTCAACACGAAAAGCGCATTTGCACTTTAGCACACTAGCACCAACTCTCCATTCCATTCGTACCGCAGCTTGATGAAGATCACCCTCGTTCTCGCAGCTTCAGCCTTTGGTGCTACAAATGCCGCAGTCCCGGTCATCCCGACAAATCGCATGGACCAATTTCTCCAAACGAGGTCGAGTCTCGAGTCGGAATTAACCACATGGAAGCAGAGCGAGGCTGGCGAATTTGCAAAGACACATGGCTTCGTTCCTGCTCCTCGCATGAGAAATTTTGGTGCAGCCGAAGACGAGGAGCTACGCCGCTTGTTCTTGACGAAGCTACTCATTGAACAGGCTCAAGCAATGAACCCAGAGGCTGTTTTCTCCATCGATACGCCGTTTACGCTATTGACAGAAGACGAATTTGTGAAATTCATCGGAGAGTCGTATCAACGTACGTCTGGTCCACTCACAGACACTTCGTCCTCTTCAGGAGTAGATTTGAACTCGACAGTTGATATCAGCACTGAAAAGGACTGGACGACATCGGGATGCGTCGTTGATGTCAAGAACCAAGGCCAGTGTGGTTCTTGTTGGGCATTTGCTGCCGTGGCTGCTCTAGAAAGCGCCATTTGCATCGCCGGGCAGCCCCTGACGCCTCTTTCCGAGCAGGAGCTGGTAGACTGTGACACAACTTCATACGCTTGCCAGGGCGGGTACCCCGGGGACGCGTTGGACTTCATCAAGCGCTCTGGTGGCGTCTGTAGAGAGCAAGACTACCCGTACGAGTCGGGAGTCACGGGTGAAAATAACACCTGCCAGTTATCGTCCTGCAACCCGCAACCTGTGACCATCCGCGAGGTCGTGGCGGTTCCTGAGAGCGAGAACGGTCTTGTTCAAGCTATTAGCGGTCGTCCTGTAGCTGTCGGTGTCGCGGCCGGTAACCCTACTTGGAAGCAGTACAAGGGTGGCATTGTGTCTACTTGCTCTTCAACAGAGCTTGACCACGCTGTATTGGCGGTGGGCTACGGCGGTCTTGGCTCGTCGTCCTTCTTCAAGATCAAAAACTCATGGGGAACCCAGTGGGGTGAGGCAGGCTACATGAGGCTGAAGCGTGGAGATGACACTGCCAGCTCCGGCACTTGCGGTATTATTGGTCCCAAGTCCGTCTACCCGCAGCTCTAAAGGTGAAGGTTCCAGATCTGTCTACTCACAGCACTTACATTTGTTCGACTTGAGGGGTAGAGCATAACGTGTGACCAATACATTCCGACTAAGCCACTCGCTTCTGTTAGTTGTTCGGAAAGGATACAGCTTGCCGACTTTTACGTACATCTGACACCACGAGCGTACTTCAATCTGATCAAGTTGTCGGCTGAGAAGTGTACAGTACCATTCGGCCTTACCGCAGAATGAACGAGAACCGACACCAGAATACGCTGGAAACCGTGTAGGTTATTACCCTGATTCTGCGACTTTGACGGGATAGAGGAAGGTTGGCATACTCACAAGCTGTAAGAATGAAGACAATGGTGGAAAGATCGGTAGCTTGATTGACACAGCTCAAAGTCGGGAAAAAAATCTACACCATGACATCCCATTGCACACATGTGCTTGAACGATGCAAGAGCACGATCGGTAACCGAGAACTGCACTTCTGAAGACGTTGGACAATATTCTTAGTAGGTTTACATCAACCATAGTGAGGCGAAGGACGTCAAAGTCGACAGCTGAGAGACAAAAGCACACATCGAATCATTTACAGCAAATTGCGTTCAGATTCACACATACCCGTCCCTTCATTCACTATCCTTTCGAGTTGCTTCGACTGTATTCAGAGCACTGTCTTGCAGCAAGAAACTTGTCTACAGCCTGGCTTGGACGATGTCGTCATAGTCCGTCGAAGCTGCCATCGCAGCCCAGCTGTCGAACTCGCGGCGGGTTTCCCGCAGAACGGCGTCCCCGATGTTCACTGCATCTTTGCCCAAGAGCATGCGACTGGGAATTCTTTTGCCGGCACAACGCCCGGTCTTGGTTAGCACTTCGACGATAACTTGCGCACCCTTTGATGGATCACCAGGCTGCTTTTCTCCGGACGTTTCATCGTTGAGTCGGGTGATGCGGTCGTGCAGATGCTGAGTGACGGGCAAGTACTCTGAGATGGAGTTCTTCATCGCCGAAAAGCCCTTGCTCAAAATCGCTGTTCGGAATGAACCTGGTTCAATGATCGTCACTTCAATACCAAACGGCTCCAGCTCAGCGCGCAAGGCCAGCGTAAGCCCAGCAAGAGCGAACTTCGTAGAGCCATACACACCCATCGCCTTGATTCCCGTCCATCCGCTCGCAGACCCGATGTTAGCTATAACACCCGACTTTTTGGCGCGCATGTGAGGCAGTACAAACCGCAGCATCCGCAGCACCCCGAATACATTGGTGTTGTACTGCTGGTACGCCTCTTCGTTTGAGCATTCTTCAACTGCTCCACCAAGCAGGAAAGCTGCATTGTTTACGAGGATGTCGATGGTGCCATAGAAACTCAGAGCTTTGGCGATCACCTTTTCGAGCTCAGCATCACCTGCCGTCACATCCAGCGACAGTGTGCGAGCTCCTCGGTCTTCGAGGTCCCGAAGCTTATTCACGTCGCGAGCAGTGGCAATCACGTGGTCTCCCCGAGCAAGCGCTTTCAACACAATCTCCTTGCCGAAACCCGACGAGCATGCAGTCACGAGCCACACTTTTTTGGAGCTGCCGGTTTGTAGAGTATCGCTCATGATGAAAGAGTGAGTTGTTCACTGCACAGAAGAATGAAAAGTGACAAGCAGGATATTGGTGCAAAGGTTGACTGTGTCCGCGGAGAATTTCGACCTCGCGCCATGTCAATGTGGGGTTTGTAAGCGCAACCATCATTAAAAGGCGTATAGACTTGTTCATCTCTTGGTTGTTGACTTCAACGTCGAGGCGCCATAGGCCGCCACTGACACCAAATCGAGCCGGCGTCTGTTAGCTTTCGGTCTGTAGGTCACCCAGAATGTACGCAGCTGCAATCGAGCAGTATACATGGTCTCGAGCAACTCTCGCTCCAAGCTTGATGTCACACACTACCCTTTGACAGGGTGGGATAGACAGCTAGAGCTTGCTCGCTTATCGTAGAACCTGTAGACGACTCCAGCCAGAGGTACCTCCAGCTGACCCTTGAGCGGATCAACGACTGTTTTGGTATCCTCCACGTCTGCGTGATCCTCGTGGCCTAAGGTCAAGAGGCCATGATAAGAAGAGGCATGACGGATGGAAGTTCAAGAAAGCGAAGCAGACTGCGATCCATTGTCGCCAACAGGTATAGTCTGTCTGACCACGCGTATGACGCGATGAATGCGCCAAAGCAGACGTAGAGGAGTGACAACTACAAGCGCATCGATAGCGTCCTGCTCTCCCAATGCGTGTCGTTCTTCAATAAAAGTCGATGCTCGAAATTGCGATTCATGTGCCGTTCGGTACAGCACCACAGTCGAGGGGCAATCCGTCTACACATCATGAAACATGCACAGCAAGCGTCCATTGTTACTGAGCTCACCCATTCAGCTATCTCTTCACATGCGAGGGTTTACAAGCTTGCGTAAAGTACAACAGCAAGCACAACTAACACGCAATCACATGCTAAGATAGCAACCGTACCTGTTTGTACAAACTCGTGCACCCAGCTTCGTGTACAGCGGACACACACTTCAGTTACAACTTCTCGAGCGTCGTGTTCGTTAGGACACCATTGACGGCCGATACATTTAGTGGTACGTTTGTACATGTTTGATTCGTAGTCGTTTGAAGGCACAAAAGCGTGTACACGCAGTCGTGTCGACCGTGGGAAAGCAGCCGATCGGCTCACCACACATGCAAGATCTCTATAGTCAAAGTTTGTAACAGAGCTACGATGCAACTGGAAAGAGGAGGTGGATACTCGCATGTGAGCGGTATAATGACCGCCGAAGTTGTAAAACTCAAACTAGCAGCGCTTTCAATAGCTGCAGACTGCCGCAATCGGACAAAGGAAGCGAGGGCGCAAAAATAAGAGGTTGTGACGTTTCTGGTGTGGAAAGAGCTACCACAACGCTTACAGTTGAGCAAGGGTAGTGGCTGAGACTTTGGGTTCTTCACTCGGCCTCGGGTGAAGAACCCAAAATCTCAGCTAATGCACTAAAGGATGGCCACTACTTATTGTATTCTCTGGGGCTGGCCCCCATAGAATCCGGTAAGTAGTGGCCATCCTACAGCACTTGCAGGCCCTGTCGAAGAGAGCAGACGTCGATCATTAGAAATACTGAATTGACCCACTGCACCTGCAAAACAAAGTAACAAATTACATCTGAGACTCTCTCTGGACGAATTTGAGTGGAAGGACCAAGCAAATGGTCATGAAATCGTGAATCACTCCAGGCATTAGATGTTTAGCGACGGCGCTCGACAGAGCGTATCCTTTCATTTAGCTCGCTTCACCAACTCTGTTTCTTTTGGGTACTGTGCAATGTGTCATTGCCAAGGTTATGGAAAGCTTCACTTTGATGTTGATACGGAGCTCAGCTGAGCCTTACGAATTCGTGAAAAGTTGAGCTGGAGAGAATCGATCCACACTTTGTTTTTTTGTAGCGTTCTCCATCAAGACGTTCATGTTCGATGAGTGCAATTCTGCAGCACAGCGTCTTCCTGTCTCTTAAAGCGGTTGTACTAATACTACTACTACTGCTACTACTCAAGAGAGGACATCCAGCAGGTTTGCTTCGGCCCTCTTGGGCTATAAGGTAAGCTGTCGGTCGACGTCCAGACCTCGTCTCTTACGAACGCAGAAAAGCACTTCTATTGATGCAGAAGCACCGAAACCGAGCACGACACAAGTCTCTCGCATAGCATTGCAAGCAGCATAACTACACAACACCGTTGGTCATTTTGGAATCCGCTTCCTCCAGCACGTAAACACACACACAATCACGAGTCTCACGACCCTTTCAACAGTCCTTCACGACCACCTGCAACAAACTTGCAAACTCCATGCACTTTGCTACAACCGCTGCCGCTCTAAGCCTCCTGCTGCTCGGCAGGACGCACGAAGCGACATCTGCCGTCGTTCGCTACGACTGGAACATCACGACACTCGATCCCGCCATTTTCGATGGTGTCAGGGGTGCTTTTGGCTACGGGATCAACAACGAGACATGTGACAAGCACCCGATCGACGTCATCTTCGGCGACGAAGTGGAGGTCCACGTCACGAATCAGCTCAACGAGGTAACGTGCATGCACTGGCATGGACTCAAGCAGCTCGGGACCCAAGAGATGGACGGGGTTTCGGGCATCACGCAATGTCAGATCCAGCCCAACGTGACAGCCATTTACCGGTTCACGCCTGACAAATGCGGGAGCTTTTGGTATCATGGCCACGAAGAAGTACAATATGCTTACGGTCTCCGTGGCGCGCTACTTGTTCATTGCCCCGAAGAGAGACAGCAGAGCTGGGAGGCCGACGTCGAAGAAGAGTACACGGTTGTGATAGGTGATTGGTACCATGACCTGCCTGCGGGGGCCCCCATTTGGGACTCGGTTGTGATCAATAACGTCGGTCGCTACGACTGTGCAGTAGCGCAAGCTGCAGGTTTGGAGTGTATCCCAGCACTACCACTGCCTCGATTCCAGTTCGCACCAGGAAAGAAGTACCTCCTTCGACTAATCAATGTCTCGGCCTTGGCAGCGTTCAAGGTCAGTATCGACGGACACACGTTCCAAGTTGTGGCAAGCGATGCCGACTACCTCGAGCCCTCGACGCCCGTGAACTCGGTTTTGCTCAATGTGGGCCAACGGTACGACGTTCTCGTGGAGGCTCTGTCGACCACTTCTCAAGAAGGCGATCAACAACTACAACAGGTCAGTCAAACGGACCCAGCACCAGCAGCACTGGGCTCTTACTGGCTGCGGGTCAATTCGCTCTTTGGTCCTCCCTGGACTGCTGCCTTGGCTAGTGCAGTCCCCGAAGGGTTCAACCCCGACGCATTTGCTATTATCGACTATGACAGCAATGCCACCGCAGACCCGACAACGTCGGCCTGGCCCACGGAGGTGGCAATCGGTGAGTTCGACTATAATCCAGCCGAGCCAGTTGAGCTCCCAGCAGAACCGGACCAACGCATTATCATCGAGTTCACACTGGCCGTGCTTCCTATAAACCCGGGGCAGTTTCTTGGATACGTTTCGATCAACGAAGGAGCCTTTTCCTCGCTCGTGACTCCCGACGTTCCACCGCTGTTCTCGATCGCACAAGGGGCTTCAACCGAAGACCTCCCGGTGACAGCAAACGCTGTTAGGATCAATCACAACGAGCACATTGAAGTGGTCGTTGTGAACGAGACGCCCGACCAACACCCGTTCCACTTGCACGTGCACTCGCCATGGATTGTCGGAAGCGGCCGCGCTTCGCGCGACGCAATTATCGCGGGCAATCTTCAGACCTTGCGGCTTGATGGACCCATGCAGCACGACGTGTTTACTGTACCCGAGTGCTTGACCGACACTACGGGAGCTTGCACGGATATGGGCTACGTTGTCTTTCGCATCAATGGCGACAACCCAGGGGTTTGGCTCATGCACTGCCACATCGACTGGCACTTTGTAGTTGGGTTGTCCATGCTCTTTGTCGAGGCAGAAGATGTTCTGCACGAAGAAGGTCTTGCTGCGTTCTCACCGAACATGCTGTTGAGCGTGTGCAACCGAGGTGGCAACTTCACCATCTGATCTTGTGAGGTTGACTGCACGATGGGAGCTGCTCGACGAGCTCGTACATCAGAAGCAGAAGAAGTGATGCCGAGTGAAGGAGTAGAGATGGTAGGGAAGAGACGAAGACCAAAGTTTGTAGGTAGAGAACGCCAAGGGCGCGAGAGCTAGGATAGTAGGGAATCGATTGAGGATCACAAAAAGGTAGGAGAGACGCTAAATGCGCGAGTAGGGATAGTAGGAGGCGACAGATGAGGGGTATGAAGAAGGACATTTTTGTGGTATCCCGCTGTGTTGCTGAAGGCATCACGCTGCTTCTGACTGTTGCTACGACGTATATTCATTGAGTCATCTTCCTGCCAGTCATTTCTTTCACCTTCTAAACGACCTGGACTGGTATCGCACATGGTCTCTAGTTGTGAGCTCCAAGGGTGAAACAAATAGTGAGAGTGCGCAAGCTTGAATGCCGAACTTTTTAAATCGCACTTAGCTGTGTGTGTCTGTAAATAACGTAGCAAGGCGTACCTTACACGAACTAAGTGCGATCTGGCCGGTCCCCTTCTCACAGGTATGCAGGTTTATCCGAGGTCACTCCTTGGCAAGGTCACTATTGTGACGCGCGCACCGGATCGGCTTAAAATCTGTCAAAGGTAAATATGATCACAAAAGCAAGTGCTGGATGATCGTAAGCAAAGACTGATCGCGTTGCATGAGTATATTCTGGGTTATTTGAGACATTAACAAAAGCATACTACTTCTTCAGTGACTGCTGCTGTTGCATAGTGTTTTGTAACTTCATTTTGTCCTCCGAACTTGACTACAGATATCGAAAGGCGAGCTCCAGAGCTTACCCTCCTATCTTATGGTACTTTTGAAAATCAAACTTTTTCGTAATTTGTAGACGCTTCCCGTGACATGGTGAAGTATCTTTGTTGCAACGACAAAAGCTTTATCATGAATAGCAGGTTCTACAGTGTTGAAGAATTTGCACTGACGGTTCGCTTGTACATGGGGAAATGTTCCCTCTCTGATAAAATGTCGTCGATGAAATTATCGACATGCCGTATCGATGCAACCTCAACTACATTTTGGAGTTGCGTAGGTCCCTATCAGCAGGTGCACTTTATAGTCAGAAAAAGCCGCAGCAGCTTTCAACCAAGACGCCGTCTGGCATAGGTTTTAGTATAAGCGTTTACCACAGCAATCGATTTAGGGCCGAATGCGTATTCGTTGCTGTGCGCGGTGAAAGCAACGTTAGAAATTTAGCGGCTGGTTTGTGACAACGAATACTGCGGAAGTGCCCTGGTCGGTCGACCATACGAGCTTAGGATAGTATTCACCAAGTACATGCCAGAATGGAGCGTTTGGGCTAAGCTCTCTTTGCATGGCTTCCATGAAGGCCACCCCGAATGTACGACAATAGCATGATATGCGCTGAAGAGGTCGCACGTCATCTGTAAGAAGAAGAAGTTGTCAATTCGTGAGGAGAGGAGGACATCAATGCCAAAGTCGACGAAGAATTGATCTGCTACAGTTGCTTTACGGTGATTAAAAATTGCGCAAGGGTCTGCGTATCGAATGTTTGAAGATAAAGCGCAATGAAAAGTGGTTTGCTGGTATGAATGAATACCATGATCGTATTCAGATGGACGAATGGAATACGTGGCTTTGAACTTGGGCGCAGGCTGTCATATTCCTTAGATGCTTGTACCTCATTCCATATGGTAAAGTACAATGTATACACCATAGTTACTATCTCAATAACGACGAGGCAATGTGTAAGTATCACATCCTTTGTAACACTTATTCTGATGGGCTATGTCCGTATTGGTGGATGCAACGATTGACGCGCAGGTGAGCGTGTCTATTTTACTTACGGCGGACAGCGCTAGGGGTCGATAGAAGTGGCCATCCGCTTAGCGACCGCTGGCATAGAATAAATAGGATAAATATGTAGCCGTTACGAATCGTGCATGGATGGGCGAAAAGTTGTGTTTTTAGACAGAAAGTGGTGTTTTTTTAATTTCCCGCTACCGAATATCAGAGCGGAGCATCAGATTTCACAGCTTTTGAGTTGTTACTTAGTTTTAGGAGCTGGGCTTTCGGACACATCGTATCTTTCACAAACATCTTTTTATCTGCATGAGACTTTTTGCTAAACAAGCTACCAAAACGGAGCACAAAATTGTCTCCAAAAAGTATGATGGGTGGAGAAGAACTAAAAAATTACGCTGGCGGAGGTCAAGTACGAAAAAAAAACAGTTGAGATCCTATAGCGAGTCATGACCATACTTGGTAGCAGCACCATAACATTGGGACTGTAAATATATATAGGTCGTTTGGAGTGCGCTCGTAAGCAACGTGGATGTTTCTTACGGGGGACATCCAACGCAAGCTAGAACTACTACTATCGCTACCACTGCCGAGATGCGGTCCAAATTTCACCACAACCGTCAGGCCTGGAGTATGATGCATTTTATTGCAGTGAACGGCATATGCTAAACGACTTATGCTACAGACGATATGTGAAGTTCCTCTTCGGTTACCGCTGCTCTGTAGTAGTCACATTAGATTTGCACACATTTACTTTGTTACACTTTAACCATAACGTCGAACCAACAGCCCTTTACCATTGACTTACTTTGTCAATTCGGTACCGCCAAAAAATCTTGCCGTGCATCGAGTCCAGGTTCGCACCCAGTAGGTTGTAGATTTCCTGTGCCATTGTTTTTAGTTCACGGGGGAATCGTGTACTTTATTTTGTACAAAGTGCTATCGGTACCAAACCCTTGTGCAATTGTTCGAGGATAGAAAAGAAGTTAGATGGGCACTGTTTAGTAGTCCAGCCATCTCGAGACATTGTGGGGCCTTGGTAGGGTCAGGACGGTAACATTTAGGCTTGAACAAGATGACAGGGCATTTTGTGTCTGAGGTAGTCGTGTGTCGCCTTATTCCCTTATTCTGTGCAACAGTGAGACTGTTTCTACAGTCAATCAACACCTTTTCTGGCGATGTGAACATGCACGTAATCGCGCACAGCTCCAGCGATTACTTCGGACGTATTCTTTACGAGAAACAGCATAAGCGCGTTCAGTTTCACGTACGACTGTAAGGCGTATAATATCGTCAATGACGCCTCATAGTGTTGCATTCTCTGCATCTGCTCTTACTAAGCTCAGATATGTAAAGTGACCTACCCAAGGTATGTACGTCTCTCCAGGTCTGCAGCGACTTGATAGTAGATCCTTGAGAAGGTACTACTCCTGACGCGACGCGAATCGCACACGGAAGTTTGAACCAGCACGTCTGAAGGTTCATTCGGTACTCGGCCACGATTTAAGACAGTGCTGTAGCACGAGTTATACGATACGACTGTGAGGTCATGTAGTAATAGTCGTAGAAAACGCCACGAAACAAGGAAGAAATCGTGCACCGTGCATCGCATCACCATGCTCGCCATGGAAATGATGCCCTACGATGTCTGTCTTACCGGTAGGTAGCACGCTAATAGGAACGGTAGAACTTGTGAAACAGATAGCATGATGATTACAAGGCAACGCCGTTGACTTTGTGATGTTAAACAGCGCAGAGTACTCACTTGATGTCGAAGGGTATGAATGCGAAGGAAGCACGCGATCTAGCGTGTGCTCAAGTCACTACAATGCAATATCAAAGATCTATGGAGCTCGATACATCTCTCATAGTCAGCGTGAACTAATCAGAAGAGGACTTGGAGATAAAAGATGGGGCATGGCACAAGCCAAAGCGTAAACACACGAAGCAAGGAGAAAGGCCTCGTATTTATAGGAAGCCTCTGTCTCGAGACGTGATTGCGATCCCTGATACTGCAAAAAGGCCCAGTGTGTCACGTGAGACTCTTGGATCAGATTGAACCTTTTCTAGAATTCTGTCATCAATTGGCCTGAATAGCGATAACACCTCGAAAGTGTTATAAAATCCTAATCAAATTTGGTTCTGTACGAGCAAGTGATAGGGAGGAGACTTTGATACGGAGCAATATCGGTGGACAGTATGAGTCCACCGCCGAAAGAAGTGAATCTCGTGGACCTGTCACTGAAGCAGCTGAGTTCGCTCAAGACTCAGCTTGAGAAGGAGCTGCAGCAGCTCACCGTGTCGTTCAGCGGTCTGCGAGAAGCTCAGTCCCGGTTCTCCGAGTCGAAAGCAGCGCTCCAGAGCATGGCGGCTGTTGACCTGAACAAAGACGTGCTGGTGCCCCTTACGGCATCTTTGTTCATTCCGGGCAAGATTGCGAGCAAAGAAGACGTGCTCGTGGATGTCGGTACGGGTTACTTTGTGGAGCAGTCGATGAGCAAGGCCGAGCAGTTTATGGACCGGAAAGTCGAGTTCTTGCAGAGCAACACGGAGCAGCTCAAGACTGTCGTCGACGGGAAGCGCAACACGCTGGAAGCTGTGCTGATGATCATGCAGCAAAAGGTGCAGGAAGCTCAGCCGACCCGACCTGGAAACAATTAGGTGTGTTACCCATACTTGACACGTCGACCACACGTGCTTTGAGGGCGCTATCAACGATGGCTAAACTTGTGGACGTTTGTAAGAGAACCACAGAGGTCTGTCGGCCAGAAGATCAAGGGCTGTAGATTGTTGATGCATTAAGCAAGAGGCACAGCCTAATAACAAATAACGGATCGAATCCTGGGTATGTATTTATATTACCTCTGCTTGTCAAAGGGGGATGAGACAGATCGCTGCCTTACATAGAATCAGTCTCTCTTCTGTGTTTAATGCAGGCAGCGACAACCGCTGTTTGGTCATGTCTTGAAGGCGGGGAGTGGGACATCTGGTCCCGTGACTGCTGCTTTTCCATGGGATCGTCGGTCAATAAATATGCACGAGTCCGTACGAGAGCGTCCAGAAGAGGATGAATGACAGGGACTGAGACATGACACCTGCAAAGATGAAGGCAAAGGTGCTCGTGGTGAAGTAGACGTGGACGTCCATGTTGAGCTTAAAGAGCCAGAGCGCAATGGCGGTGAACACGTAAGCGATGGCGAGGAAGAGAAACCCCTGCAGCCCGGTCATGCCCGTGATGCCTGCAATGCAACCAGCAATGACGCACATGGACGTGTGCACGTACTCGACTGCTTTTTCGTTGCTCTTCATATTGTCCATGGAGAAAAAGTCGACTTTCTTGTCCTGGAGCGCGTCCATTTTTGTATCTTCTTCGTACTGCTCGAGTGATAGCGGGTCTGGGTCTGAGTGTGTTCAAGGTCAAACGCTGTATGCTGACAAGTGGCGCACGTCGAGTCCCTCGATTCGTGTGTGGCACACAAAAACGGGAACACCGCGCCGTTGATTTCCATTCGATCGAGTGCGAGTGATAGTTTTTGGGCTTTTCTTAACGAGTGACTATAAACGTGCATTAAACTTATGACCATTTAATTTTGGGCTACATGACGGGATGTAGCCGCTCAAAGATGGCGTTCTAGTGAACGTTTGGGCCAATTTGGTAAGCTCGCAGCACAATGAGGCGTTGTAGCGTGATGGCGTAATTGAAGTACCGAGTTGTAGGATTCGACTGGACGACAGGGCTGTGTACATTGGAGTCTGAGTTCGCGAACACTTACAGATCGTGTGGTCTCGCGATATGCTTTCGCTGCGAAATTGCTTGCCATGTCTTTCGTACCCAGGAAGACCGAGCTAAAGAAGCAGGTGTGGATCACAACGCGTCGCGTCTAGACGATAATTTCTCAACGTGCAAAATGGTGAGGCGTGAAAGTATAGATAGTGTGTTGTGGCGCCGAAATGGAGCTGCCAGAGGGATCTTAGAAGCCGATTGAACAACATGGAGTCGAGGCATCGCCGTCTGTGGATGCAGTCATACACAACATCGGAATCGATCTCGTGGAGCTTCCAAAAACGAGTCAAAGTCATTAAAATCGTTGATGCCTTCAGCCTGCTGTGTATTCGAGCAAAGTGATTCATTTGATCGAATACCACATCAAGCCGAAGGTATGGAACAGCAGCGCAAGTCTTGGCACTGTACTTGAAGTCGTTAGTATCTACAGCATCTCGAAAACATCACCAGAGACTCCAGCAATAATAGCGTCTTTACAGACACGACAACAGGCAACCTCTAGGAAGCTACGAACGTGTGGTCCACACTTGTGCAACATAACGACACACCAACGTGTTTATCAAGAACAAACTGGTAATTTTGCCGTACAAAAACAGTGCTGTCCGTTAGTGTCCGCATCCTGTGTAACCACAAAAAAACGTCCCAAACCATCTGCTGCGACATATCCTGTCGAAAAACCTCAGCACTCTCCACTTCCCGCTCTGTTCTTCTCCCCCCCTGCCCCCTTCCCGTCCATTCATTTCCCAAAAAACCTTGGAAGCCACCTGAACCGATACTAATGCGGGTTCTGCAGATTGTACGTCGCCTCTCGTCTGCGCAAGCGCTTTCCACGCTCCGACACTCGGTCCAAAGCGCTCTGCCTTCAGTTCCCAGTCGTACGATCGCTGCCGGGTGTGCGTCCACGACTTTCTCCCGTACCTTTAGCACGAATCTTTTCGACAACGAGGACGACGACGACGAGTATTCGTTCATCGAGTATCCGCCTGTTTCTGCCCACGTCCAGAAACAGGCCCCTCGCTTTACTGCGAAAGCAGTTGTTAATGAGGAAATTACTGCCGTGTCCCTCGAGTCGTTTATTGGCCAATATGTAGTGCTCTTTTTCTACCCCAAAGATTTTACTTACGTGTGTCCGACGGAGATTATCGCGTTTAATGACCGGGTGGAGGACTTCCGAGCACTCAACACGCAACTCATTGCCGTGTCCTGCGACTCGCCCGAGAGTCATTTGGCATGGACTCGACTGCCTCGTAATAAGGGCGGACTAGGCAAAATGGACATTCCCATTGTCTCGGACATTACCAAGCTCATTTCGGCCAAATACGGCGTGCTGGTGGAACAGGATGGAGTAGCTCTACGTGGACTCTTTATCATGGACAAACAAGGAGTCTTGCAGCAGATTACGATCAACAACATGCCCATTGGCCGCAGTGTCGACGAGACGCTGCGTCTGATTAAAGCTCTGCAGTTTGTAGAGGAGCATGGAGAAGTGTGTCCAGCTAATTGGCAGCCAGGAGGGAAGACGATCAAGGCGACTCCGACGAGTAGCTACGAGTACTTTTCGTCGATCAAGGAAGCTGCCGAGGACGACGACGACGAGGCGGCATCTTCTGCCTTGACGCTCGTGAAGAATAAGGCACAGTTCCAGGAACTCATTCAGAGCGGTAAGCCTGTGGTTGCTGATTTTATGGCTCCATGGTGCGGCAAGTGCGCGCAGATTGAACCGACGGTGGTGAGCCTGGCAGAAGCTCACCCTGAAGTGACGTTTGCGAAGATGGATGTGTCGATTCCAGAAGTGGAGAAGCTCAAGGATGAACTCGAGGTTGGGGCGTACCCGGAGTTCCGCTTCTTTAAGGATGGCAAGGAGGTCCACGAGAAGATTTCGGGATACAAGAAGTCGTTGCTCAAGAAAGCGGTGGAGAAGTTGCTGTAAGCTAGCTGCTGGGCTTTATCAGCAGTAAACAACGACTCAGCAATGAGTAAGGTTCGGGCTCTGTGAGCACTTGAGCTGTTGTTTTACCTGACAGCAACGTTTTCAATAACGATGCAAAGCAACATGTGACGGTCCCATTTATTTTGCATGCTCGCACTTATGATGCCTACTTGTCTCATGCACTGTCGGCATCGTACCGAGCACGAGCCAGACGTTGGCGGCGTTCTCTGTCAGTGGTGACATCCGAGAGGTCCACTGAGGCTGAAAGTGGTGCCTTGCATCCAAGTCCTGCCAGATCAGTTCGACCGCTAGCAGCTTCAATTGGAGCAGTGATGCCTGTGTTGTGCTTCCCGAGACCCTCGCCGCTTTTCCATCCCATCATCTTTAGCATCTTACCACCGATGCCAGACTCTAGGGTAGGCTCAGGATTTGCTGATTTGCTGCCTGGGGTTGAAGCGCTCCGACGATCGATTCCACACGGTGCAGTAGATGGCGCATGGCTGTCCTGTCGCTGTTTCTTGGCAAGCTGCTCGACTTGCATTTCATGTTCACGCTGTTGTGCAGCAATGTGTTGCTTGTTCTCTCTCGCCTTAGCCAAGTTGGCCAAGTGCAACTTGGACAGCGTTTCGTGCTTGCGTAGAATCTCTAGCGATCCAAACTTTCGCCGACAGAGCTATGCGTTCAAACACACAACAAGACACAGCGTTAGTTCACTCGAACGCGACCAACTTCTGCCGTAGCACATCTTACCAGGCAAATAGGTGCTTCTTGTGGGACGTTGGTCAGCGCATCAATTACGGAATCAACAGCATGATTGACAGCACTGACTGTTGCTCTTTGCTGCGAGGAATCAGCGAACGTTGTGGCCTCGCCATGATCGGCAATCGAGAGTGCTGATGGTTCAGTACGTTGCTGCTGCTGCTGAATAGGTGTGATATCGACATCTTCGCTCTTCTGTTTCTTTGCTTCCTGCTGTCGCTGTGACCACTTCGCGATGTCGCCTGCACTCTTGCGCTTCATCCCACTAGCGACATTGACAGCAGTGACAGTAGACGCGGCAGCACTGCTCTTCGTCGAGCTAAGCTTGCTCGAAGCTAACGTCGCGCCAAAGGCAGCAGTTTTGAGACTGAACGAAATACCTGAAGTCTTCTTCTTGTCCTTTTTCAGCGAGATGCTCATCACAGGCTTGCTAGCTGCTGTTGCAGCTGTGCATTCTTCCTGGTATGCATCGTCGTTAACAGGCACAGGAGGCACAAACACCTGAAATGCTGCTGCCCGACTACCCGCAGGGCTCACACACCGGTAGTACACGCCAGTGAACGAGTTGTAGTATAAACTGGTAGGCGGATCATAGTAGAACAAGCTGTCCGGATCCCAGTACAAACCATACTCGCTTACATACACATAGCTGCCGCCTGCTGTCTCGAACGGTGCTGGCCACAGTTTCTTCGGTTCTTCAAACCGAGGAACGACTTGAGCTGCAGCACTATCCAGCAATGCACTGACATCGGCCGCAACGCTACTCGGCTGAGGATATCAGTCAAAAAGACGCGGACGATGCAGCAATTTTGCGCATGTGTGTGGCAGGAGAAGTGACACCTTGAAAATTAGATACTTGTTTCGTACTCCCGGAACGAACATGTCACCGAGCTTGGCAAACAGAAAAAAGCAACAAGCGTTCACCTGATCATTTCGAGCCCCGTCAACTCCGCGTCCTTGTGACAGTGACCACTGAGCCTGCTCTAATGCTGTGACTGCCAAGGAGCTACCAGCGCGCGATTCTTTAGGTACGTAAGGCGAGTAGCGCGATCTGTTAGGGAGAGTATCGCGCGCGTACGATATCTCTACGCGAGTGTTGTGTACAATAAAGCCTTCGGATTTTTTCAAGGCATTTGTCGCTGCCTACATACAAACAAGCACAAAAACCACAGAGGCGGTGTGCAATGTCAGAACAGTTTTAGCAGAAATAGGACACAGAACCATACTTCAATGTCGCGGAACTCAATAAAGCCGAACCCTCGCGAAACTTTCGTTACTCGGTCTCGAATAAGACGGATATCCTGTACACCATCGAAATCTGCGAATGCCGCGTGAAGCTGCACGTAGTGGCCACTCCAGTCAGATACGATACGCTCAGATCACGAGCATATACGCACCTCGCCTTCCTCAATGTCAGGTGGAAGCATGCGCACTACGAGCACTTGAGATGGAGGAACACTCCGAGTACTGTTGCTACGATCCTCCCGTCTTCGAAAAGTCATCTCACCATCTCTTGACGAAGTACCGAGCGATGACCTGCTGCTTCTTGACTCTCCTTCGTACGAATCGTTATAACCACGCGTGTGATCAGCTCGAGATGCTGTCATTGCCAGAACTTCTTTCGCATGAGCTGTCTTTGGTGCTGTGCACTGAACACAGCTCGTCCGTCGAGCCCAATTGGTAACATTGCACTGACATCCCAAGCACATCGGTCAGCAACCCACTTACAATCAAGTACCGACCACAGCATTGACTCACCTCGTCACATATCCAGTCTGGCCGCGGTTGCCGGCGTTCTTCTTGGTCCTGACTTCCAGAGTATGTTTTCTTGAGTCGATAGTCCGTAGTTGAGTCTCTCGGCCGACCAGAGTCGACGGCCCGTCGAAATTCGTCCGAGTACTTGACGTCCACTTCACGATCCTCTAGCACCAGCGGCTTCAATTCTGGACATAGGCCGTCCCTTATAATTTGTGCATCAAATTGAACAAAAGGAGAGAAACCCTACCAAAAGCACGTATAACGTCCGTGGCATCCTCCACCGAACCAAAGTCCACATACGCGAACCCACGAGATTCCCCAGCAGCCTACAAGACAGCGCGTATTCCCAAGCCCGAAATTAATTGTGTGTACTGCAAACTATGAATTTAGGCCAAAGTCACCTGATCGTAGACAACTCGAGCTTGCACTGGTCGAAATCGCTGTAACGCGCAAAGAATCTAGAGCCAAAAACAAACAGTGGTAAGAGCATTAGCGACTGTCGATATCGGGTGTTATGATCAAAAACGACCAATCCGTGTGGTCCACCAAAACCAAACACCTTATTCCCATCATAGCGTTCTACACTTGTACCCATATCAAATCATGTTTTGTCATAACAGACACATTGGCTGTACCATTTCTTCCGTCACGGAGCAAGCTAAACCGTGCAACAACAGCGTCGAGCTTGGCACATGATCGTGACAAGGAAGCGTACGGGCGGTTCCGCTGGCCACGAGGCGGGAGCGTCGACTTCTGGCGGTCAAAGTGCGGTGGTCCTGACATCGACTCGTGCTGCTGCTGCTGTATATGTGGACGTGCGGAACTTGACACGGCTGACTGCATTTTGGCCAATCAGAGCACGACAAAGATCAAAATACTGCATTGGTCGATAATTTTCGAGATTTTATACAACTGCCAAATACATAATTTAGCTGTCCTGGAATCGTCGTGTTTTGCTGCACATGTTTGCTGTATTTACGATTTGCTCGAGCCTCCAAACCCGCTGAAGCCCATTATTGCCAGCATTTCAGCGTGAGGAACTTCATCCACTACTTCCTTCTTTTCGGCATTGTCCGTGTCATCCGGGCCGGACTGAGGCACTGTTTTTCCCAGTTTCTTGGCTTTCTTCTCTTCGTTTTTCCGTCGCTTAACTCGAGCTTCTTCTTCCTCGACTGCTTTCAGTTTCTTCTCGTAATCTACTCGTTCGAGATTGCACCGTCCATCACAATGTGCATGTGTATCACAAGCACAACAATAAGTGAGCTCAACGAAAACGATAGCGCAATAAGTCTGGATTACACCAAGAAACGTCGCCGAACATCACGCACCTTCCATAGCATCCAGCTTCTTGGTCATCAGCGGGTCCCATTTGCGTTTCGACGCACTCTGAAGTCGACTCTTGACCTGGTCCACCGTCGAGCGCTCCACTCTCATGCTGTAGCCAAGCTTTCGCAGATCTACATGGCACCACAGCCAATACAGCATAAGACAAAGCAGCAGCATCACTCACCACGTGGTACCGACAGCCACGTCCGACTATCCAAAGGAAAAGGACAAAAAGAATGCTCCACTTCAATGCTACGCACGCTTTTTGCCATTGATATGGTCCAGATATGCCACCGAGTCCTTGAGACTGCACTCACAGACCTCGCAATAGTATCCACTGCTCTTGCTCAAGTCGTCCGACTTGACCACTTTGACTGTACCCACACTATTCTCAAGCGAGATCTTGGAACTTCGAGCCTTTAGAAATGCACGGGCTGACCCGGCAGGTCCTGCCGCTCCTTCACTTGCTGTCTGGAACTCCTCCTTCGATGACGTAATCACATTCTTGGTCTATCACAACGTAATTAACTGGCTGCGTATACAACGCGCATAGCAGCTGCACAAAAAAGAGTCTTCCGTGGATAGAAACGCAATGACGATACGCACAGCAACGCACCTCCTCGTGTTCTACTTGGCCATCCGCACGAAGCTTGGCCAGTTTCTCGTAGTGTGCGCGGTCCCATGTCTGCCGCACGACGTTGGCCACGCCTGCCCCTTTCCGAGCTGGAGACTTGTCCTGCATTGCATACAAGAATCGGTACAAACGGTCGTTAATTTTTTGTAGGTTGTGGTGTATGCGACGCGCGCGATTTCTATCGGATGCACCAACTTGGCGATGTGGCAGCATGATGACCTGCCGGTTAGAAACGATTGCGCTTAAGTTGCTGACATGCGACGGACGAATGAACTCCGCGTCAATTTTACCATCAAAGCAAATTGCCGTAAAAGTAGGCGGTGCAGTTTTAGCCTCTGAATTAATACACTCCTCACTACCTACTCGACCAATTACGAAGCTGAAGATGGTTCTCGCGCATCAAGACGCGTGGCGTAGCCACCCCTTTATCACCAACTGCGCCAAGAAACCGTTTACAGGGCTAGGTCTGGCCTCTGCTATCTTTGGCGTGTACCTTGCAGTGGACGCGATGACTTCACGCTCGTCATCGCACGGCAACGAGCGTGACGCACACGGGGACAAACATCACGATGTCATTTCTAATGGCCAACTCAAGGACGGGCAGTAAAACAGGGTCAAGGATCGGACCCTTTTTTCCGGGTGGAATTGTGCTGAAACCAACAAAAAGGAGCTTCAGGCGGTAACTCTGCTGTTTTATGCACGGTCGATCAAGCGGCTGCAGTGGTATTTTATCCAACACGGTCGATGGATTTTTGCTCAGCTCCAAAATAAACACTTTTTCATGACTATTTCCCAACTTTTCCCCAATCGTTTACTTTTAGATGAGATAGAAATAAAACGTTTGTCACGATGATGTGCTCATGCTCGTCATCGAAAGTTGATATTGTATCCGTACTGTTACATTGTAGTCTCAAATAATGTCATACTTGGTGGTGATGGTGACAGTGTTCGACGTAGCCAACTTCCTCGATTGACTGGAAGAGCTAAAGCAGATCCCAAGGCGCCACTTCCCGAATTATTTATGATTCTCATCGTGCGGGAACTCCTCGTCGTCTTCGCTCTCACCCGTTTCAGTACTGCGCCGTTTGTTGATTCGAGCACTGCAATCAGTTTGCAGTTCCAGTACCGAAACGCGGGTCATGAGCTGATTCAGGAATCGCATTGTCTCAGTCTTGACATGATCATGTTCAAGCAGCTGCTGTTGCATCTGCAAGTTGCTCTGAGCGAGTTGCTGGATCTGCTTTTGTTGTGACGCGAGCAAACTTCGCAGCTCATGGACAGCTGATGAGGAAGAAAACGGGGATGATGACGATGATCCATTCTGTCGGGGCGCGTGGTTCAACGCCGTCACACGCTCTCCAGCTCCACCAGTTGCTTCACCTGCTGCAATGACGCTTGACTTCTGATAACTCCATTCGTGAGTTCCAGTCGTCGGGGATATGTCGGGGCTTCCATTACTGATAGTGGGGCTTTGTGAGTTTTCCCGAGCAAAACCTCGACCAGGTATCGCAACAGTTGCAGATGGAAACGAGGCACCTCTCACGCCGTTTCGATCGTCATCACCAGCTCCCAGTGCAATGCGTTGATGTGGATGGACATCAAGCAACGAGTCGTTGCCGCGGTCAGTCTCAGCCTGCTCGAGTTCGTGCTTACGTCCCCGACTGTGTGTGATCATTGCGTAGCAAGTGACACACACACGCTGTGGAGTTGTAAACCCCTTGGCTTCCATCGATATCTTCTTGCCTGCGCTGTGTTGACTGCAGATGGATTTGCCACAATTGCGGCAGTGATGGCGGTGCTTGAACATGCCGAAACTAGCACGGCAGATTGAGCACTCGTCGTCATGCTTCCACTCGGGTCGAGGGTCATTGTGACCGCGATCATTGATAGACCCGTGAGATGCACGACTCTGGAAAAACGGTGGCGAGCTTCTTTGGGACCCTGTTCGCGGCATGGAACGTCGAGGGAATTCGCGGACAGATTGGAAAAGTCGGTCTTGCAGGTTCACTTGAGCGCAGACGACACCTCCCCCCGGGCTGATACTGTCACGAGGAGATCCATTGTCTTTGTCAGCATGTTCGACATCATCATCGGCTTCACTGTGGAATCCAGAGTAAGCATTCTGTCGGACACGTTCGTGATTGAGCATGACAGGGAGTGAGGAGTGACGACTGTGGCCTCGACGACGTCCTCCTACTTCGTCATCTTCTTCTTCTCCTCCTCGTGCAGTCCTCACACCAGCATCAGCTCTCATGGCTGAGCTCATTATTTGCTGTCCACGATCACTAGCAAAGTCGTTACTCTGAAACTGGCCTGACAACGACGATGTCGTGTGACGCTGCTGCAAGGGAGAGTGTTGGTGACTCCACTCCTGAAAGCCTCGTAAGGGTAACCCACGATGACTCCCTGAACAAACCTGCGTAGCATCAAATGAAGATCGACCGCTATGAGGATTCCTCGTCTCGTCTCGACTGCCAGTACTGATCGACGAAGGCGACACGAGTTGATCGTGCAGTGTATCAAGTCCGTCCATGTCATTCAGTGACTGCTCACTCATCATGCTGATACTGTCTCGTGGCTCCAAAGTCGATCCCTCACCCGTGTCCGATGCTCCCTCACCATCATCATCATCATCATCAGGAAGGAACCCACCTCCAAAGCTGACGTTCCCCACGAACGGGTCCGGTCCAGCAGCCTCCGTCCAGTCCACCACGTCATCGTCTGCATCTTCATCCCTCAACACTCTTTCCACGCCAGAAGCTTCACCCTCTTCCTGCTCACTCGTCACGCGTTCCAGATCAAGCAACCCCTCACTCTCTCGTCCACTCACGTCATCATCATCAGCCGCAGCAGCATGTTGCTGCTCCTTTTGTTGCTGTTGCAGTACAATGCTGCTCCGGTGGTATGCTCGATAGAGCACCTTCAACTTGTCTGCTTCCAGTCCAGTGGCTTCCGCCATTTCCAGCGCCGTCCCCCCGTCCGGCATCCGCTCGCTCACCGCGTCGGGGTACGCACGGACCAATTTCCTTAGACAAGCTGCTTGAACTCCTGCTCGAATGGCAATTTGAAGCGGCAGCAAGTCGCCGTCGTTTTTCGTTGCGACACTTTCTGGATACGCTTGCAAGAGCTTTGCAATGAGGGACAAGGGCACGTGACGGACGGTGCACGCCCAATGAAGGGGCAGCATCCCGTGGTCCCCGCGGTACGTGGCACTTGCAGGATCACGCTCCACTAAACGCTGCAAACTCTTCCAGTCCGAGGCTTGAGCTAACCGGATCGCCTCGGAAGTTCCAGCACTTGGGTTCATTATGGAGGAAAAGAGGGCAAGCTGCTGATGTTTACGCGTCGGTCTATCGGTTTGTGGCTGTGCGAGTGTGTCTGTTGTTATTGCAGGTCGATTGTTTTATATGGAGCTCGAGAGACACGAAGAAGAGGAGGAAGAGGAGCAGGAGGAGGAGAGAGAAAGACAATGAGCGAGCGAGCGACGGCAGAAGGAAAAAAAACGCTTGAAACGCGGTCAAGTGGGTCACTGGCGCGGATTTAAAGGCGCCCGTCGAGGCGACGTTCGACTCGTTGCCGCCTGTGTAACTACTGCGCTGGAAAGGAGGAATGGGCGTTGATGCTCGCGTACAAAAAGACACGAGAGTGCAGACGAAAGAGCCTGAAGAGTGGGAGTTTGTGTCCGTTGGGAAAAAAAGGAGGGAGTGTGAAGGGGCGTTGGGTTGACAAAGACCGCGCCGCCTTATTCTTTCTTTCTTTTTTCCATCGATCGCTCTCTCTCTCTCTCTCTCTCGAGTCAACAAGCAGCAGCGCCACGGCTCAATGATAAAACGCTTGAAACGATCGCACAGGCGCGAGGCTCGAAACAAACGGGACACGTTCAACGTGGAGGCGGCTACATAGCCTCGACATCGTGGCTCTTCTGTGCACGGCTATAGACACAACAGGTGAAGGTTCAGCACGTGCCGTGCCGTGCGGTCGTGAGTGAGTGTGTCCCCCCCCCCTCCTCCTCCTCTGTGGAGTTGCGAGCGAGGCACCACTTGCTCTGTCCCGCAAAGTCGCTTGTTTGATTTCTTGCTTGTGAAACTTGCGCGACCGTCGATCGCCGTTAACCGACCGGTCTCCAACCTCTAACGGCATACAAAGCGATGAAAACGGTCAGTGAGCGGCAGTTAGGGGACTGTCAGCACATGAAGCTGATGCTTGACGGGAAACATGCCCATTGTCAAGGCGTTTATTTAGGCGTTCTCGGCGGCACGTCCGTCAGATCAAGTGATCTTGTGAGCAAATGCATCCTCACTTTTGGGTCCTGTACGCCGGATACAGCGACTTGAGCTATGGCGAGTGCCACGGGGCTAACGGCCTCGTCTAGCAACGAACTCGACGCACGAGATCATGAAAGTGATCCGCTTCGAGAACAACGTTGGTAATCCGTGTCGAACGTGCGCACGACCCTCGCGATCGACGATTCGGGTTTGATTGGGTGCAAGTCGACTCGAAGCTTCGATCACGCCGCTTCTCCCTCCTCTGTCAAGCATAGCAAGAACGACTCTTGTTGTGCTGCCTGTGCTGTCAGTCATCTACTTGCCGTTATTGCCCCTTTTGTATGGAGACTTCGTGTCATGGCTTGTATGCGAGACCGCTTGTTGAGCTGGAAGAATGCATCTGCTGACATGCAGCACGTGAAGTCAGGTGGGGGACCGCAGCAGCATCAGCAAAAGCCCTGCCACAATGACCGACTATCACCCACCATTGTTTCTTCCCTATCGAAACATCGCATGTATGGGACTGCTTAAGCTAAGGCTGAATAGTCTCTCAACCAGTTTATCTCTCTCTCTTCACATTCCAGTCGAGGAAATATCTCACGTATTCTCACACTCTCTCACATACAAAACCCGAGATCACACGAAGCCTTCAGCAGAGCATTCACAATTCAAACTGCTGCGAAAGCAGCGTAGCCATGTTGCGCCGGGCGATTCAGCGAACTCGGCTGCATTTACCGGCACCAACAGGGCACGACAATGGCAGTGGAAGCGGCTCCTCTTCTCCTGACGAAGGTGACTATCTCCATGCAAGTCCCAGCGTTGCCTACACGAGTCTCCGGGACGACGAGTCCGTTCGCGAATACTTCCGAAAGCGGCCAGAAGATATCTCGGAAGTGCGTTTGTTTGCTGCCGAGAAGCCCCTGCGGAAGGAAAATTCTGCCAACGTGGCAAGGATGTCCATGGACGAAGAACGTCGAGCGGCGGATGTGTGGAAACGACTGCAGACGCTCTACGGTCTTTTCCAAGAGCTATCGGAAGATATCCCGGTTGAAGAAGACTGGGGTTGGGAACGTGTGGGAAAAAGGGAAGAAAAGCTGCACCCACGACGTCGATTGAAGAGGAATTCTGGACGTACCTCAACACAGACGGGATGATGGACTGCGGTCGTTGCTGCATGCAGTGAGGTTGCCGTCAGGTGTCATCATGCGGGACCTGCAGACGTTGTCGACTGTGGATGACACGGACGATCACGGCATGCCGCAAGGGTTTACTGCTGGAATGTTTGCCGTGTTGGGCAATGTACTGTATAATGAAATGCTCGTTGCTGCGGGACAGAACCGCATCAGCCGCGACGTCTTGGAGGAGCTGGGCAACTGCTTGTACGCAGACGCGGCAAGTGTAGCCGTGATTGCAGTGGATGCGTGAGAGCGGGTGAGAGTTGTGTTGGTGGTGATGGGATGGACGTTGAGCCGTCAGTCGTTGGCTCCTTTATGCTCACGTCGTGTCTGCAGACTGCGTCCAATGGGAACAGAAATGTTCTTCGCTGTGCTGCTTGTGTCGGTTGCTCATCCTGTGGCCGTGATTGAGTTTGTCTGGTGCTGTAACTGTACAAAGCATATACCGTGCGTTTGCCTTCATCTCGAGTCGTTCGTATGTAATTCGCAGTCAAGCCCAGAGTGACCACCTGATGCCGCAGCGTCAATGCACTTGTTCCAGAACACTTACAAGCGTGTAGAGGTCAAATAATCCGAGCACCACGTAAGCAGCGTAGACCTCTACTCGGCACGTCGAGCTCACTGCAGGCACCCTGCATGAATCACCAAGACAGTAACTACACTGCCAAGATGGTCAGAGGTGCTGCACCAACAGAGCAGCACGCTGTAGCAGCTCGACACTGAACCAAAGCAAACAATCAATCACAGCACAACCCGATCCAGAACAAAAGACACTGCCACAACTTTGTCTCAACGTATCCAACAACCTTACAGTCTCTGTCCCCCATCTATTTTTTCCACTGCTCAATAGCCTTCACCCCCTCCCGCTCGATCGTCGCCCCTGCCTCGAAGTCCACAACGTCTCCATTCGGACGAATCACCACAAGCGCCGGAATCCCTTTCTTGCGGGCAATTGGACTCAGCCCCTTCGTCTCAGCATTGGCACAAACACCAAACGTCCGTTTGAGCTGCGACCGCGTCGTTTCGTCCTCAAACGGGACCATCCACCAGTTGCGCTGCTTCTCGTTTAAGTGCGAAACTTGATCCGTCACCGAAGCGTCTGAGCTGACAAACACAATGTCCAGCTGGTCGTGGACCGCGTCATAAAACCGGTTTAATACCGGTTGAAACACGCGGCAGTCTGGGGCACCAGTCTGCAGCAAAGTAGAGTGCGAGCACGGCGCCGTTTTGACCGAGCGTCTCGCCCTGGACGGTCTTCTGCCCGCCATCCGTCAGTGTAACGCCTTGCAGTAGTGGCGGCTTGGTCATTGGACCTAGAACCTCGCGTCGCACGAACGGTATGAACTGATCTGAGTCCTGTCCACGCGTGGCTCGCGTTCTCAGATCCAAGCTGAGAGCGGGGTAGGTCTATCTGGGCGTGTTATTCGCCAATCACGACGCAACCAACTGGAAAGTCAACCGCGAGCTTCCAGCGGCGAGTAAACAGGCTGTTCTGTAACGACGAACTCAGAGCGGTCTTATCAGACAGCTGGTTGTAGAAGTGTGTTTACACAAAGAGCCAGTGCGTGCTTGTGATTCGCTGAATCGGGCACAGGTGCACTATGATTGGTCATTGCTATAAACGAATCGAAATCGGGAGCCCTACCCCCCACACGTCCAAGCCGACTCGCAATGGTAGTCGTGCACGTTGCAATCGTCGGTGTTGACAACAAAGAAAGGCCGCCCGCAAGGTCTTGCCCGGTTCTTTTTATGCATCTGATTCCACTTCTTTTCGTCTGCAGGAGTCGCTCCAACCGACGGCTGGCTGGCTACCCGAACCGCAACTTGTCCCCACTCATTTATTTTTATCATTTCTGTCACTAGACCTGCTCACTTGTTGCCTCCAGTTTCCCAATTGACGGCTGGGTGAGACACACAAAACAATCGAGTGGCTTGTGGGCAGAGAACATGATGACCGAAAGACGGGACAAGCTGTTGACTGTGAAAGTGGACCACTATGATGGTCAAGCGATTTACAGTGACGGTGAATTGATCTACGAGCTGGGAGGGTACCTTGGAGGTGGGGCGGCAGGCGTGTACGTTGAAAGAAAGAGAGTTGTCGAGTCTTTTTTGTTGATTGTGTTGGGTTTTAAACTTGCAGTGACGTCTTTTGTATGGGTTGTTGCTGTTGTTGACGGCAGAGTGTATGAAGCTCTGTCGACACGGACGAAGCAGCATGTTGCAATCAAGATACTGAATCCTGTTGGCTACAAGCTGTTTCCTACTACGCTGCTGGCACGATGTCTTGTTGCTGTGAAGGGCAAGCCAGTGGCGATGCTGCCGGGGTTGGAGGACGCGGTCGAGTTTGAAGGTGAAAGACGATTTTCGTCGCCGTCGGATCGACGAGCTTATGGTGGAAGGACACGCCGTGTGCGGATGAACGTTGCGATGTTGAAGCCGATGCGTGTTGAGAATGTGTGGTGGTTGATCCATCCGACATCGAAACAGGCGATTGCGGCTTTCGAAGACCCGTTCACCGGTCATGTGCGAGAGCTGACACTTCCCCAGTGCATCGAAGTCTGGGGCGAGCAGATCAGCCAGTGCAGCGAAAGAAGTGGTGAAATGCGAGAGATGGACCCTGCTGAATTGTACCAGGAAGTATGTGTGAAGAACCAACTGATCAAGATTCCTCGCATTCCGAAGAAATTCATCAAGTTCGCACACACTCGACGGTCTATCCACCGTGAGATATCCAACATGTCGGGACTAGAGCGTCATGAAAACGTGTTGTGTCTGGACGAAGCACTGGAGCTCGTGCAAGACACTAAATGCACAACGTTTTTGGTGCTCGAACTAGCTGGAGGCGGTGAGTTGTTTGACCGCATCAAGCTTGATTGCGGTACAGATGAAGAAAGTGCGCGTGTGTACTTTCGTCAGCTCATTTCGGGAGTGGCGTTTTGCCACCACTCAGGCATTTGTCACCGCGATTTGAAGCCCGAGAATTTACTGCTTGCTGATAATGAGGAACTTTCGACGCTAAAGATTGCGGATTTTGGACTGTCGGCGATCTTTGCGTATACAGATAAGGATGCGAACGAGAGCGCGCTGCAACCTGATGTGGAACAACCATCTATTCGTCGCTTACGCTCGGTCGTGGGGTCCCCGCACTATGTAGCCCCCGAAGTTCTCATGGACACTGGCCGGGGATACGACGGTGCAAAGGCTGATGCGTGGTCAATTGGTATCATCTTGTATGCAATGGTCGCGGGAAGTATGCCATTCGGAAAGGACTTGCTCAAATGTGGTCGCTACGACCGTTTTCGAAAGTGGTCGTACAGCACCAAGTGTAGTGATGAAGACCCGATGGACGAGGTCGACTTCCCGACATGGTTCTTTCCAGCACGTTTCTCGTTGGAATTGAAATCTCTGTTAGCGCAGTTGTTATACCCGGACGCCTGTATGCGATTATCAGTGGAGGAATCCCAGCATCACGCATGGGTCCGTAATGCAATGCCAAGGAAGTCGAATTTGTCAAACATGGAAGATGACCAGCTCTTGAGCATCGCACACCTTTCAGTACACCCGAAGTACCACCTTCATCACCCCATTTAACTTACGAGATGATTTATGCAAACATGGAAGTGAGCACTCGAACGAAGGCGGAAAGACTACGTCAGCAAAAGCACTCTGGACAACCAAGCTGTATGCCACCGAGACGGCGCAGTCCGCTTTCTCATTTGTTCAGATCAGGGCGCCTTGCTGTCTGTCATCATCTTGACAGCAAGGCTTTCATGCGAATAAGCATTTTCCGGGCGTAGTCGACCACATGTCGTCCGTGAATGAAACTTCGTCTGTTTCGGGTCAAATTTCGTCGAAATCAATGACCGGGTTGAAAAATAGGTAGCCCTCTCGACGCTGAAGTCGAACGCGAGGCTTTGATGATACTTTGACAAGGCAGGAAGCTGACGGGGATTATTTGGAAGCAGGAGCACATCGTATGCATCATAGGGATGCGCTGAGGGCTCACTCCTGTCCGCTTCTTTGCAATTGCACTGAAGTCTCTGGATGTGTCTATCAATTGGAGCAACTGCCAGCTCGTTGTTGGCATGTTGATCGCTCCCTGAATCATATTCGGCAGCTGTCCCTATTCCAGCGCGGCGTTTATTCCACCGAATTCGGATACCGGAAACGCAGATACTCCATTTCCTCGATAGGTTTTGAGTGAAACCTCGATGACGAGTCTTTAGATGCTCATCCATCGATATCGTCACTGCCTCCTTTTCGCTTGTCATACTAGCAAATGAATGCGATCTGCTGGTTGGTTTCGTGTTTCCCCCTGGTGTGTACAAACCGCTGTGATGAACAACGATATAAACTACACTATGTCACCCGACTTCCTTTTTGGTGGAGCTTACTGGCCAGTGAAGTACGAACTGTTGCTATCGAGACGTAGGCTTCGTATCACGTACAAGCCAATAGTCTAATCAGAACTTTAATCAGTGCTTTTGTTGGACTCAGTGCGTTTGTTGCTGCTATAAAGTGGAGTTGAATGACCGCCAAGCACAGGGTTGTATGGGATGACCACTATCGGTAGCTCTCCCATCGTGGCCGCTCAGACAAACTTCAAGTCGTGGGATGCATCGTCTAGCAGTGGAGGCCTTTTATCTACAACGAGTACGTAAAAGTGAGAATCTCGTACGTGAAGACTTTAGTAGTTATGATGATGACCAATCGATGCATTGATCTTGTTCGTGACTTAATGGTGCTTTTGCCAATGTATCAATGACTCACCCTGTCGACATTCCGTCGTCAGAACCTTGCGACTATTTTGTCGTGATCGAGGCAAGCCCATGGCTCATCCAGCAATGTCTGTACACGTTGCTTCTATTTAATGAAGTGGAAGACAAACTCGTTACCCAAAATGCATGAGACCTAACGAAGTGGAAATACAAACCTTGGCCTTTTAATTAGTCTAGCTGCCATACTACTTGGCGTAAATGATGGCGCTCTGACGTAAAGTACGCAAGCATCTTTGTCTCTTACCGATCGACTCAGGCTTGTAGATGGCGTTATCTTAGGTTGCAGGGTACACAACTTGATCATAACATGACAGGACTGTTTTATCAATACTTTGTGAACGAAGCGGTAAACTGACTGACAATTGACAGGAGCAGTCAATCAATCAGCAGCTTCTATCCCGCGTTTTAAACAAGCTTCAGCAAAGAAATGTAATTTGACATTTCAGTGTTTCACTTGCTTGAAATGGCTCGAGGTTTTCCCGACGCATGGGGCGCCTTAGCTATCTACTGCGTGGCAATAACCTAGGTGCATTCTCCTGCAACTCACATGGTTTGCTCAATTACGTGAAAACCAGCCAAAAAACAAAGCTTTTTCCACACATGTATAGGTCTGGGTAACTTCCAGGCCATACCATAATCCAGTCCTTGTCGTTGCTTGGCATGAGCTTGAAGTACTGCGTGGATGATAGTCGCCACCAGACAGCATCGTTTCAAACATTCCCTGCCTCCACTTCTAAATTAGCCCACTACAAGAACTGATTTTGACAAAGTAGTACTCCTCAACTTAGTAACTGTTCCTGCCTAAAACTAGCATTTTAGAATGGTCGGGTCCAGAATGAGAGACACAATAGGAGATGGACGACTAAAATACAGCGACCATCACTCCAAGTTGAAGTTGCTTGATCCCAGAAAATGCGACAAGAGGTGGTACAGTCGGTATTTTGACCAGTAAGGACACTCACTCACGTGGACTCCGTGGCTCACTACTACAACGTCCATGTATCGCGCACTGGTGATTGGTTACTATAACGTAAATTAGAGTCTGCCAGATGCAGCTCTGTCAGTTCGCTTTTTCCACAGATTCTCACTGCAGAATTGTGGTACATCGTCGTCTGTAAGCCATCAAATAAATATACGTACACATCTATGAGTCCATAGAGTCATGAGGGACCCGCGCCATCATGCGTAAAGCGCTTAGGAACAAGGATTGTAATCAATCGGGATAGGACGACATGCGACTGCGGCCAACGCTTGGGCCCATACACCTTCCCGGCGACGATCATCATCAAGTCAAAAGGCATGTCGAACGACAAGGCGCTTCGAGTTGTACCCTCTCTCAGACTTTCAAATGACGACCTGCACTTTCGTGGCCATAAGCTGCTGGGTCTTTGAGTGTGTAACTGGCTTCGTCCTATCATCTATGGACAGAGCTTTCTCCCGGAATGACTCATCCGACCATGCGACTTCCAATCGTTCCAGGGAGAGACAGCTTTCGCCTCACTTTATAATAGCGATCAACCCCTCAAGTCGTTCATTTTTTTCCAAACGAACGAGTCGACGCACACGTATCATGGAGTCTTACCTCAAAACGCCTCAAGTAACCTTCACACATGGACGCCTTGACGTAACCTTCACACACGTACAAACGGAGCTGGCAAATGTTGAAGACACTCGCTCACTGAACTGGAGTGGTACACTGCAAAGGCCGTTCCGTGGCAGGTCACGGATTTGCAAGTCTCGCCACGCCATACTGGAACCAAGTCAACTGGTCGTTTTGATGCGGTGAGCTCGTGACTACACAGTCTCACGAGGCGTCATCATGATCAGCACATCCGACATCGGTCATCCGATGTGCTTGAAGCTCCGTACCGCCGCTCTTTCCCGCAGCCAAGGCAGACGGACGGGTTTTGGCCCCCATCTCCGATGATCTGGGCCAGATGTGGCCATGACTCACAACAAAACGACGGTAGCAGCGGTCGTGGATGTCACAGTGAAGCTGCAGAAACGGGAGCGTCGACCACAGAAACGCGAGTCGAAAAAAGCGTCTCAGCCATCAGCCAAGGAGACCGAAGGCGGACCAAGGGGCAAGATGTTTGTGACTCAACGACACGAGCAATGAGGAAAAATCGTTCAGCAGGTAGGTAGGTAGTTACACTGTGGCCGTAAACAACGTGGGATGTACCGTGGGCTCCAACATGCTTTTCCTACAGAACAATACAGGCCAGAGAGCTAGCAGTCGAAGGCTAGTGGATCAACCTCGTTCAAGTGGCCTCGGACCTCTATGGATAGCCTGCTGCCGCCCACGTCACTTCCAGTTGACTGGCGTGACTGCTGCATAGAAATTCCAAGTCAAGGACGGCAGACGGTCGCCCAGCTGGTTCAACGATGTCAGCACTGTAGTACCACCTGGCTTTACGCTGTCGTGTTTGTGGCCCACGAGTACTCGAGTCCGGCGTGTCGACAAAAGGGACGAAGTATCCATCGCCCGGTATCATTTATCGTCCGCATACCTCGTGTCCGACGTGATAAAGACTTGACTCGATAGCGGCGCTCGTAATGCCATGCAAAAAAGCAGCTAGCGGAGACCATCATCAGTCAGTCCTGGTGCGGTCCTCTTTTCCCATGACGCTGCAAACAGAGGTGATTGCAGTCTATACCAGGCGTTATCTGGTCTCGCGCACGGCATCGAACCAGCAGGTCGACGTATAGCACAACAGTGTCGATCGTCCGCAGACGTTGCAGCACGATCGAGCTCCTGGACACCCCGCTGCCTCCATACCAGCGACCACAGAGGTGGGTGGTTGGTTGGTTCACCATCGATGTGAAGCCAAGTAAGTCATCCACTGATCAACCCCACTGAGCCACACGTCGCTTCGCTACTCAACCAGCTCTCCGTCTTCCACCTTTTCCACGGACATCGTCCCGGTAACTCACATCCAGGACACTATAGAGCAACAGTAAGAAGAGGGCGAGAACTGCAATCGTGAGACGTTTCGAGTGTTAACGAGCTTTTCGACCGCGTAGAAAGGCCACTCCACTGTGATGGTGTCGCGGACGAGAGACAGACGCTCGACCGTCCGTCTTTTCTGCAGGTAGGGGCAGCGAGGTAGGGGGAGCAACACGCTGTCCCGTCTCTCGTCCCGTCTTGCTCTCTTTTGAGCCTCTCTACGCCCACCCCGACGCTTCGCGCCTCAGTCACGCAGTCACGCTGTCAGTCATCAGTCATCAATCAGTCAGTCATCAATCAGTCAGTCAGGCAGTGCGTCAGTCAGGCGTCGGCAAACGGCCATTAGTAGGACAAAGACAAGTCCTTGTAGCATCCTTTTCTCCGTGTCGCCTCCTGAACAATGAACTTGTGCGGCCTCGCAGCTACAGTCACGTCTTGTGTGGGCGGCAAAGAGGAGAAATTTGCCGTCCAAGTGCGGCCAGCCGCACCAGCTCGTGTCTACTTTGTCTACAAGACCATTGGCGAGTTTCACGCGCTGTGGGGAGCTCTTGAATCCCTCGCTCGCTCGGTTCAGCAGCGTCAGTCGTTGTTGAGCAAGGAGAAGAAGCTGCTGCTGCTGGACACGAAGCAGCCCAGTGGGCTGGCCAAGTGGCTCGCTCGTGTCGTTGAGCGCTATGCGTTCCGAGAGATCCTGAAAGACGTGCGGGCCCAGGAGAAAGACACGAGGAGGACACTAAATGTCCTGCTCCAGTTCCTTGTGGCGCAAGTCTCGGGCTCTTTTCGGGACTGGCACATGTCGCAGAGTCGGTCGTGTCCAATTGGCCAAGAGCTCGTGCACCTCGTGCGCACGTTTTTGTTACAGCCAGTCCCTGCTGGCCAGTCAAAGCGTGCGACATGTGTCGCTTCGGAGCGCTCGAGCATGGAGAAAAGAGGCTGGAAAAAGCGCTCGTTTGACGAGATGCGGCCGGAAGACGGCGAGGACCAGCGTCGGAGTCTCTTTCCTTCACGCAATGGACACGACACGAAGACGCCCCAGGTCTGTGGATTGAGTGAGTGGATCGTGCCAAATGGAGGCAAGAAGGGCTTGGTGGCTCCAGTGACGTCGCGACGTCGCGTGTTTGCTGAAGTGGAGTTTTGACCGTTGCAGGAGCGAGCGAGAGAGAGAGATGGAGAGACGGGTTATTATTATTTATCATTGCTGTACGAGAGAGCTGCTCGTAGGTCACGACGTATTTAAGCTATTGTGAGTTCCTGCAAATGTGCCGTGGGTGTGTGTTTTCGTCTGTGGAGGTCGTGGCTAGAGGCTGCTAGTGCTGAGTGCAATGAGGACTATCATACGAGTTGTCGCTGTTGCGGTCAAAGGGTTGTTGGATGGAATGCATGGCAGTAGTTGTCCTCTTGGATAAGTCGTTCGAACAGCTGCGAAGGTTGCCTGAGGCCTGAATTCTCGACTCGCAAGGCACTTCAACTCTCTGTGCGCTTGTTGGTCTCTACATCATGCACGATATTGCCCACGAATGGTTAAGGCTGGTGACAACGAAGCAATCGCCATCGATCAGCTGCTATCAATGCTAAGTCGGTGTTTGAGTCGTGACGGCAAATCCATTGCCGTTTGACCGGTGACACGCATCAACTGGATCGGTCTTGAGGTTCCTCCTCAGTCTCGAGCGCTGATATTCAAGTTACATCCTCTCTTGCAGTAAGCAGCTAGCGTCTCCCTTTTCAAATGCCATACCGACGCAAGCTATCCGCCACTTCTTGCCCCGTGCACCTGCCCCACTACTTCTGTTGCCATCCTGCTCTCTCTCACCCGAGACAACTCGTGCGGCCAAGCGCTGTTTTCATCCTGCACTACTCTGTCCATCTTCGCACAAGTCACCGCACGTATACTACCTCGCTCGGTTGGTGATCAGGTGATGACAACCCATTCACCGCGCTCTTCGGCCACCCCCTTTTCTCTCCTCGACCACCCCAGGTACCACGCCTGTAGCCCAAGCAGTCCTTTGCTACAACACTGCATGAAGGCTTGCCGCAGCACCAATGTCTCTCAGCTGGACACGTGATCGTTACAACCACAAACGAGAGAGACCTCGACACCCGCTTCACCCGAGTTTTGCTCCACCTTCACCCACTTCTGCCCTTGCCTTCGCAACTGCTTCACCCGCTTCTCTCCTCACCTCCTTCCTACTCCCATCCTTCTTCTTCACCTCCACCTCCATCGCTTCTCTCCTCACCGCCACATCTGCTCGATCCAACGCCCATCCTTCCTCTTCACCAGCATCTACTAACTTCCTCACCTACACATCAGCTGCCTCCTTCTCCCAGCTAATTGCTGCGCTTCAACCTCGCCACTTCGCTCGACATCGTTCCATACCGCTTCGTCTATGCCATCCTTTTCCACCCCCACCTCCTTTTCCACCCCCACCTACTTCCCCCTCCTCTCCTCCTACTTCCCCCTCCCCTCCACCCAATCTTTCCTCATCTCTACACATACCCCCATCACCACCCTCGTCCATCCTTCCACCCTCACCACTCCCTCTCTCCTTCTGTCTTCTACCCACAACATCGCCCACATCCAGCTGCCGCTTACTTGCAGTACAAGTTACGGTCAATGACCGGCGGGATCGGTCGAATCTCCGTGCCGAGCTCTTGCTCGATCCGGTACAAGTTGAATCGGTCTTCGTACGTAATCATATTGATCGCCAGTCCAAGGTGGCCGAATCGACCGGAGCGGCCAATCCGATGCAAGTACGTCTCCGAGTTCTTGGGAAAGTCAAAGTTAATCACGACGTTCACCGTCTGAATATCAATCCCGCGCGTAAACAAGTCCGAGCAGACCAAGTGCCGCGTCGCGCCATTGCGGAACTCGTGGAACACGCGATTCCGATGTGCTTGGTGCATCTTGGCATGGATGTAAAAGCACGAGAACCCGAGCTCCGTGACTTTCTTCGCGAGCAGCTCGACGCGGTTCACCGAGTTGCAAAAGATGATCGACTGGTTAAGCTCGAGCTTCGAGAAGAGCGTGTTGAGGCAATGCACCTTCTGTCGCTCGTCGACAAAGGCGTAAAACTGCGACACGCCTTTCAGCGTCAGTTCGTCCATGAGGTTGATCTCGTACGGGTTCGTCACGAACCGGTCTTGAAACGCCTTCACCGTCACGGGGAACGTCGCCGAGAAGAGACAGAGCTGGCGGTCCGCGGCCGTGTGCTGCAGCAGCTGCTCCAGCAGCGGCTGGAACTCGGGCGAGAGCAGCTTGTCGGCTTCGTCCATGATCACGGTCCCGCACTGCCGCAAGTCCGCGACGCCTTTGGTCGCGAGGTCCATGACCCGTCCCGGGGTCCCCACGAGGATGTGCACCGTCTGGTAGAGCCGCATGATGTCGTCCTTGAGGCTCGTGCCGCCCGTGGAGACCATGCACTCGACGCTCATGTGTTTCCCGAGCTCTTTGACGATCGCCGACGTCTGGAGCGCCAACTCGCGCGTCGGGACGAGGATCAGCACTTGGATGTGCGGGACGCGGGCGTCAGTCTTCTCGAGGCACGGGATGACAAAGGCCGCGGTCTTGCCGGTCCCGTTCTTGGCCCGGGCCAAGACGTTCCGTCCCGCGAGGATGATCGGGACCGCTTCTTCCTGGATGGGCGACGGGCGCTCAAACCCTTTTTCAAAGATGCCCATGAGGAGCTCGCGCTGGAGAAAGTAGTCTTCGAACTCGTTGCCCTTGACGTTCGTCACGTCTTCGGTCTGCACGCGCGTGTCGCGGTCGGGACGCTTGAGGGACTGCTTCCAGTGGTCGTGCGGAGGACGGGACGGCGGGGCCATGATGCGTAAAGTGGGCAAGTGCTCGTTTGTTTAAATGATTCGGGCGTTTGTTTGTTTGTTTGTTTGGTTGGTGTGTTTGTTTGTTTGTTTGTTTGTTTGTTTGAGTGGTGTGTTTGTTTGTTCGTTTGTCGCTTCTACCCCCTTTTGCAAAAGAAGGGGACGGTTGACGGACGGAGCGAGTGGGGATTGAATAGAGCGCTTTGTTTTCGTTTAACGGTCTCTAAGCATGCTCTGGTGAGGTGAAAGTAGGACGGCTGCGGGCGGGACAGGAGTGTCGAGCCAGCATGGAGATCGATGGATCGCTTCTTCATCCCTCGCTCGCTGCTTGGCTTCTTCGCATTGAGCTCGTCCTGAACTCGACGCGGTTGTTGCTACTTATCGCGAGGTGAACTGCGAGACGGAGCCAGGTGGCGCGCTCTAGTTGAGATGACACGCCCAGTAGCCATTTCGAGCATCCTTGACGCGGCAATCTTATCCCACAAGCAGCAGGCAAGTGCAACGGTTCAGAAGCAGCCACTTCTTTAGCTAGTTAACGATACGGTAACGTCGCGACTGACTAGTCGGCTCGATCCGATAAAATAGCGCGATATCGTTGCCGTTACAGCAGCGCCGCGCACTTTATCGAAAAAGCACTCTATTCGCTATTTAAGTGTGGACGGCAGAAATGTCCCAACCGTTACCGAATTTCTCGCGTCGCAAGTGACGAATAGATAACTTACTGAGCTTTTGCAAGTTGAAGTGACCACCACCCATTCAGAAAGTATCCAATGTAATGTATCGATTCAGCAGCAACCAAGTCAATGAACGGATGCGCTTTAGCTACAGCCACAACTCCTCCATGCTGTAGTCCGGAAGGCCTGGAGCCCGCGGTAGTCGCACACCAGACAAAAAGTTGCTCAGCACGCCGTGTACAGATTCATAGTGAGCGTTCGTGCGAATGAGCAGCTGCACGAGAGCATCCAATTGGTGCAGTGTCCGAGAGATCGCAATGTTCCGAGAGGCGCGATGGACCAAAGCCGATAGATGCGCGTCCAGCAGCGCGCAGATCCACACACAACAGCGCGAGGCGGATGGCAGCGGCGTAAAGCACTGCTCCTCTGTCGTCCTCAATGCGAGCGCAAGGTCAGCACTTTTCCGGCCGGTTTTCGACTTTCTAGTTCTTGTCTTGACCGACACGTCGTCGTCAGCATCGGCTCCAGTAGTGTGCACAAGCAGCAGCTTCTTGCAGATAGCAAGCACGAGCAGGACCTCTTCGAGCTTCAATTCACGAATTGCACGGTGCAAAAACACACTATTCGTCGGCAGACCCAAAAGTGCTACTGTGAATCGCTCACAGACTGCAGTTGCATCGATCCTGCCAGCAGCTTGTTTGTGCTGACTCTGGACTTGCTGTTCTACGAACTCGATGAAGGATAAATCGCTGCTCTTGCGGATACAATACATCAACAGACGCACAATTGAGCGCTCGTCGATATCGATCAGGTGCACAATAGCACACTCAAGCAGCGCAAACTGGTTGTACTTCATCAAGATTGGGAGCAGCGTTGGCTCAGTACGCGCTGACAACCGTCCAGTGAGCAGCATTTTCTTAAGAGGGGCCCACAGACCCAGCTCTGGCGATTCCAAGCAGCGCCGCGTCACAGCTTGCAACAGTCGGAACGATAGCTCTTCTTGCTCTTCCTTGCCAGGCTTTTGCTCGCTCTTCTGCTTCTCTAGTGCCTTGTCGAGACGCTCGATGAATGCAGCAGCTGAAGATGCAACTTGAGGATCCGATAGATCCGCAATCAGCTGACGCTCACGGTCATCATCACTACACATTTTCGACTGCCACGACTCAACCACTAGCGTGTCGCTGCTCATACTGCTCGACGCTATGGATTCCCATTGCACGCAGCTGTCAGGTAATGCAGACGATGCTAGAGTATCGAGAGTCACCACACCGCTGGACGCCGTGGCTCCCAGAACGCTGGCCAATGTCGACTTTTTGTTCCTCACGTGGATGAGGAACACGCCCCGCTCATAAATGACAAACAGAACGTCGCCTGAACCCACATTCACAATCTGCACTGGACGACCGACTCCGTCTTTACTGCTACGCCCAATGACGATACCGCTCTCGCTGTCTTTTTCCGCCGTCAAGTTGAGCTCTGATTTCGACACGGGAACAGCAAACTTGGAATCCCAAGCTGTGAGCTGCGACGGAGCGTCCAACGATAGACTTACCAAGTACGTGACGTGCCCAATACCACTCACCAAGTAGCCCGACTCCGTTCTATTAGCTGCCTGTAATTTGCGTTTCTTATGCACCGGAACGTTTGCATCACCTTCAGCTGACGTCAAGCTGGGCATCCGCTGACAAGCAACAAGCGTCACATTGCTCGTCACTGCATCACGTGAAAAGCGCAGCGTCTGCCAGGAGCCTGATCGGCCAATGAGTGAGTACGAGAACGTCTCAGGGTGAAACGCGCACGATGACAGTTCTTCATCGTCCGGCAGACGGACACGATGACGTACGCGCAGCACGACTGACAGCACGCCACCCATACGCCTGGTGACAGTAGGGCACGTAATTTGATACACCATGAGCTCCAATTGCTTGTTACCCTCCTGTGTCAACTTCTGCACAAGGATCGACAAGAAGAGTCCACCCTTCGAAGAGCTGCGGCTGTCTGTCTCCACGTAAGCCCACACCACTCGTGCTTCGTCTTCTTCAATTTTCCGAGCATCTTCAACAGCATCCTCGTCCCCTCCATCCATATCAATTCCCTCTACTTCCTCCTCTTCTTCTGCCACGGTTGCATCCTTTGCATCATCACTGTGCACTCCTCGATTCAATTCCTCATCGTACGTTGCAAACGAGCCGTCCTGAAACACCACAACCACTTCTTCTTTCAGTTTCAAGTGTGCCAGCACAGCAAAAGCCTTGGCACTTGACTGCAACGGCGTACGTCGCCACGCCGCTACGTCCGTGTCCACGTCGCGCCAGACCGTCAAGCCTTCGTTTGCTGGCAGCGCAGTCGTCTTGTTGACCTCTTGACGTCTCACTTGACGCGCTTTCTTGCTCGCACTCACGCCAGGCGCACCACAAACGCCAAAGAACAAGCGCGAGTGCGGATGACGCACAGCTGTCACCCGCAAGGCGTAAAGGCTCCCGGCTCGGAAGGTCCAGTGGTTCGTACACTTGCGCGTGGGGGCGCAGATCTCACGCACGTCTTCGGTGGACGTCAGCAGGACAAGACGATTGCCGTCCTTGGACATGCAACTGGAGGCGCCCAGGAGCGCGGCATCGACAGCGCGGCCACGCCAAAGCGAGATGCTCTGGTCGAGCTCCATTAGTGCCGTCTGCGAGGATGGTGGGACGATTGGTTGGTCACGAGCGGTTGTGGGTTTTTAGCCAATGAGATGGGAAGCTGGGGCTCGAGGGTTCAGATGGATGTAGCCATTTGTGGCACGTACTCACGGAGAGGCTAAAAAGGGGTCGTCGTTGGATTGTCGAAGGTGTAGGTCACTTCTTAGATTGTGGGAACTCGAGCTAGTTTTGGTATCGACGGTATACAGGCTGCAGTTTATTAGGATGAGTTAAGCTGATCCGAGTGCGATAAGCGATTTTCACCTTCTCGATAAACTGCTTATGACGAATATGACGTGATGACAAGACACGATACTGCATCACCGTCCTACTATCGACGCGGGAATAGCGAGGACTACGAAGAATAGACGGCAAGTCTAAACGGTATCGCTCAATGGCGGCCAAGATTGACTAGGAGACGGAAGTGGAGAGAGACAGACGTAAGTGGAGAGGGCCAAGGTTTAAATGTACCAGCAAACAACCGAGACGCAAGGCCTGGACATCGCGATTGCAGCAGCTAATCCATCAAAAGTAGCCGTTAATTATATCCGGTGACTGGCTGCGAAACTAGACATGGAAGTTGTAAATTGCACTCGTTGTCTGATCTCAAGTACGTATCGAAGAGCGGCTTTGTATTTCCAGGTCAGTAGTCTCTTTGCTTTAAGAATCCAGTGGCACGGCTTTCAATCGCTGCAGCACATTCACGGCAGCTTTTAACTCGCAGATATGTCGAGTGCAAAAGCACTGTATCGACATCAATGCTGAGACCGCATCTTCAACCAGAAAAAAAGATACAAGCCGTGCGTGCGCATGCACGATACTTCTCGACACGTGTCTCGGCCCACTCGACCGCAAATCGATCGTGATATCAAGCCACGATGGAGCCATTATTGGGTGCTACCACTGTGGAGGATCCTATGGAGCTAACTCGAACAAAGCTCAAGGAAAATAAAGGATCGGCCCGATAGTGGCTGGAGAGAGCCAACTATTTCGTACAATATTTTTGACAAGTACATTCGGTACACTCAAAAGTACACATTGACCCTCCCCCCCCTTCATTTAGCAACACATTCCAAAGCCAAGTGCGGTGCAGAATGATCTCGAAACGTTCCACGTGAGGTTTTTCCCGTACGTGCAACATAAGAACCGTGTCATCGAGTGCTACCGTTGCTCAGAAGGTGCTCGCGCAACTTGACACCGCTGCCGCGTTTCTAAACGAGAGAGAAATCCCGATCGAACAACAGACCGGCGCAGTATCGAGCAAGTGTCGAGCCAGCCACTACCGTGACCGTCCCAGCCGTCGCTCCTCTTCGAGGCCACGAACCCACGCGTTGGCCCCCAACCGTCCGCGATCCCCAGCCGTGCTTTGGCTTGCAGCGGCGATCTCTGGTGAGAACGCTATAGAAACGATCGAGATATCCAGATATTATCTTTGCTGCAACGGGATAAAACGAGAGAGAGAGAGACGACTTGAGTGCGTGACATTGCTGCTGAGAGGTGATTATCACTATTGAGAGAGCGAGGTACGCCAACGTTGGGTAGGTTACGTTTCCACTTTCTTTCCATCGGCGCTACTGACCACATCCCTCGTGACTCTATTCCATCATGTGTCCCACTATTTCTATCCATGTCCATCTATTTCTATCCACGTTGATCTGTTTCTATCCATCTCGCCATTCGTACACCCATCCCACTCGCCATCACGATTTCGATTGCAAATTTTCAACAGCTTTCAAGTTTCAAGTCAAGTCTCAAGTCTCAAGTCAAGCCTCAAGTCAAGTCAAGTCAAGTCACGAGTCCAGTCCATCCTGTGACAAGGTGCGTTCGAACTTGCCTCGTTCTACTCGTCACTATTGGAAAACAAATAAACAGCCAGCCGAACACCGACATCACCTCACGCGTGTGTGTCTTATTTGTGTAGTACAACCAGCCAAGCGCCCGGTCTCTCCCTCTTCCTGGCTCTATTTTGAGACCCATCAAAAACATGTCGAGCCATTCCGACTCGAGTCATCCCAACGGGACCCCGCTGCCGCCACCTCCTCCTCTCCCACCCTTTGCCAGCGACAGCTTCTTGGCTGCGACGGACTCGCTCCCGTACAATCGCAGCTCTGGTCGCTCTTCCGCTGACCGCTCGGACGCAATGGACGTGATGGCGCAACTGGCCTCGCAGTACTATACGCCCAGTCGCAATCGCTCGTTCTCGGCGCCGATCCAGCCGTCGGCACTGGGATCGGCCTGGGATTCGTTCGCTGACGACTCGTCCGTGTCCGCTGCAGCTGCTGCTTTGCACCACCATCAACATCAGATGGTGGCTCTGGATCGACGACCTTGTCAGCCTCCGCTTCCTCAAGGTCCACCGCCGCCGGTGCTCCACATTCGGGTACCGTCTCTTCCATCAGGTGACGAGATGGCAATCGGAGCAATTGATCGAGCCGTGCAGTCGCTGCACTTGTCCTGTGAAGAGACCGATGAAATGAGCCAGCAGCAGCAGCAGATGTTTATTACGTCGAGCCCAGGTGGAACAGGCGCGCCGCTGCCGGCCACGTTCCTCCGCACGATCTGTGACCAATTGGAGTACTACTTTTGTGACGAGAACTTGCTTGGAGATCTCTTTTTGCTGAAGAATATGAACATGGATGGATACGTCAAGCTGGAACTGTTGGCCTCGTTCGGTCGAGTCAAGAAGCTGACGACATGGACGAGATCAAGAAGGCGTTGGAACTTTCGACCAAGCTGTTGCTCAACGAAGACGAAAGCATGGTGTGTCGGAAGGAGCCATTGGCACCGAATCAGACGTACCACGGCAAACTGGCTCGTACAGCCATTGCGTACAATTTGCCGGAAGATGCGTCCGTCGCCTCACTACGCGAGACTTTCCAAGGATGCGGCGAGATTTCGTATTTGCGTCTGCTGAAAAAGAACACGACAACGGGTCGTAACGCTGTACTGAAGCCTCCCATCGCGGCGGGTGAGACGTACGCTATCATCGAATTCGTTGACGACGAGATGACCAAGCACGCAGTGCTGACGCTATCGGATCAGTACAACTGGCGCACGGGCATGCAGGTGGTGCTCTTTGACGGCACAAATTGTGACAAACTGAAGCAGAAAATGTTTCCGGTGGAACTTGGCGGGGACCGTCGTCGTGCGAAATCAGCCTCGGCTGTCACCCGTCCCGTGCACGTGGAATCGGTTGGTGAGGGCCTGGACGACCTTCGTGAAGGCAAGGTGAACACGGGTACTGTGTATTCAATTCGTGGTGCAGGCGGACTCATTACGCCCACACGACAGGATTCGGCCTGTATCTCGTTCCGTCTCATTCCCGATGAGGACGGGAATGTGGACATTCGGCAGGGCGACTACGTGTCGTTCACAGTGGGTAAGAACAAAAAGAGCGGTCGCAAGTATGCGAGCAAGGTCAAGCTCGAGTTTCGTCCACCCGCCAATTTGACGGGTGATGCCGACAACGGCGGTGACTTGAGTGGTTTGGCAGCATTAAGTGGAAGCTCGGCAAGTGGAACTGGGCAGAAGGATTACTTTGCGCCGTCTCCGAGTCGATGGGAGTCGCGCAGTCGCGCAGCGACGATGGGTGCTCCGCAGCAGCCGGCAGCTTTCCGTACCCGTTCGTCATCGTCGGGTACACGATCGAAGCTGAACCTGGCGTCGCCACGGATGGCGCAGTCGCCCGTGCACAACAACAACATTGGGGGCAACGTATTGGTGCCGCCTCCTCCTGGCATGGGGCTGAATGGCAGCACGCAGCTGTACCGCCAGGCTGTTGGGCCGGATGGAACACGAGGCTTTGGCTTTCGCCTGACTGGTGGTGAGCCACCAGAGATGGCACCGGAGTTCAAGTTTCCGGTAACGGAGCGTCGGAGATCACGCTCATCGGGAGGTGCTTGGTAGAGAAGGACGGCACGGATATGGACAGGTGAACAGAGAAGGAAAACGGCCAAGCAAGGCCTTTCATGTTGATACACCACGCTTCTCAGCGTGATATGCTTGAAAATGACCACGAACAGCGAGAAACATACCAAGACCTGAGTGCTCGCAACGATGAAGTGACGAAGCGATTTGACGAACAGGACCATCAGAAAAGAGCATACGAAAGTGCACAGTGGAGTGGAAGAACGATAACGTAGTCAAGAAGAGGGCTCGCGAACATGGATGTATTTGACGCGATACTTGTTCGTTGTCTAGTCGAACTCATTCCTGCCACTGGTAGCTACTGTAGCAGCTATGCATGATGAATGCCAGCCAAACCATGCACCACTTTCAATCTCTAGTTTTTCGTATTGGTTCTCTTGTCATACGTGACAAGCGTGTTAAAAACAGCCATCCAAGCAGCGCTGAAAGGGATGAACAACCGTGTGGACCGTCACGTTTCTTCATACATCCAACTGCTTGCTATGAGCTCCTCAGACACTCACTGCATCGAACATAAGACAGCGCAACGAGTCATTGTCAGCTCAGCGACCTGCATCTCTTGTACTATCGACACATCATTCCTGAGGAGTGTTTATTTCCCATCTGTCGTTCACGAATTGGCCACATCGATAGGGCCGAGGATTTTATAGTCACCAATCTGCACTTCCTTGCCACTATCAGCATAGTCACCTTGGAACCGCGCCTGACGAAACGCGCGCCAACTCAATGGACGATAACGAGGTTCGTCCTCACCTTCTTTTCCCACAAGAGGCTGCACCTGAGTCTTGTACGATGGATTGTAGAAAAACGGCGCGGAGAACCGATCAGTGCAGCCATTAGCCAGGACGCGGTGCAACGGCGCGACAAACACGTCGTTCGACCACACCTGCATCATGTCACCGACGTTCACAACGAACGTGCCTTCTCGAGGTGGAACGAGCGTCCACGTTTTGGACTCCCGGTGCAACACCTGCAACGACGCCACCTCGTCATCCTGCAGTAGAATCGTCAAAGCTCCAGCATCTGTATGGTGATGCACGCCCATTGTCTTGTCTGGCATGGGAGCAACCGGGTAGTGGTTCAACCGCAAGAAACTCGAGTTGTCCTCGTTAAAAAAAGGATCAAACACCGTTGGCTCTTGCCCCAAAGCAGCAGCACACACTTTCACCAGTCGACGTGACAGACGTTCCATCTTGCAGTAATACTCGAGAATCCCTGGACTAAAGCCAGGCAAAAGCACTTCCAGAGGCCATTGATTCTCATCTTCGCCCATCCGTTCGTGCTTTGGATGCTTTGTCGGGCCATCTTCTTGAATCCCAGACACGTCGAAACACTCTTTCCAATCAGTCTTGTTTTTAGTTAATTCGTTGTCGAAATAGCCTCTGGAATTTAATACACCACGCGCGACACGCCGTTTCACATCCAATGACAGACGAAAGAACGACCGCATCTGGTTTTGAAATGTCGCCAGCTCGTGTTTTGATAAACCGTGATTTGTAATGTACCAGAAACCCCAGTCGGTAGCAGCAGCCCGGATTTCGGAAATAGTCGCGTGCAAGCCGCTCGCCCGAGCGTCACGCACTGCCTCGTCTACGTGGGCGTCGGTCGGCAATGCCATGAGTGCACTGACGTCCACGACGGGCACGTGACGCACGTCCATGTCCGTATCTCGATCGCAGCAAAGGGCGGCGGCCTCGTGGCCGTCGTTTCGCTTAAATTGGGCACTTTCGCCAGCTGTAGACTGTCCCAAAATACCCGCCGTCTCTCGGACGAAGAATACTATGCCAAAAGAGAGGGATCGTACAGTCTATGGTCATTTTGTGGGGATCATTTTTGACCTCCCGAATTGGGTCTTTTCGAATCTAAAAAAAGGGTCATTTGCAATCGCAGTTAGAAATGGCGACCCGGAGCTCCTCCCACAGCGCGAAAAAGTGGCTGACGTCGCTGTTCAAAGAGGCGACGGCAGCGACGCACGCGCCGTCGTCCAAGTCCAAGTCCGTGGCGAAAGAGCGTCTGCAGATCATCCTCGCGCACCAACGGGGCAGCCAAGTGCTGGCGGGCGTGGACTTGGCAGCGCTGCAGCAGGAGCTCCTTGCGTGTGTCCAGCGCCACATTAGAGTCGCGACGGGCGCGAATATCAACATTGCAGGTGGGGCATCTGGTCTAGAATTTAGGATTTAGAACAATGTGATGGAAAATTTGGGTTGTGAAGCGGTGGAAGTTGACTTTTTTGTGGGTTTTCTGGTTTTTGGTTTTCACAATTGGACAGTGAAGCACGAAGGCCAGTTGGATATTTTTGAAATGCAAGTGCCTGTGGACGGCGACCACGCTATGGAGGCAAACAAACAAGTCCAGTAGGAACGGACATAGTGCGGAGATGGACAATAATGGAGACTGGAACATGAACGTGGTGGTTCGAATGACGTACACTAGTAGGACTACAGACGTTGCCGTCTCAATACGGATAATAGTCATCAAATGGCAGCACTTCCAGGTGACTCACGCTGTCGAAGATCCACGTGATACGCACAATCGGGATCTGGAACTGCTCCCACTTGGCCGTGGCTTCCGATGGCAAAGTGGTTTTGGACACGACACCAACAGGAGTGCGCCGTGAGCGCTGCTTGCTATTGGCCTTGACCTTGATAAAGCTCTCGGCCCGCACGACAGTGCCGCCAAAGTTGTTGACCAAAGCTTTCACCGAGTTGAACTGGAAGTCAAACTCCGATTCCGACACGAGCAGCACGAAGCTGAGCATGCTGAATATGCTGTTGCGTCGTCCAGTCCGCACGCGACGGAGACGCCCTTCGTGCGGTTTCCCAATAGCATCGCTGTAGATGTCACCAACCATCTCAAATGGTTCTTCAGTTAGCCATCGGCCTGCAGACAAACTGGCTGTGATCCACGAAAAGTCCATCACGAAACTCCCTTCAGCCAATCCGCGCATGTACTTGGCCGTGCGCTTGCATCGCAACTCGTCCGGTTCGGCACCGCTGATGGCGCCGATAGGTGGCACTGCCTTGGTGATCAAATGCGTCACAGATGTGCAAAAGTGGCTTGTAACAGGGTCACGCTTGAGGTCAAAGTCGTGCCCAAACTTGCCTCCTAGCTGCTGCGTTGCTTCGAGTACACGCTTCACTTCTTCACGGGTAAGGTCCGAGCTTACAAAGACGAAACCAGAGTTGCCCACTGAAGTCTTGGTAGGACCATTCGAAGTGTGAACCGTAGGTTTGCACGAGCTAGCAGCGGCAATTGGTCTTGCTAGGTCGCCTTCTCTTTGAGCTGTATCTGCGCCATTGAGAGTCCTTGTTACTGAAGCAGAGCATGCGGGTCGCTTCGTTGCTTGAGAGGCGAGATTGCCACGATGATACTTGTCCTCCACCTGGAAAAGAGCAGTACCGGTGCGGAAGTCGCCACGAGGGCGTTTATCCGTTTGCGGAGGCAAACCTGGATGTTTGCAACGCTGATCAGCCCTAGAGCTGCTGTGCTCGGGTGTTGATGGTATGGGTACTGATGGCTTCATCTCATACTCGTCTTCACCGTCAGCGTCCTTGTAGTCTGCATTTGTAGCTGGCCGACGATCACGAACCTCGTCTTTATTGTCCGTGTCCAAACCCTTCGAAGACGGATCGATAGTCGATACAAAGCGGTGGCATGTCGGCTGCTTGTTCTCCGACACGGGCATGCGTAGTCGTTTACGTGACGGCGAGGAAATTCGACCTCGGGCGTGCAATAAGGGTGGCGGAGGTATGGACGGAACCCCTTGACTTGCTGACCGTCGATCCTTCTCACTCTCGTCATTATGAGTGTACTTCCGCCGTTGGAACGCAGCAAGTAGATCGGGTGACTCGAACACACTCATCGAAGATGGCACTTGCGTCATCTGCGTCAACGTGTCGCTGTCGTCAAAGAAATTGCAATATTGCGATTCTCTCCGTCGCTCCTTCAGCAATTCATCAAAGCCGTTGCTACTCTGCAACGACCGTTTCAAGTCCAAGAGCGACGACATGCCATCACTCTTTCCCGCTCGACTTTTCTCCCACTGACTCAAGGCCTCCCGTTGCTTAGCAATGCGATCCATATAACTCTCCACCTCTTGCGTCGCCATCAAGCACGGAGTACTCGTCCTAGAACTCGAGCCTTCCCATCCCGTCTCTCCGTCGTCATCATCTTCCCCATCATCGATCACTGTCTCCACGTCAACACTCTCCACTGCAGACACTTCATCCAACGACCTGATCGACTGCTTCTTGTCACGCTTTCTGCTGCCACTGCGTCGATAGCCGCTGCCCTCTCCGCTCAACTCTCGTCCTCGAACACTTGAACTACTTCCTTTATAATCCTCCGGCAAGTCACTGCTGCTAGTTTTCTTCCACTGACTCGTACTTTCCAGCTGTCTCGAGCCTGGATGTTGCTGTGGCATGTACCGCTGTTCCAACTTGAGCTCCTGTCGAATCTCCTGCGTGTCAATGTCCCACTTGTGATTGGCCACGCGGCCTCGCGTCGCCTGTGTAGCTTCCACTTGCTGCCTCGCTTCAGTACCTGGTAGTAGCGGTGTTGCACTGGTGCCATTATTGAGAGCGCGATGCAGCGCTTCGTCCGTGTCTTTGACCGTATAACTAGCAGCGTGCAGCGTCTTGTCTCCATTCAAAGCCGCGAGCTCCTTCTCCACGTGTGTCCACGCCGTCAAAAGGCTCTCCAAGAACTGGTTCCGCGTGACTTCACTGGGTCGGGTCGGCAGGTGGCAATGCGGACAGTACGAGTGGTTGCGCTTGAGATGCAACAGAATGCACGGGCGACAGAAATTGTGCTTACAGTCGAGGCACTGCGGGTCTTGGAACATCTGGTCACTACAGTTCAAGAGCACTCGAAGGTGGTGTTAGTAGACGGCAACTGGAGAGAAGCGAGAGCACAGGGGGCTGCGTGCGGTACCAGAGCGTACAGCGGAGCTGCTCGCGGATGAGACGAAGCGCTTCGAGACGCGACGGCGACAGCAGAGCCATGGACGACGTGGGGGTGCGAAATGTAGAAACGCCATTGGAGGCGACACACAGATGGCGAGCAGTTTTGAAAACTCGGTATTTTGTTCGGTTACTTCATCGGAAAAGAGATCGAGTTTTTTTTTCGCACGTAGTAGAGCGCGGTGGCAGACCTTTATTGAACGCACAACGTCTCTGGAAGAAAGTGCTTTATTCGGTGGTCACTACTTTTTCGGTGGTCGATATGCAGTACTGAAGTAGGGTAGCTACTACCAGCTCAACAGCACGTGATCGTTACCCCCGATTCGGATCAAGCTGCTCGTATGTATACGCTGCAGTAGCTGAACATGTTGCAGTCGAACTCTTTCACGCACAAGTCCTACGCGTTCGCGACATCCAAAGGACCGTGGATCCTGAAATCATCAATCTGATTCTCTTTGCCCAGGTCGGTGTAATTACCAGTTGCACGCGCCACGATATACTCGAGAAACCTGAACGGACGATAGTTCGGCACGTCGTCTTCTTGCATCACGATGGGTTCCACCTGCACATTGTATCCTGGGAGGTAAAAGAACGGAGCCGAGAACCGATCGTCCTTCTCGCTCGCGAGCACGCGATGCAACGGTGCCATAAACTGATCGTTCGACCACACTTGCAACAAGTCACCGGTATTAATCGTGTACGTGCCTCGACGAGGTGGTACATTGACCCACGTCCCTGACGCGCGATGCAGTACTTGAAGCGAATCCACTTCGTCATCCTGGAGCAAAATCGTCAGAGCGACTGGGTCTGTGTGGTGGTAGACACCCATTGTCTTGTCGGGCTCTGGAGCTACAGGGTAATGGTTGAGTCGCATGGCACTTGGATGGGTTCGCTCAAAGAACCGGTCAAAAAACGTCGGATCCTTGTCCAATGCAACAGCCACCAGCTTCATCAGGCGACGCGAGATAAAGCCCATCTTCTCATAGTAAGCCTGCATTTCTGCACGAAATCCAGGGAGAACGGTCTCATCAAGCCACTGGTTCTGCTCGGCTCCTACTCGTTCATTGCTGCTACTAGGTGGATCGTCTTCCTGGACTCCAGTAAAGTCAAAACATTCTTTCCAGTCCACCTTGTTCTTCGTGAGCTCCCCCTTCACATACCCCCGGGGGTTGGAAACAGAGCTTGAGATACTCTCTTTAATCTCTGGTGACAAGCGGAAGAACGACCGCATAACGTCTCGGAACTTGTCCATCTCGTCTTCCGATACGCCGTGGTTGGCAATGTAGAAGAATCCCCATTCACTGGCAGCAGCTCGCACGCTTTCTACAATGTGACGGATAGAGGTATTGTTAGCATCACGTAGCACTTTGTTCACTTCCGTGTCGGTGGATAGCGCCATAAGAGGTCCGATATCAATTGCCGGCACTTGATGGACATCCATCGTCAAAGACGTTGAAGGATTAGAGGAAGAAAGAGCGATATCAGAATTGTGACTTGCTATTTCGACTGACTTGTCGTCAGCCTCTCAAATAGACTATGCAGATGCCACGCACGTTCTGACCGGAATAGTGACAGTACCCCCGCATCTGTGTGTATCGTAACCGTCGGTTTTTTAATAGTAGTCGTGGTATTTATAGTAGTCGTGGTGTTCTTACCACGACTAAATTTAGCTCTCCCCATCGCTCTCGACGCCACGCCACACACTCGAAAAGGCCCTTGAGACACTCGACCAGTCCGTCGTGAGTCAACGCCCGAGCTGAGCGCCTCCTCCTTCAACAAGGAACGACACGCGGTAAGAGAACGACGACTTGCCACCAAGTGGAGCCATGTGGCGCAGCGTGGGCGTGTTGCTGTGGAAAAACTGGCGCGTGAAGCAGCGCAATAGCCGCTTGAACCGCGACCGCAATGGCAAGCGCTGGCTCTTTCCAGCGCTCGTCACGGACATTGTGATGCCGTTAGGGCTGCTGCTGCTTATTATTCAGAAGATGTGCATTTACAATACTGAGCTGGCGATGCGACCTGGAGATAGTAGAGGGCCACTTAGTAGTAGTAGTATTTCTAGTACTACTACTGCTGGTACTAGTACTACTCTGAGTAGTAATCCGCTTCTGGACCTTGATGGCCTGTTGGCTTCCATCGATGATGACGCAGACGGGCGACGTCGGATGACGCCATTGGATGAAAAGAAAATGGAACCCACTGACGGAACGCCAACGAGTGACGTGACGTCGGAACCTGCGACATTGCTGCTTGCGGTCTTACCGTTACTTCTGGCGCGAAGTAACCAAAGTCTAGCGTTTTTAGACCGCGGAGACACGGTCGGTTTTCTACGCTACCTCGATCGGTACGATCGGGAACAAACTGTTGTTATGTGTTTATTGTCGTCGTTGTGTTGTATTTATTATTCTTCTTCTTCTATTTTTAGTTCTTTTAGTTCTTACGTGATACCGTCATTCGTGCTTACGACGTACTAATTTGTTTGTATTTGTTATTTATTTTATTGTTGGTTATTCTTTGGAACTCCTCGTTTTTTTACGTATGTAGACAGTACCCTGGTGCAAGTGAGTTGGGGATTGCGAGTTACATGGATGTGAGCCACGTCGTGCCATTCAATTCGACCATGTCGAATGATGAAGCCACGGAAGTGCTGCTCGAGTATCCGAAAAGCAGTGGCGTGGCCATTTACGCGGGTCTGGATGTGCGGAAAGTGACGGCACGCGAGGAAGTAGAAGAGTCGGATACGCTGGAGTTATTGGCTCTGTTTTCTCAGTCACTGCTCAAGAATCCGTCGCAAGGAGAGTCGGAAACGCAAGTGGCCAAGTTTGTTTTCAATGAGTTGACGTTCAACGGCAGCACCATGTCGTTTCCATTCATTCTTCCGTTCCAGATGTCGCTGAACATGCTCATTCGAGAGAGCTCAACGAGCTTTGCCAATAACGAAGTCGTGGATATCAGGGACCTCTCGCCTGACATCCTTTGCCAAACCGTGAATAAGATGCTGAATATGGGTGGTCTTCGATGGGGCGCGTTCCCTGCGTCCTCGCCATTGGGACGCAGTGTTTTAGCATGCAAAATTGCAGTGACTGAAGGAAAGTTATCGGAAGAAATCCAACGTTTTCTGTCGAGCCTCATCGGTAAAGTGGCATCGACTGACGGGTTGGATGTTTTGGCTGTGTCTACCCTGCCGAGCCGCCCTACGGACACGATGTCTGGTGCACTCGAGAGCAACATTGTCTTCTACATGGCGTATTTGTTCATGTGGCCGTACGTGCGTCTGATTTGTGATGTCGTGGGCGAGAAAGAGGGGCAGCTAAAGGAGTATTTGATGATCATGGGGTTGCCAGCGACCGCACTCTTGACGAGCTGGTTTTTGCTGTATATCATGGCCTCAGCGACCGTGGCACTTATTGGGACATGGCTGCTCAGTGGTGTCATGTTTACTGCTACGCTAGCGGGGGAGGTCTACTTCTTCCTACTCCTGATGGCGTTTGTGTCGAGCATTCTGCTTTTCGGTATTGCTATCACACCCCTCTTTAATCAGACGAAGACGGCAGCATCATGTGCGCCACTGGTATTTTTCGTCCTCAGTGCCGGAGCCTTCATTCGCTCATTGGTGGGTCCAGATGCTGTTGCGTCATCCACTTCGCTGGCGTTGCTGCTGTCAGTGCTGGACGGGATTAGCTCTCCGGTAGTGTTTATGTCGACATTGCACAACATCCTGTCACTTGACGCAGTAACTATTACTTGCAGGCCGATCACGTGGAATACCGTAGCGACACCGTATCGCCTTTTGGCTAGCCAGTGCACAGGATACCTGCTTCTTGGATGGTACTTGGAAAATGTGTTTCCACGTACGTATGGAGTGCAGCAGAAATGGTATTTCGTGTTCCAGTCGTCTTACTGGTTTCCTAAAAACTTGAATACGCAGTCGTTCTCGGACGTTAGTGACGACGGCGAGCTCGCCCGGCTGACTGAAATGGGTTTCGAGAGTATTGACGACCGGCTGGACGATACACTTCGTGAACAGACTTTGTCAGAGTACATGCAGCACTTTCGCCCGTCACTGTTCGTGCGGTCTCTTTCCAAGACGTATCCCAATGGAAAAGTGGCATTGAAAAACGTGTCGTTTGGTGTAAGGAAGGGTGAAATTTTTGGATTGCTGGGGCCCAACGGTGCCGGTAAGAGCACGACGTTGTCGATGTTAAGCGGGATTATACCACCCACTAGTGGAGATGCTTATGTGGGAGGGTCTATCAGCGTTGCGACTAACCCACAAGCGGTTCGAAAAAGTTTGAGCGTTTGCTTTCAGCAGAATATTTTGTACGACAACTTGACTGTGTGGGAGCATTTGTCATTGGTGTGTGCCCTAAAGAACAGCATGGGGATCAAGACAGTCCCTGAGGGATCCTGGCCCGCAAAGTTGCAGCAGTTCGGACTTGACGAAAAGCATGACGCACTGTCAAAGACTCTATCTGGTGGGCAAAAGCGCAAGCTGTCGCTCGTATTGGCTCTCCTGGATTCGTCCCGTGTGCTGTTGCTCGACGAACCCACCGCTGGAATGGACTTGAAAGCCCGGTTGGACACATGGGATACGCTGAAGCGTGCCGTGACCCATCGTGCCGTGATTCTGACCACGCACTCGATGCAAGAAGCGCAGGCGTTGTGTGAGAACATTGGCATCGTCGCTGATGGCAAGCTAAAGTGTTGCGGCTCCAGCCTGTTTCTTCGCAATCAGTACGGGGTGGGCTACAAGCTCACAGTTTCGCATGGCGAGAGTGCCGACCAGGATGACGACCGCAGCCATCTACGGTCGAGACGCCAAACGCGCACAGGCGAATTGATGACGGTACTGACGAAGTATGTACCTAATGCTACTATCATGAGTGACAGCAGATGGGAAACGCGTGTACAGCTGAATGATGGGGAAGAAAAGCACTTAGCTGGGCTTTTTAAAGAGCTGGAAACGATGAAACAGGCTAGTACGATTAAGCGCTACGCTATCGCAGCGACCGGCTTGGAAGACGTTTTTGTGAAAGTCACTGAGGGTGAAGGTGTGTATAATCACGCCAGGGACGATATAGAAAACGATGATAGTCTTGGCAGCGTTGACCCAGTGCATTTGAAAACGGAGAGTGGAAAAGTTAAGCCGAAGAGGGGTCGGCAAGCTGCTGGAACTGACCGACAACTGTCGGAGTGGGAATCCTCGGTTTCAAAGATTCGAGCTATGATTTTGAAGCGTGCAAAAATGAGCTCTCGCGACAAGAAGGCGCTATTTGCTCAGTTTGTATGGCCACTTGGCTTCCTGGCAATCCTCATGGGCGTGCTTCAAAACTTGCTTACTTCTGGAGCGAGTATTGAGACAATGACGACCTTACCACCGTCGGCAATGGAAACGTCGTTCTTTATATCGTCTGCACCATCAGCATCAGATTCGGTCTTGGACATTGTTGCGCAAATGGAGCTAAGCAGCCACCCGATTGTATTTGACAGGAATGTGCAGACCGAGCAGGCCATGTTAGACACGATTGCAAGTGACCGCGCCACGACGTATTTCGCCGGTGTATTTGTGTCGGATGTCAATTGGACGACACCCGGTAAACTGTCTTCTGAAGCGATGGTTTACTCGCTTTACTACAACGAGACAGTACGTCGGTCGTTGCCGGTGACGCTGCAATGGTTATCACAAGCGTATTGCAAAGTGCGCGTCAAACGGGAAAAAGCTCCTGGAATCGAGAACTGCGAGTTGATTGTGCAGAAGGGTGTATATCCGGACGATATCAAGATAGGTACGGGAGTAAGCACGGGCGAAGATGGCACGGAGCTGGACGTTGATGAAGCTGTCAACGTTGTACAGCGGATCATGGTGGCCTTTTACCTTCTAATGACGATGAGCTCGATGATAGGATATTACGCCGCGCTAGTCGTGAGGGAGAAAGAATGCGGTTTGAAGCGCTTGCAGTACCAGCACCTGGGAGCCGCTAATGCGTCGGTCTTGTACTGGTCATCGAACTTGTTATTTGATTACACGACATACACGTTGGCCGTCGTCGCGATTTACGTTATTCTCATGACGTTCTCTGCCGCGCTCAATAGTGCGATCATCGCCGCCTGGCTCGTATCAATGGCGCTTTTTGGTCTGGCAATTCTTCCCGCACAGTACTTCACTTCACTGGTCTTCTCATCACACGCGACGGCACAGTCGTACATGTCGTACGCTTCGCTGTTCCAGATCGTGGCGGTATCTGTCGTGTTTGCGTTGTCGATGATCCCTGGTTTGTGTGGCAAAGCAAACACGATTGCATATTTCTTGCAGGCCTTTCCACTGTATACGTTTGGCACTGTGGTGTTGGAGATCGTGACAGTATCTTGGGCTCCCATGCGACAGCAGTGTCTCAAGGTGGTGGACGATCCTGAAGGTGGGGATCTACTTGCCATGTTTGGAAATTTGGGTACAGGAGCGCAGAGTTCTGTCTGGGATTGGGATGTCTCTGGAAATAAATGGTTTGCCCTGTTGATGTGTAGCGTGATCTACACGTCCCTCCTGATTGCAGTCGATTATTACCACATGTACCCCACGGAGGCGAAACACAGGATGCGACTTGCACTGAGTCGAGGGCGTTTGTTCTTTGGCTGGCGTCCGAGCCAAGGGCGAGGGTATGAAGAGGCTGATCAAAGCGCTGTTGATGAAGAATGCCCTGATACGAACATGGTGCGTGTGATGCGAGTTTCGAAGGTGTATAATCCTCTGAAGAAGATCAGGGCCCGAGGGGCAATTCAAACTGCCGATGGCGAGAGTGGCGCTGGTTTGGTAAGTAGAAACGGTCAAGTGGTGGCGTTGAACGACGTTAGCTTTTCTGTGAAGAAGAGAGACTGCGTGGCGCTGCTGGGTGTCAATGGCTCTGGCAAATCTACGATGTTTAAGATTTTAACGGCTGCAATTTCTCCCACTAGAGGTAAGGCGACGATTGACTCGTGTGACGTGACGGAGGAGCCCCGAGAGACCAGTATGAGGTACGGCTACTGTCCCCAGGGCAACCTGTTCTATAACGATATGAGCGTACGCGAGCACCTCGAGCTATTCTACCGTCTCCAATGCCGTGGGCACAACGACGTGTCGTCCGAAGGCGCTAAACTTGACGAGCTCATAAGACGACTGAACTTGCTTCCGGTGGAAAGAACGGCGGCTTTGCACCTCAGTGGGGGTAACAAGCGACGACTGATGCTTGCACTGTCCCTTTTGAGCGATCGCACGTCACTCTTGCTCTTAGACGAACCTTCAGCTGGCGTGGACGTAGTGGCCCGACGGCTCATGTGGCGTGTCTTGTATGAAAAGCGGCAAAGCGACCGTCGAATTTGCTGCCTGTTTACTACGCACAGCATGGAGGAAGCGGAGGCCGTGTGTGCCAATGCAGTGGTGCTGTTCAAGGGCAAGATAGTGTGGTGCGGCAGTATTCCAGACTTGAAACAGCGCGTATCACGAGGAATTTCGATCAGCGTGCGACTGAACAGCTCGGCCATCTGGAATTCCGGACAGGTAAAGCATTACACGGACGAAATTCGGCGTTTGCTTCAGTCGAAGCCGCTAACAGGTGCCCGCCAAAAAGGACTGGAACGTAGCAGTCTTCCATTCGGTGACCTGGATGAGGCCTGGGAACATTGCCACGGTCTTTTGTACAAGACGCGCGACGCCGTTTCGATGCTGTCTCGACAGCGTGGCAAGACTTGGCTAGCAGGTCTACGAGCTCGTTTCGGATCAGACGACAATGCGCCCAGAAGTGTGTCGAAACGACCAGCAGTTGATGCCGAGGCGCAGGCTGCCATTCCTATCATCGAGTTTGTTCAAGAATGGCTTGTACAAGAAGCATTTGTCCGCCTCGAGTCGCAACTGTTTACCGACGAGTTCACCTCTCGATCTGGCGAGTCAGTGACTGCCGCAGACATGGAAAGTGCCTGTGGAAGTGGGAACAACACCAGTGGAGTGTACGAAACCTCATGCACGGACACTTTCGGACTGGCAGACGTGTTTGCTCTCATGGAAGCGAACAAGCAGGCGTTCAACGTTTTGCAATATAGCGTCAGTGAGTTGTCACTGGAGCGCATGTTCGAGCAGTTTACGGGCAGCACCTAAGCCTGCTGATCGATTCAGCTGCTTCTTCAAGGAGTTGGCTGTCAGAATGTTTGACGTGGCACGCAGTTGGGGTGAACGTTGGCTCTATTCGATATCGATAGTGTGAAAGCACAACGATGGTGGTCATCGAGTGACACAGGTGCTCGTGATTTGGCAAGCAGGGCAACTATAACAATGAAATACAGTGTGCGATCACTGTAATGAAGCTTGTATGGTTGATGAAGTGGCCTGTTTGGACTACGGTATACCGTCGTCGTGTACCATCGTTGACGCTAGTAAAACTCGCAAGACTTGGAAGACGCTTGTTGTTTTTTCGCCTAGCGCTTTTGTTCAGCGAACTCGATGGAATCGTGTGCAGAAGTAGCCAGCGAGACATCTCAGTACTCGGCGAAATGATGAGAGATGAACAAGTGACGCGTTTGCTGGAATCTCAGGCCGTGCGCCCATTCAAAGCAGTGTGGTCTATTGTTTTTACATCTCATGTCTTCCTTTTACAAACCCTTTGGCATTATCTGAAGGGCTGACGTCGCTGATAACTTCTTTGACGCTCGTGTAATCAAGAGCGTCCGTGTTGTTGACTACTTGACAGCATTTGGTCGACACACCCTCTTACGAAGTTGCTACCTCGAACCTCAGCACATATTTTCTCTTGAGGCACGAAGTGCAAGTCACCTTGGGACATCGAGGAACAAAGTACGGATTCTAGGTAACAACTTCTGCGCCAGTTTGAGTTGAAGGAGGAGGAAAGACTGCACCTGCTGGTCTAGTACGTATGTATCGCAAACTCAGATGCAGGTAGTCAAGTCCAACGTCCACGAAGCTCGTGAAAGAAAAAGGTTGTCATGTGCGAGTCCCACAGCGTAAGACGCAGGAAGATCAGTACTTTTCGAGCGTTCCCTTCCTCAACCAGGTCTTGTACTATGTGCACTCGAACACCAAGACCGCGCATTTCTGCTAATGGTTCAACTACTCCCGAATACGTCAACGAGATCAATCGGTTTACCACTAAAACGCCATGACGGACAAGACAGTGCGACGTCTGTATGCTACTTTGATAAAGTAGAGAAGCTGGTCAGATAACTATGAAGTCAACTGGATCTTTTGATTGCGAGCACAGCTTTCCAAAACGGAAGCCGCGCTCTCACCTGTAGTGTTCCTCATTCCAACCCTCGTCTAAAAGGCAACAATAGACTATCTGCTAACAGTAGGCGAGTGTAAAGTGGTATTCAGCTAAAAAGTTGAAAAGTTACGCTTGCTTCTCGTCACGTTCGGGGGAATGCGTTCCGCCCGTCGGACAGGGATAAGTTTGAGTCATCATGATACGCACAAGCACTCGCACCAATACATACACACATATATCATCACACGTACACTGACACCTTTCCATCACATCCAGGGACAGTCACGATGCTTTACTATACTCTTGAGTGATCAGTCAAGAGGGAGTGACCCCTCGGAAACAGTTCTCTTCATCGTTGTTGACTCGAAGCGAGCTGGGTTATATGTTGTCCTCATTACACTCGAAAGCATAGATAGCATCGACACGTTATCGATAGACACATGGAAATACTACTAGACACACTCTTGCTGAGGAATGTTCATGCACAAAGCTGTTATTCAATGTGCGTTGAAGTACTCGACACGTGGTATTCAGCCTGGGGCGGCGACATTCATGGTTCTCGAATCATCACATTCCATCTAAACAAACAACGATTGCAATACTGGCACAAGGCAGTCAAAGGATGCGACGTCGAAGCGACAAATCCGTTAATGTGTGAGATTGTGAGCATTTTACCGGGACAATAATGGTTGGTGGTGCGTCCAAGTCTAGACCGGTTCCGACTCGACCGAGCAGCGGTTCAGTGTTGCGGTGATATGATTGGCGGACTAATATAGAAACTCATGGCTGGATTTTAGAAATTTGGACTCTGATGAAGTTACGAAACGGCACATGTCGCCAGTGCCAAAAGCTGACGTAGAAGTTCTGCGAATTTATCGCCATCAAGGATCAAAACCAATTGCAGGATATTCAGGGGTAGTGCTGTAGCATAATCTTTGTATTGCTGAGCTAAAGCATTGCAGCTGTCCATGTAACAACTGCAAGGTCAACTCGATCCATTCAATTCTGTATGCAACAATGTAGTGAACTCATTTTCTTCAAGTGGACACTAGAACATACCACTCGGACCGTCGTTTGGCTTTTGAGGTGCACTGCAGCTGAAGTGGGCATCTACGTGAATGCGTAGCTGCTGCGAAGAATCGTTTCCCACTGATGTCGATGCCGGGCATTTTCTCTGTTTGTTGTTGCGCGCATCAGCACCATACTACCGTGTGATGCGGCATCGTCTAGAAACTGCAACTATTAGCACTTGAGCTGTAAATCTACAGCTGCATAGGCATCTTTACAGAAGTGTATTCGCCGCCGTCACAAGTGCCTACAAATAACCACTAGACAGCGAAGTCAGCTGAGGTGGAGGCTCAGAATATGCTCCAAGTATCTCATTCGAGCTGATGCTCCTGTGCTACGCCTAACTCGTCATTAGTTGTCGGCTGTGATGTCCAAATTAACATCGAAGAGGCCAAACGTAGGCGGAATTGAAGCACACGTCGTGCTAAAGGATGCCGAAGCGATGCCTACTGCTCGAAACGTGACGATTTATGATATCCTTTTGCTGTAGTTCATGAATCGACTAGTTACAACTTTGCCGTACATTGCGTGTAGCGCAAGGGACTGACGACTTCGAGCCATGATGGAGTCTGCGCATTGTTTGTCGGGTCTTCCACCTTAAACTTGCTGCATGGAAGTTTAGGAAGACTGTAGCGCTGATTGACTCTTCTTCATGCCAAAAAGAATGAGTGTTGCAGCATTTTTACCGCTGGTAGGTAGACCAAGACACACCGAGGTGTTTGCATCGTGTGGGTTATGACATGAGCGCCAGTACGAAGACGACTCAGTAAAGTCGACGACATTGTGGGACACACCTGGGTGTCCAAGAATACAAGATCGACCTTTCAGTCTTCTCCCCAAACTACCAGTCATGTCCACCGACACTGGCATCAACTTCATTCCTGAGATAGCTCAAAGTCTCAATCAGAAAAACCGGAGCGATCGACTCTTTTTGAAGCAATGGGTCCAGGTGTTTTTGCTACCGACGTCGTCCACACATGCTCATTCCTACCACGATCATTCACAATTTCGTTGCAGAGACATGGTGACAGTTGCCAAGAAGTCCAAGATACCGCTTTGACGAAAGTATCAAGTGTATCCATACGACGGTACAGCAGTGTTTTGCAGCAGTGTTTATCTGCATCAAGAGCAATATTTAGTTACATGTTGCAATTGAACTTGAACGAGACGATTATACTCAAAGAGCATTCACGACGCTGCATTCATTGAACGTCGACTCAAGGCAAAACCATTCTCGAATTCAGAGAAACATAAAATATAGTATACTAGAGTAGGGCTTCACCTGACCTACTCGATTGTTAGAAAGCCTCATGCTTTCTCACTGATGAAGTTGGTCATTTCAATCTCCTCAGCCTCCTTCGAATTTGACCGAGACTTGGTCTCTTTACCATTCACGGCATTCGTCTCTGCCTCCCAGTCGAGATCCATGTCTTCGGAAGCTGGGCCACCGAGTAGAATTTGACTACAACGTGCTTGGAACCGACGGCAGTACGCTGCGGGTGCAACAGCTGAAATTCCTCGAGCTGACTTGCCCAGCAGCACCTTGCCAGCCTTTTCAAACTGCTTCTCCCAATCCCATTGTTGTAGAATGTCGATGATCCCAACGAAATAGACCTCGTCTTCCCCAAGCGGAGCAAGGTTCGCACCACTATTGGGATCGGCAACGTTTAGCTTGTGGTTCGGTGTTTCGCCAGTATCTGACGGTATCCCTACACGCCCGTTCATGTACCCTGGACGTGGAGCGCGAAGATGACACTTGTGGACACCAATGAGCAATGAATAATCCATTATTCCAATGTCGCGAAGAAAACCACTGTCGGACACGACCTGAGCGTGCAGGTGAGCTGCAAGGGACTCAGGGAGCTGCAATGAGCGGTCTAAGTCCAAGTCCTTGAGCACAACATCCGGTCGGTGCACATGGAACGGGAACTGCGCACAGTCTTCCATTCCTGATGCACTTCCACCATTCGAATCCAGCGCAGTACTCGCCGCATTGCCGTCGTCGTCACAGCCTCCAAACACATACGTTGCGTCACATTCTGCACACGTGACCCGATCACCACGTTGCGGTCGGCGCGCCCGGCGATCGATCCACGATCCTTTGACGTCATACTTTTCAATGATCGTAGCAGTGTGGTGTTCGTGGTGCAATACGTTCGACATAACAGCAAAATAAAAGTTGCGACCGTAGAGACGCACACGGTGGCAGCCAAAGAAGCGGATAAGTCTCGAATGCGGGTTTGCTGTTAAATAGCGCGCGTATTCAGGAGCCATATCCACAAGGGCACGGCATTCTTTCTCCTTGAGACTCTTTACAAGCAGCGAGTTGTCACCTGAAAAGAACATGAACGCGCCACTCGACCCGGCACTTACACGCTCTTTAGCCGTTGTTCGAAAGCTGGCCAGATACTTCTCGTCCGAGAGTCCAAATGCCAACCGAATGGCTCGAAACTCACGAGGTGCGTAGTCCACAAATACCTTAGGCTTTGGATCATCCGGTAAAAACTCACGCCCCACTCCACTGCTAGCAGAAGCTGCAGTGAAAGAAGCTTCAGCACTTTCACTGCGACTACGGAACACGCCACGTCCCTGGGTAAAAGCTGATGTAGCCGTGCGGCGTATTCCCGCAAACATTGCTGCTCGGGTTGATTTACTTTCTGCTGCAGCTTCGTCGACAGAAGACCTTGTGCTCTGCAGTTCGATCTCCTGCTCGAACAACTCGAACGGCACTTGAGACACTGGGTACAGAGAAAACCTTCCTGGAGCTTGGCTATACGAACGAAAGTTGGCATCGGATCGGGCAGCATGTCGACTTCCTTGACTTCGACTGTGGTGGAGCTGAAGCGGTTGACGCCAATTACCTCGGGACTCTGAGGTCGATGTTCCGGTGAATGAAGTCGGACGTGGACGCTGACGACGACCATCGCTATCTAATCCAGCTGCTGAACGACAAATGGAAGCAACAGGTAGCGAGGCACGTGGTTCACAATACGATCGAGGTGACGAAAGGATAGTCACCCTTTGCACGTGCGAGATAAATGAGCTGTTGACCAGTGTCGAGTCTCGTTCAGCGCCCACGAAAAGTGTCGTTTCGACCACAGTACCCTCACGATCCCTCGATACCGCACCGGGGACCTTATTCTCTCCAAGTTCAGTCCCTGCGTTGCCAGTCGTGAGAGCTGCCGCTTTCGCGCGTTCAGCTGAGCGAATGATGGCCTTAGTAATTCCACACACCGTATAATAAATAATCTCGCGCTGGAGTGTCTCGTTGTTCTGTGACGCCTCGTACGACTCCATAGTAGAAGCAGCGTAAGAAGAGGACAACGAGCGGTTGGATCGACCTGCTAATGGACGATCGACCTCTGGTGATACCGATGGCAACGGGTCATGCTCGCGTAGCTGTAATGCAGCACTTTCACGCACACTTTCATGGGCCTCGTCAGTCAACATACCCTGTGCTAGCAACGTGGCTTCACGCGGTGCTGGCATACCAGCCTCCATTGACATTGCTGTACTCGATATCATGTTTGCTCTGTGGATCCCAACTTCTCCGCGAGAAGATGCCAATGACGCTGACTGCGATAAACCTGATGCAGACTGTGCCAACGATGGGCCTTCGTCATCGTCTCTGCACTGGTGCAAGCCGCAAGACGCAAGTCCAAGCGCACAACAGGGCTTGTTCACGCTAAGCCACACGACACCAGTAATAAATCCCTTGGCAGTAAGAACAAAGCGGAATAACGCGTTGATAAAGTTCGTCCCATTATCAACGTGCTCTGACGCATTTTCCACCTGGACGTAAGTGAGTGCCTTGTAATTTGATCGATAGATGAAAAAGACCACCAACACCACGAGCCACATAGCATTGAGAGCATGGGCGTAGACAGCCATGCGCTTCATAAGACGACGGCGAGCTTTAAGTGCAATGATCGTGCCACTGTTCGATCGCCACCAGCCAACTACTAGGCCCAGTTGAGCAGCAACAACAACAAAGACCACGATCGCAATCAAGACGCCCCAATATTTCAAATTCAGCTCCTGCCACTGCGCCAACCTTCGTGTTCTGCTTTCCATCGAGTCTCCAGCATCCGAAGGAAGCAAAGGAAGAATCAACGCTACCATTCGGCAAGTTTCGGCGTCCGTGAGTTGGAATCTGCTCTCCACGTGGTTCGAAAAGAGCACCAGAGGTGCCACAACACACGCAATGAACGAGAGTCCCCACACGACAACATGATATAGCACCAACTGTCGCTTGTAACTAGCAAACGGATTCGAGATTGACACAAAGAGGTGCAAAATCGCTGCGCCAAACCATCCAACACCTGCAAGTAGCAATAACATCTCGAGACTCGCTGCAATCGTGCACGCCGTCATCCCCATTGGACGGCACTCGCCATTCTTGGCACTGCACAACGACAGCACGTGAGCCAGCGTAAGCACCGCAAGTCCAAATTCACTCAGTGCGACAAATGCCAGCAACTCATTGGGTTTTCGTCGCAGCCGGCGTCGCCTCACAAACGACACAAGCACCATCAACGTCGACAAGAGACTCAGGCCCGCTCCTAACACGATCGGTGCCAACGTCTCCATTGGCTCTGGCACAACAAAGCTCAGTGCAAAGCATCCAGCTAAAACCGAGACTGCACCGATCCAGAACAAAACTCGTCTCCACCGCCGTCGCTGCCGTCGCCAGCGCGCCGGCACGCGTCCAGCTGGCGTGTCCGTCTTCTCGTCTCGCTCCTCCATTGTCTGCTGCACCTGCGTCGTCGAGCCTGCAACTGGCAGCAGCTGCTGACTCGAAACGCGTCGATCCATGGAGTTCACGACAGACGTCGAGGGCGTCGACACGCGTCCGTTGGCGCCGAGAATTGCCGACAAAGCGTGCGAGTGGCTCCGACTGCGAAGGACGTCGTCCGTGCCCGGTACGACGTCCCGGTCCTGGGCGCTGCTTCGACTTGGCGTCGACACGGCTTGGTACAAAGGACTCGACGAGACGGTCGCCGTCGTCGTTGCGCCATCGAGTGGGAAGACCATGGACGAATGCGCTGAAAGTGTGTCGAGACGACGAGACTGACTGACAGACCGATAGACCGATTGACCGACTTGTCCTTGTGGTGCGCTCGAGCCAATCGGAAAGGCGATACCCGCGACACGCTGGACAAGAACGAGCTTTGGAGCTTTTCGTGGCGAGGTATTGTTATAGATGGGGCACGAGGGTGGTATACACTGGGGTGTATCGAGACGGGAGGTATACGGTCTCGATAGAAATATAAATATATCGATGGAAACGCCTGGGCTGTCGTTTAGTCGCCGAGTTCTATTGCTTAAACAGCGACTTTGTAGTAGTGAGTGGCCTGGCAGCTCGCGTGTCACGGGGATTTTTCTGCACCTTTTCCGACGACTTGCTGGACCGAACGGCATAGAGAAACCAAGAGAGAGCACGGAAGCGAGAGCGGACAGAGAAAGCACTCGACTGAAGCTTGGGCCGTTTCGGCAGCCGTGCTGTCCAATCATGTGTCGAGTCGTGGGGAGAAAAAAAGGGCACGCTGCGTCCTTTCGATCCTTCACGCTCTCGTTTGCTGAACCGACGAGTCGACGCGTCTATTTAGTGACGTCGCGAAGTGGACCCCAAACCCTGGGACACTTGTGAGGGGATAGCGGTCGTCGCTCGCTATCTATAGCTCGTTGTTTTTCCGTTTTCTAGGGAGCGACCGTTTTCTGCGGGTATGGAGGCTGACGACGAGGATTTATATGCATGTATGAGAAGATGCTTTTTCCATGTCTACGTAACGAATTACTACTGATGGTATTCGCAACACGAACGAGGAAGAAGGAGCTTGTGTCTCATTGTATGTGCGTGTGCTTTTATTCTTCTTTTTCGTCGTCTGGAGAGGTTCGGCTGTTCATATGACTGACTGACTGCAAGCAATCGATCGATCCCATTGTCCTTCAACACGCACTTCAACTTGCGATCGTAGAGCTCTTTGCAAAAAGTCAGATCTTTTTCAGGCACTTGACAGGAACGTAGAGCAGGGGTATCGTGATGACTCACTGCAGACGATCAGGCGGAATGATGAGTGTGCATGTGTGCGTACGTGCGAGAGAGAGCTCGTCATGGAGAGACATGTGCGTTCGAAATGATCCGTGTCGACATGGAGACTTCGAAACTTGACACTTTAGTAACGGGAGCAGTATCGAGTAGAGACCGCGGCTGCAGCTTGGTTTCTAGCAGCACAGAATTACTGCGACCGTCAACAAGGTTGCCGAACAATGAGACGAGGTCGCCAATGGATCATCAAAGTTGCGGCTGTCGAACGTGATGATCGTAGCTGAGTGTGCGAAACACTTTCGAATGACTTCATTATGTGTGAGAGATGCAACGCGTTACTGTCGCTGTGTGCGTATAAATGTGTGCTGAGTGAATATACAGCATCCTGGGACACTTGATCACTTCGTAACTGGCAGAAAAAAACTGCTGCTTGACTCAAGCGGGGGCTCTCGTGCATCCCAGTCAACTTCAGCCTCATCTAGCCTCGACAGTTTCGTGTCTCCTTCCTGTGACAAAAGCGGCGAGTGAAGTTCCATTCAAAAGCGGAAGCAAAGAAAGGTGGACACGCAAAGATCGTGGTCAGACGTGGTATAGCAAGACGTCAATCGAAGGATGTTTCAAGCTCTTGCATGCCGCTTTGATCCGAGAAAGCTGGAAGTCGCTTGCGGAGTAGCCTCTGTGGACCACGATATCTGAGACGCTACTTTCTACCGAATTCGGTCACCTGCGACGAGCTGGGTCTGCCCGAGGGATCCCAGTCGGTAGAAGATCATTTCCATAGCCGGCGTGTTACCGATCGGCGTTCTCGTACACACGAAATTGACTTGACGTATCTCATGGTCGTTGCGCTTGGATCATTCCGGCAGCGAACAAGCTCGAGGTATTGGGCCCCCACGACTGACCATTGATTTGATTCTGGACGCTATGGCTGCTGTCAGCATTGAAGACATTGCTGAATGGCAGTAGTGGGGATCTCCAGGATCTAACATATCCCTATCTAGCCACAATGTTGACATGCACGCTGTTCATACGACGTTTCGAATGTAGATGCAACATCTGGCACTATGGCACTCGCTTCAACTCGTCACTTTGAGGCAGCATGACGTGACTTCGATGCATCACATCGGCTTAATTCATGCAGTCGGTAACTACACGTTATGCCACAGGTGACCGGAAGTTGGAGCAGATCCCCACGCTAAGCAGTGCTCGATTGCCTGCGCACATGACTGAATACGACAATCTGCTCGTAGGCATCATAAACACTTGCCCCGCGAACAGGGCCGTGACTGTCCAGTACGTAACACTTGATGTGCGTCGATACCACTACAATCTGCGCAGGGTCGACCAATTGCACTATAAATCAACGTGGTGACTGACAGCAGACTTCAGGGGTATTCCGTCAACGCTGCAGGTGCACGTCTCACGTGTTAGAAGCATGTCGGAAGCTATAAGGATCAACTGCTATTTGTGCGGAAGCGAATGCTCAGCTGTGACTATAGGGTGTTGAAGCAGTCGAGTTACCATAGCCCATACATTGGACAGTCTTGCAAGGCATAGAAAGCCATGACACCACAGTTGTCAAGTGACATGTCTGGTGCCGCTACGCGCTGCCGTACACGGCCTACACTTGCTGTTGAACAGGCTCGCAAAAAAGGGTTTCGATCGACATTTGTGGATGGCAGATCGGAATGCGATTCTGCGGCAGGTTACGTATGTGCGTATCACAAGCGCTGTAACAAATTCGGTCTCCACACGTGTAACGTCAACTGCTTCGACACTCACGCGACCCTTACTTTTTTCAGTTTGCCGGATGAAGCCGTAGTGGACACCGGCCGGCCTTGACAGTTGCCCGATGCCGATAAAGAAAGAGCAGAGCCAACTTTGTTACAACATTAGGACGTAATGTTTGGAAACTACTCCGCTTCACGCTCGGGAACGTTGCAAAACACGTCGCAAAGATGTTTCACTTGTGGCAAGAGTTTCTTTTTTTTCTTGCACTCCATGAATGAGAGGCCAATGTAACGGGGTTACACAAAAGGTTGTGATAACCAGGTACATTGGTGTGGTGCACGCAAAAAGACATCAGTGTTACTGATCGGGCGTGCTTTTGTATCACATACGCTGAGCGATAATACCGTACCCTATCGGTTATGGTTCAAGGATATCTATCGTAGGAGAGTCTTCATAGAGGCGGAGTATTTTCTGGCGTGATGCACAAGAGGAACTACGATGAGGACTGTTCGACTGGGTAGCATAGTTTAAAGGTTAGAGATGTAAGTAATGTTTATTATCGCTACAAATCAGTAAATATACTTAGTTCCCCTTTAGATCAGTTTCAGACACGTGTCTTTTTAAAACGTCTCCATCGTAAGAGTTAAGTGTCTAAGTTAAGGCTAACTACTCGTGGACACTACTGCCATGTATTTCCTTGGAGTCGCAGTCCTCTGAACCAGGACTAGAAGCTTAAAAGCTTGCACATTCACTTCGAGTTAAGTTTCAACAAGTCTGCAAGACTTGGTACCCTCTGAGTTAATACCCGCTTAATATGATATACTAAGAGACTTTACGAGTCTAGAAGTCTTCCTCTGACTAAGGAGTTAGTGTAGCTCCGCTACACTTGGTAGCACTTGTAGTCAATCTACACCTGAGTCCGTTTAAGACTGTTTCTCTATAAAGATGAAAACAAAGGTAATTCTTGCTAAGGGCCCAAGGATCAGCGCTGAAGAAACACAAAGCGCTAGTGTAACAGGGTGAATCGTTACATAACAATTTAAAAGAAATTGTTAATAGAATATAACTATAAGAGTTATATTCTCAGAATATTGTCATAAGGACAAATATTCTGCAGCACTTACGAGTAGTTCCTAATTGGTTGATATAGGCCATTATATCAACCAACGAAGACGCGCCACGACAGACGCACGCAATGAGTGGTGAGCAGATAGTTAATTTACACATTTGTATTTAGACATAGTTAGATGAAGATAAATAGTGATTTATTGCAGACATTAACTACTATAAATACAGTTCTACTTTTTACTTTAACCAAGTACTCGCTTCTTCTTACCGTCTTCCTCTGCACGTACGAGTGTACGTGAAGTTACGAGGCACCGCCTTATTCTGTCATCAGAATAAGTAGCTTGTACTGTCACCAGTACAAGCTTAAGGGTGCCCCGTTACACCTGGTAGCACTTTGTAGTCCGTCCAAGGACCACGTTCACGTCTAACATGAATATGTTGGATGATGAAGATGACCAAAGCTTTCACGCTACGCGTGACGGCTACTCCCATTTGAGCGATGTCGAATGGGATGCGGTTGAACGGATGGGTTCAACCATAAGCATCCATGCTGTTAGCTTCATGCTGGAGGCTCTCAATAGAGATGCCCAACATGCTACTGTAATGGGGCAACCCATTATATTAAGTAGTCATAGTTTTATTACATAATTACATACATTAAGTGTAGGCAGTATCCGGATAGCGGATACTGCGCGTCTATTTATTATTGGTTTATTATTGGGGTGCCAGACCCAATAATTAGCCAATAATAATTAGTTCTGTATTTGAGTGGTTCCCATGAGCTAGGGAACATATTCGCACTTACTGCGAATTATAAAAACACAAACATACAGAGTTAATTTTACCTTATAAATCACAGCGCTTCCTCAGCTTAATTATTAGTGTAAGACGGTAACGGGCTCTCATCCCGTTACACCTCGTAGCACTTAGTAGTCCTTTCCATGACCAAGTACGAGATGGATATGAGTGAATCTTCGATCGCTCCAGCGGTTTCGCTGGAGCATGCTGACTTCCCCACCTTACTACTGTGGAATGGCAGGCATTACACCGCCGTGCGGCGGTGTCTGGTGAAATGTTCGTAACGTCGCTGCTGCGCACAGCGACGCCCGAACAACACCGTGCCGCCATCCAAGACTACATGGTGCGCGAGCTCGCCGAAGCAAACCGGCGGGTACAGACTCCCTCGCGCACCTCCCATCATTATGCGATAAAAATGGAGACGTCCACGTACTCGGGCGATGGACCGGATCGTCTCCCCTTTAATCTCTGGGTTCGGGAGATTGATATCGCGATCGCGTCAAGGTTGATTGACGCTCCGACGGCCAAGGTTAATTTTCTGCTATCACGGCTTGTCGGCAAAGCCAAAGAATGAGCCCTTGGGAAACTCGTCGTCGACGAGTTGGCGTTCCCCACGCTGGACGAGATCCAGCGCGACTTGCGACTGGCGTTCGAACCCCCTCAAGATGAGTCACGCTTGCGTGAAGACTTCTTTAGATTTCGACAGGGCAAGCTGTAGATGCGTGACTACGTGCAGAAAAAACGACATCTTGTGTCGTGTATTACCACACAGCCGATCGACATAACCTCACAAGTACATGTCTTTGTCTTCGGTATGCAGGAAAGCATGACGCGTTATTGCCTCACACGTGCTGAACGGAAGACTCTCGAGAACGCAGTTGCCCTTGCGCTTCGTGATGATTATACGGTCGCGTCGTCATACTTGCACGTAACGTCGCAGCGTCCGCGTATGCCTGGCCCAGAGCTTATGGAAATTGCCGCAATTTGATGCATCACGTGGTCGCGACAATCGATTTGGCCGCGACGTTTGTAGTCAAGACACGATGAAGTGTTTTTGATGCGGCAAGACAGGTCATTTTGCGGCCGACTGCCGAGCACCAGCGTCGGTGTCCATGAAATCAGCTGTTCCACGTGAAGATACGTGTCGTCGGTGGTCCCGCCAAAAAACGAGCGGTTCCAGTAGGCGCGGGGCGCCCTACTGGCAGGAATGGAGCACCGAGTACTCCGGTGGCAGCTCGGTCTCCCAGCCCTAAAGTGATTCATACTCACTTCAACGCCACCACCACGCGTGACGATTCGAGACTGATCATCATCAGTCTCATCGTTGCTGGAGTGAAGCGACCACTCCGAGCGTTGTTGGATTCGGATGCATCCAACAACTTCTTTCGAGCATCATGTTTGTCCCTTCTACCGTCTTAGATTACGGTTCGAGAAGGTGCAAGCGACATCGTTGTCTAACTTGCTGATGGATAGCCGCAGCGTGTTCCGCGCAAAACAGTGGTTTTGCCGTGTAGGTTTGACGGTTTTCAAAGCAATAATGCGTTTCTGGTGTACGAGATAAATTACGCATTAGATTGCATCTTGTGGATACCGTGGCTGTCACAATACCAGCCGACGATAGATTGGCTATCTCGATCCGTCAAACGACGAAGTGGATACGATGTGAGTGAAGTGTTTCTCATTTGTTGGTTGCGTCATATAATTGGCCCCACGTCAGGGTCGTGGACAAACTTACTACGACTAGGAGTAAGCTCAGAGAGGACGATGGCCCTCTATGTCCGGTATGTTCAGTCACGCTGATAGAACCACAACACGAGGCGGTCGAACAGGGGTTCCCGCGAAATCAGACATCGGTCTAGCAGAGACTCCCGATTCACAATGAGACGGTCGAACAGAGGTTCCCGCGAACACAGACATCGGTCGAGCAGAGACTCCCGATTCATAGCGAGGCGGTCGAACAGGGGTTTCCGCACACACAGACATCGGTCGAGCAGGGGCTCCCGATTCATAACGACGCGGTCAAGCAGGGGCTCCCGCACACACGGACTTCGGTCGAGCAGGGGTTCCCGAGTTCTACCGAGGCGGTCGAGCAGGGGCTCCCGCATACACACACAACGGCCGAGCAGAGGCTCCCGATTCCAACCGAGGCGGTCGAGCAGGGGCTCCCGTACACTACATCTGAGGCGGTCGACGACGAGCTCCCGCCTCTTATTGACGAGAATGCACGGACTGTGGACGTAAGTGTGAACAACATGGTGGTGACTGAGCCACCACGTCTAGCGGGGGGTATGTCATCCTCCAGTGAAAGCGATGTGCCAGTCTTGAGAAACGGCTCGAGACGCAAGAAACAGCGTAAACACTAGAAAGAAGCACGCCGATCGACGAGACGACGACATTCTCTAAAGCACTTTGAGGACATCAACGCCATAATGACGGAATCCATATGAGCGCTCGAATATGTGGAAGGATTTCCACATCGCGATCGCCACATTGAAGTAGCGAGCCCTCCGTGCAATGCTGCTGCGATCGCATCTCTCTCGGCTCTAGCATGGAAAGATTTTCTTCATGCCCTCAAGGTCGGTGACATCGAGCAAGTGTGCATCGTATGTACCGCCAAATCAGCTACATAATAAGTTTTGGAGGCTCGCCCAAAGAGCGCCGAGCCCAAATCAGCGCGCAAAGAACGAGCCGCAACACAGTCCTGGAAAGACCTTTGTGCTTCGGGCAACCTTGGTATGCTATTGCTCGTGAGTATGCCGATATCTTTTCGGAGACAATTCTTGCTGAGCTTCCAGCTGATCGTGGAGTGCGGCACGAGATTGACCTCGTGCCTGGGGCGAAGTATTGTGTAACGCGGCAGTGGCTGTTACCTCGCATCAAGTCATCGCATTGATGAATTTTTTGAGGGCCGCCGTCAAGCAGGCCATGTTTGCGAGAGTGTCTCTCCACATTCGAGCCCTATGTTCTATGCGAAGAAAGCCACCGGCTGTTGGCGCATTGTACAGGCTTTCAACAAGCTGAATGAAGCCACGATCCTGGCATAAGCGCCAATTCTGCGCAAAGACATGGTATATGATACCATGTCCAGCAGCGAGATTTTTAGTGCCATCGACCTGACAGACAGGTTTCTAATGAGAGACGGTTATATTCCATTCACTGCGGCCAGCACCCCGAGTGAGAGCTATGGAATGGCTAGTCATGCCACAAAGCCTTAAGAACGCTTCAGCTACGTTCAACCGGATGGTGACACAACTACTCTGCCCGCTACGTGGTTTTGCTCCAAGCTACTTCGACTGCATTTTTGTACACAGCCGAGCTGAGCAACATCTTAGCGCCACGGAGGCTCACATTCGGCACTTTAAAAAGGTGTTTCAAGTGATGCGTGAGAACAAGTTGTATGCCAATTCGAAGAAGTGTGTCTTCTGTGCTCCCGAGATTCCAGTACTTGGCTGTTATGGCAGCAACGAAGGTGTCCGTGCTGATCCCGAGAAAGTGTCATCGATATACTCATGGCCTACTCCCAGGAACCAATCTGAATTACGACAATGGCTCGGCCTGGCTAACTACTTACATAAGTATACGAAGAATTACGCCGAGTTAATTCAACCATTATCGACTTTGCTGAAGAAAGACGCAGTTTGGTCATGGAAGGCAGAACATCAATCTGCCTTCGACTCCGTAAAAAAGAGCTTGTCTGAGGCACCAGTGCTAATGCTGCCTGATGCTTCCAAGCCATTTCACGTTGTTTGTGACGCGAGTAACTTTGCGATTGGATGTGCCCTCATGCAATGTGACGATGAGGGCCGAGAGCGCGTCGTGAGTTTTCAGTCGCGACAGATGAAACCTGCCGAAAGAAACTATCCGGTACATGATAAAGAACTTTTGGCTATGCGTTATGCGCTGATCAAGTTCAGGGTATATTTACTCGGCGAGAAGATGTTTTCAGTATATACAGATCACGCATCACTGCGTACCGCAGTCAAGACCCCTCACCTGTCTCAGCGTATGGCTCGTTAGTTGTCATTTCAATCAGAGTCTAACTTCGTGGTGTTTTACAAGCCCGGAAAGAATAATATTCTTGCTGACGCGCTTTCTCGGCGTCCCGATTACGACCACGACGCGACGTTGGCCATCAGCCAGGTAGTGCTGAAGACGAGGACGATGACATTTGTTTATGCTGTGCTGAGCAGGGGGCTCAATGCAATGTTCTCGACACCTGAGCTGTCAATCCGGACTCAAATCGCTGAGTCATATGCGAACGATTCATTCTACACGGGAATCATCAACTATCTTCGACACCCTAGTGAGGGTTCACTCGCGAAGCTGACGAAACCAACGCGTGACGACATCAAGCTTTTCGGCTTTATGGTCCTCTACTGACGTACAATATGGACGTCTTTGAACCACCGCGCGTAGTCGTCCCTGCTGATGACGGCCTTCGAGCGCGATTGGTGCATGAATTTCATGACACCCCAGCTGGTGGTCATGTGGGTCTCGAAAGACGTTAACGGTCATTTCTCGAGTGTTTTTCTGGCCACGCATGTACAAGTACATCCAGAAATGGGTACGCTCTTGCGAAATATGCCAGCGCGTGAAGCCTGCGCCATCTTCACAAGCTCCATTACGACCGCTTCCTATTTCTACGGAAGCCTGGCATTCCATCAGTATGGACTTCATCATTGGGATTTTACCGGATGAGAAGAATCCCACGGGCGTCTTGGTTTTTGCGGATCGATTTAGCAAGATGATGCACTTTGCTCCAGTCTCCGCGCACATTACAGCGGAGACGACCGCGCAGATCTTCATCGATCTCATATTTCGACATCACGGCTTGCCTGAATCAATTGTTTCGGACCGCGACCCGCGCTTTACATCAGCTTTTTGGGCAACGTTGTTTCAACTATTGGGCACGCGTTTGCTTATGTCTACGGCGGCCCATTCAGAAACGGATGGGCAAACGGAGCGCGTCAATCGAGTGCTTGAAGATGTACTGCGCAGTTATGCGACATCGTTCACGTCGTGGAGTTTATTCCTTCCACTCGCCGAATTTGCAATCAACAATGCAATCGATGCGTCAACAGGATTGACGCCATTTTTCGTGAGCACCGCGAGGCACCCTCGCGTTCCAGCGCTTCTTGCTCTCTCAGATTCACCACACACAGTTTCTACGCTTGGTGGGGGAGTATCTGCCGATGACACTACGCGAAAATTTGATGATTGATTACGTTGACGATAAGGTTGCTACCGATGAATCTCATGCTGTTAATTTCTTGGCCAAGGCATATCAAGCCCCGACACGATGCATTCCATTACGCCTCCCGTAGCTAATTTTGCTCCTGAAGAGGTCACTTCACCTATTAGCTCGGTGCTGTGTCCGACTTTCTATTACTACGACATGGCATCACACGTTTTGTACGCGATGCCTTTCAACAAGCCGTTGACAAGCAAAAAGAGAACGCGGACAAGCGAGGTCAAAAGAACTTGCTGACGTTCAAAGAAGGTGACAGAGTCTTACTATCGACAAGCGGATTACCAGATACATCAGTGACGAATTTGGGCGCTAACAAATTAGCACCAAGGTATATTGGTCCCGTCCGGATTGTCAAGGTACATATAGATGCCTACACGCTAGACATACCTACCACTATGCGTTTGCACCCGACATTCTATGTCGGGCGCCTTAAAGCGTCCCTACCGGCTGATCTCCCTTTGGTCCTTCCTCACTCGTCTGTATCGGCTCAAAGTCCGACACCCCCCTGTCGACGACGCTGACGACGACTGGGACCAAGTCCTGCTCGAGCGCGAGCAGACTCGTTCTGCTGGGGCCCTCCAAATGTGGCAGTCTCGAGTTGGCGAAGACGCTCCACCAACACCTGCTGCTCCCGTCGAGTCCTCTCAGCAGCCTCCGTCGCAGCCGCCGCACGATCTTGAGCACTCTCGACCATCTCACGAGCATCCAGTAAGCCATTCTTCGCCTCCTCAGTCTCAGCACGAAGCATCCGCAGCTCGTCGCCCGTTGGCACAGGCGTCCGATTATGTGAATCGGCGCCCAACCCAGAAAGCCTTCCGTCGTGATGCTCCTCCTCCCTTGGTGGATGCATCATGTGTGCAACGCTGGATTGTGGACCGTATCGTCGGTCATGAAGACCCCACGCCTCTTGCGCCGAGTAGTGGCTCGGCGCCATCGAAGAGTCGTTCAGAAACGCATTACAAGGTCCGATGGTTGGGTTATTCACCAACGGAAGACACGTGGGAGCCTCGAAGTATGCTGGCTCACGATGTTCCTGACGTCGTTGAGGAGTACGAGACCAGTAAGAGGTCGGCGAACGCGACCGACGCTGCTGACTCCTTCCACGATCCCGCGAACCGTAACGTGCGTGAATTGGCGATCGACGACGATCTCCCGAGCGACTCCGAGGTCTACCATGAGGCTCGGGAGCACTTGGATACCTTGACGGTCGAGAGCGACTACGAGAACGACCTCGGTGGTCGTAAGACAAACGATCTCGACTACGTGAACGCCTCCATTGATCGACAGGGCGTTCCCTCATGTGACGCAACGCAGATACTTGGAGCTCTGAGAGGCTTCTCTCATAGCGGCCGATCCATGGTTGGAGGTGCTAAGGCATTCCCCGTGCACACACCATGTCGTCCCATTCCTGCCGCATTGGTCGCGGTCTCTCCATGTGACACCGTGGACACCCTTCACGGACATGGACGTAACACATGTGGAACTCGTCACGAGTCAGACGACACACACGTCAGCGTAAATCGCCAATAGCGTGGTCGCCATGAGTACTTTCGCGCCCCTCGATCCAGGACGTGAAGGATGCCCCCTTCACGTCGACTCGCGTTCCAGTGTCTGATGAAGGCACACCAAGATCTTTGCAGCGCGTCGTCAGTGTATGCATGATTCGTTCCCTTGCCTCGAACGTTACGGTATCGTGTGAAGAGATTCTTCATGGTCTCAAGTGATTCAGGTTGGTGCGCGCCTTCAAGGCTGTACAAGCCCCACGGTTTCAAGTCCTCATCCATGGTCTGCGGTGCACGCTCTCTTCGAAGTGTCTGATGACCCCAACTGTCGTTTGGGGTCGAGTCGCGTGGGTGTTCAGGATTCATGCTGCTCAGTTGTTTGTGGCTGAGCAGATTCGAAGACCAAGATGACGTGTCGTTGGAGTTCTCGTTGGGCTTTTCGTTGGACTATTCGTTAAGAAGAAACTTTCTGTGTATGGCGCTTACGTCACGGTAAGCGCAACTTAAGAAGGGGGTGATGTAATGGGGCAACCCATTATATTAAGTAGTCATAGTTTTATTACATAATTACATACATTAAGTGTAGGCAGTATCCGGATAGCGGATACTGCGCGTCTATTTATTATTGGTTTATTATTGGGGTGCCAGACCCAATAATTAGCCAATAATAATTAGTTCTGTATATGAGTGGTTCCCATGAGCTAGGGAACATATTCGCACTTACTGCGAATTATAAAAACACAAAAATACAAACAGAGTTAAATTTACCTTATAAATCACAGCGCTTCCTCAGCTTAATTATTAGTGTAAGACGGTAACGGGCTCTCACCCCGTTACAGCTACTATCGCCAAGTTCATTCAAAATGAACTTGACACTGAACGCGAGAAAGTAGCCTTGCTTCGCCAACAAGGTTCTCAACAAGCAGAATTGTTGAGAGAACAGGGTGTTCAACAGTTTGAACTGTTGAGACAGCAGCAGGCTGCTGCTGGTGGGTCGATGCACTCGCGTCGACCCGAGACCTTAAAGATTAACATCTCTAAGTATAGGGGAGTCGAAGAGGACTCCCTCTTGAGATGGTTCGTCGAATTGGATGACGCCATAAGGGCGCGTCGCATCGACGACGGGGATATGCAAGTTGCATTTGCCCAGTCAAATCTGGCAGGACGTGCCAAGACTTGGGCACTGGGGCTCAAGTTGCACGACCCATATGCGTTTGGGTCGTTAGAAGTCTTCAAGTCGCGGCTCAGACAAACGTTTGAACCGCCTAGAGCTGAGTTCAGAGCTCGAACTGAACTCTTGAAGCTCAAACAAGGTAAGCGTGATGTGCACGCTTACGCGCAACATATGCAACATCTCACGAGTTGTATAAGTTCCAATCCGGTGGATGAACACACGTTGGTTTTGGTGTTCATGCAGTGTCTTGCGGATGGTTCCGTCAAGACTCACCTGTTCCGACTTAAACAAGATTCAATAGAACAAACCATTTCTATTGCGGAACAGGAAGACGTCAGTCTGAGACAGGCTCGCGCCAGCTCAACATCATATCGTCAACCGAGACGATATGACAACGGAGGTCCAGAGCCGATGGAACTCTGTTATGTAGAGAGCGAGAAGGCTCGCTCTACAGACTACAACAAGTTGCAGAAATGCAACAGATGTCAAAAGACAGGACACTAGGCTTACGAGTGTAGTGCCCCTCGTCCAGTGTCTCGCAACACTGGGCGTAGTGACCGTCCACCCATGAGAGAGGGGCAGGGACGCGGGTCCGCTGTTGGTGCAAAGACGCAACAACGGGATGGACCGTCAAAAAACGGTCAGGATCAGTAGGTGCGGAGCACCCTACTGGTCCAGCAACGTCAAGAGAATTTGTAGGTCTCTTGATGAAGGTTGCTCCCAACACACAAACGTTGTGCGTTGCTGATCTAGGTAATGAGATCTCACTCATTACCTTGAAACTCGAAGTGACAAATAAGTTGTCCCTTCGAGCTCTAGTCAATTGTGGGGCATCCAACAATTTTGTGCAACGCCAATCGCTAGAAGATGGTCACTTTAAGTTCAGTGAATGTGAAACACCTCCTATGAGGATGACGGTACTTCTTGCGACAGGCGCATCCGTAACCGTCATGAAGCGTATAGTGAAGATTCACTGTACGCTAGAAGATACCCAATATGACGATGACTTTATCGTATTGGATTTGGATGACAAATTTGATGTCATCCTTGGAATACCGTGGCTCAGAAGATACGAACCACGAGTTAACTGGCAACATCGAACAGTAACGATGCCTGCCGCTTGTTCATCAGATGGCCATCTGATGAACGTTTTGGAGCGTTCACAAGCGTGTGGATGTACTACGAGTGAGTGCTATGACCTCACTTGTGGTACGGTCGTTAGTACGACTGCACAAAACCTTAGTGTAACAAACGGTTAATATTCGGAGCAAAGTTCCGGCGGCTGTGAGGAAACACAGGCTGCGCCGAAGGTCCACCACTCGAATAAGTCGAGTGGACCGGAACAAAGATGTATCCCTAGCGGGGAACATCTAGAAGAGAAACAATCGATCGCTCAGGTTAAGCGAAACGATAATCCTTGATCGACTGGAGAGTCTTTCGTAGAGGATCTCGTTGTGGTTGCGCAACCCCAGCTAGAGGAAGTAAAGGGAATAAGTCCCGATATTACAAATACGGCGTAAATAAGCTCCCCGAAACCCGAGGGAATAAGTCCCCGGGAAGCCGAAGGAATAAATCCCCAGGAAATGACAGAGACATTGAATGTCATAGTCAATAACGGATCAAGTGTAGGCGCTTATAAACTTGATCTGATTGCGCCTCCGAAGTTGACTTCGGAGATCACTCAGTTGCCAACGCTCGAACATAAAAGGTTCTTGCGTGATCTGCGTAGTGGCAAAGTCAAGCAGATCTGCGTACTCGTCGCTGACGACGAGTGTGTAACCGACATAAGGTCAGCAACAGTGTTCACTGAGAACGAGAGAGTTCTCAGTAGTTCATCTATGGACGAGAGTGTCCTGGATGAAAAGACACGAGTTGAGCGATATGACTCCCAATCGTGGGAATCGCTCAAGACAAATCCTTTCTATGAAGATTTGGTTGAATTCAAGGATGTATTCCCTGAAACTGTTCCGTGCGAATTACCGAAGGATAAGGTACTCGACACGAGGTCGAGCTTAAACCAGGCTCGAAGTACTGTGTCATGAAGCAGTGGCCACTGCCTCGTGAACAAGTACTTGCGATCGACAAGTTCGTTACGATCGTTTAGCTGCGGGTCATGTGAGAGAATCAACTTCCCCACATAGCTCTCCGACCTTCTGTGTGCGAAAAGCAACAGGAGGGTGGCGGATAGTGCATGCATTTAATAAGTTGAATGCTGAAACGGTACCGGCTCAGATGCCGATACCAAGGAAGGACGTAATCATTGATGGTATGTCAAATAGTACCATCTTTTCGTCCATGAATTTGATGGATAGCTTCTATCAAATCCTTATGCGAGAACGGGATATACACTATACCGCAGTGAGCACGCCTAGCGGCATGCTCTGTGAATGGCTAGTAATCCCACAAGGGCTTGGTAATGCCGCTGCCACGTTCAACAGATGTGTATCACATCTGTTGAGACTGGTACGAGAATCCGCGCCGAGTTATTTCGATGACGTGTTCATCCATAGTCGGGCTATGGATAGAAAGTCGGATGTTAAGGTTCATAGGTACCACGTCCGACAGGTTCTTACAATCATGCGAAAGCATCAATTGTATGCAAACCTCAAGAAGTGTATATTTGCAGCAAGCGAAATACCACTTCCTGGGTGCATCGTTGGTAAGAACGGTGTACGTCCTGCTCCCAAAAAGATCAAGGCGATCACCGACTGGCCTGTGCCAGTTGATGTCAAAGGTCTTCGAAAATTCCTTGGGGTAGCGGCGTATTTGCATAAGTATTCACGCAATTACGCCCAGATGACTGTACACCTCTCTCGTTTGTTGAAAAAGAACGAGAGGTGGTTATGGAATGCTGAATGTCAGCGCTCCTTTGAGGGTATCAAGAAGAGCTTGATACAATCCCCAGTCCTAGCGATCGCCTATCAGGACAGGCCATTTCATGTGGTCTGTGATGCCAGCGATTTCGCAATCGTCTGTGCATTAATGCAGTACGACCTTGAAGGCGTTGAACGCGTCGTCTGCTATCAGTCGCGGCAGCTGCAACCAGCTGAGCGGAACTACCCAGTGCATGACAAGGAACTCCTTGCCATGAAGTATGCACTCGCGAAGTTCAGAGTCTATCTATTAGGAGATAGACCCTTCATTGTTTACACTGACCATGCGTCATTACGCACGGCAGTGAACAGCCTGCACATTTCACAACGAATGGCGCGGTGGTTGTCATTCTTTGCAGAATACAAATTTACGGTAGAGTACAAG